CTTTGTTCCGCAGTTAGCACGAGTTAGCTGCGGGGTCCTGGGCAGAGATGTAATGATCAGGGGGTGTATGTGATTTGGTGAGTGAGCGCAGACATAGACCAGTTAGGAAGCTGTTGCAGTTTGAACAGCTGAGAGCTGATTTGTGAAGAAGGCAGAGGCAGGGGTGTGGGGGGAGAGGAGGGCTGAGCAGGGAGGACACTTTTCTCCCCAGTACTTCCGGTTCTACCTGTCCTCCTGATGCCCCTCCAGGAGGGACGGGGGCTGTCCAGGGAGTCCGAGTCCAGGTTCCCGGGCCAGCCTTGCTGATGCGTGGGTCACTGTCCCCCAAGGCGGGAGCCCAGGGTCCGGATTCCCTAGCTTCCTTGCAGCAGACCTAACCAGGCCTAGCCCCTGTTGGCCAGACGGCTCCCCTGAGCTGCATATACTCTCCTCCTCCAAAAAGCAAAACCCAAAACAGCCCTGTTTTCTCAGAAAGCCCTGCTTTGGGCATGCCATTTTCACAGACTTGTACTGTGATTGATTCGGCTCCTCTGATAACTCCGGGGCGTTGGGGGTAGGGGTGGTTGGCAGGGCAGAATTTGGGCACTTTATCCACGGAAAATCGCCCCACACTCCCCCTTCATCTCTCACGTGCTGTGTGTGAAGCCTGGGCTCTACCTTCAGGCCTGAGTCGCCTGTTGGATGACGAGGTGTGTGTGTGTGGGGGCGGGATTGGTGGCCCGGTGGGTGGTGATGCTGTGGCCACAGGCGGGGGAACCTGGGAATAGATGTCAGCCTAGAGGATATGCGTGCAGAGGGTGGGAGATGACTGAGTGTACTTTCCCGTGCACCTGCTGGGCCGGGCATCCCACACTCTCTCATTTAAGCCTCCGGGGACCCTAGGAGCCTGTGCCATTATCCCCGTTTACTGGAAAGGAGGCCCTCTAAGATTTTTGTTGTCTCTCTGTGGTCACACAGCTAGTTAGTGGTAGAGCCCAGATTTGAGGCCACTTCTGCCTGTCTTCGCAGCCTAGAGATGTTGAAAGAGGTTTGGGGAAGCCACCCAAGATTATCAATTTTCAATTCTGACATGCCTTCCCTGAACACTTATTACACCTCCGCTGTGCCCAGCACAGAAGCCCGCGGCCCCCTGTGTTGCCATGGCAGCTCCTCCTCAAGGCCAGCGCAGCTCACACCCCTCCCCGCAGTGGGCCTTTTACTTGGAGCCTTCTCTGAGCGCTCTTCGCCTGAGCTCCAGGCTCCTTGGTACTGTCCCATTCATTAGCGGGAGGGCCTCAATCCCGAGTCCGGGAGGGCCTCAATCCCGAATCCTCGAGAAACTGTGACGTTAGCCTGGGGCATTGGGATTAGTGGCCAGTGGCAGCCTGTGTCCTGGAGCTGTTTTCTGTTTCTTTGGTCTTAACAGTAGTGCAGTTGGGTGAGGGAGCACAGAATTTGGGGTGTGACCGACCTGGGTTTGAATTTCAGTACTAGAACTTAACTCGTCATAGAGCTCTGTAGACAGCGTTCAGCCCCTGTGAGCCTTGGTTTCCTTTCTGTTAACACAGGACTCAGGGTACTTACCACGTATGTGGTCATCAGGGCTAGGGCTTGGGGCACTTACCACATGTGCAGTCATCAGGGCCAGAGCTTGGGGTACTTACCACGTATGTGGTCGTCAGGGCTAGGGCTCGGGGTACTTACCACATATATGGTCATCAGGACTAGGGCTCAGGGTACTTACCACGTGTGCGGTCATCAGGACTGGGGGTGTTTTATGTAAAAGTGCCTTGGCACACGTGTGGCTCAAAGCTGGGGCTTGGTAAACGGTAGTTTCTATTACAAATACTTATAATAAGAGAAATGCTTTATACTGTTTGGTGTCCTGACTTTCCTTGAGACTCTGATTTGTGCTAAGGGCCTTCTACTGTCAAACACACACACGCGCGCGCACACACACACACACACACACACACACACACAAATTTGCCTAGGCTCCCAGGGACCCACTCGGTGGACCTCAGATTAAGCACCCCTAACTTGAGGAATGACTCGGTTACAGATCCTCTGTGGGGTTTCGGAACAGGTCATTTCATGGTGTCAGCTCTGTTAGTTTATGGGACCTGTGGATGAAATGTGGCTCATCGGTCACCTTCATCACTTAAAACATGCAAATCCTTAATTGAGGTACCTGAACTAAAACTGTATAAGCAAATGAAGTGGGTGAGTGGCGTAAATTGCTGTGTACGCACATATACACTAGAACTTGAACCGGACATTAAAATAATGGGTCTGATAGGTGTTTATACAAAGGAGAGAATGGAATCAGGGAAATGATGTAAGTGGACCAGCAATGACTGTGCACGTAAACGGTGCACACTTGTGACTTAGCGTGACGCAGAAGTATTTTAAGATTAAAAAGGAGGCAGGATCATTTTAGGGTGATCTTTTTTTTTAATGTTTTATTTATTTCTGAAAGAGAGAGACAGAGACAGCATGAGCAGGGGAGGGTCAGAGAGAGAGGGAGACACAGAATCTGAAGCAGGCTCCAGGCTCTGAGCTGTCAGCACAGAGCCTGACGTGGGGCTCGAACCCACGAACCGTGAGATCATGACCTGAGCCTAAGTCAGACGCTCAATTGACTGGGCCACCCAGGCGCCCCTAGGGTGATCTTTCTAAGACGACAGGCAAATTTATTGCATATTTAAAGATGTACCTACACTTCTTAACGCAAGATTTTTGTGTTATTATCCAGTTTTCAGGGGGAGTTTTCTATGAGCAAGTGTCAGATGACTATAGGTGGATGGGGATCATTTCAAAAGAAATCCACACCCTGGTTCTAGTGTGGAAGTGAGCTCGAGAGACTTCTAATCAGAGATGGAATCAGGCGGGTGCTGCTCCTCAGTGACTGTGATTGTGGATAAATAACTTTACCGGAGCCTGTTTCCCCATTCATAAAATGGGAGCAGTCCCATCTTCCTCATCCATCCATCCATCCATCCATCCATCCATCCATCCATCCATCCATCCATCCTTCCAGCAGATATTTATTGAGGGCTCTTCGGTTACTTACTGCATTTGGCGTTCCCAGGTGATGCTGATAATGTTGTTCTAGCGGCTGTGTTCTGAGATCCCTGGTTCTTTTTGGTGGGAAATTGTGTTTAACAGTCTGGCTGCTGGGCAGGATGCCGGTTTTCGGCTTTCTCAGTGAAGGGAAGGAGATAACAGAAAGTATAAGTTCATATTGATATTTCCAGTTCTATTTACAATGACATGTTTTAACTTATTTTTGTATTTGTATTGGTTTTCTCTTAGGCTTGTAGTCTTGGTTCTCATCACATTAATAATTACTTAATAAGTGTACATATACATGCAGAGTTTCAGAATGACAGTACAAATATTATTTCTTCCAACGTGATGACTCAAACAGTGTGAGATTCCTGCGGTGGTTCCTCATGCCCTTGGAGAAGGACCCCACTTAGGGGCATAGAAATTGCTCTGCATTTAGGTTGCTCAAATAACTCCTCTCTGTTTGGTTAACCAATTTGATATACAGTTTGATCTATTTTTTTGTTTGTTTGCTATGCTTCTAGTTTTAGGAGATTTTTATTTTGTGTTTCAAATAGTTACGTAAACATTTAAACGGTTTCCAGTGTCACATCTGTAAAACGAGTTCTTCTCCCTCCTTCTAGCATGTTCTCCCTTTATTTCCCTATAGGCAGCCATCTAATTTATTTTGTAGTTAAATACATGACAGTATGCTATACATTCTTTTTTTCCCCTCCTGGGTTCCTCCCGAACCCCACCTGAGCAGTATCTTCTGAAGAGATCTGTGGGGCAGCGTATTTATAGAGTCCTCATTGCTTTTTCTTTATCGCTTCTGAGTGCTCCATTGTGAGAACGTTTCATAGTTTATTCCTCTACTGGTGGATATTTGGGTGATTTCCAGCATTTTGCTATTATGAATAGTACTTCAGTATTACAAATAGTGTAAATCCGGAGGTAGTTATAGTCACCGTTTGCTGTTGGTTTTGTCGTTTACCCCTTACCATTATCATGTGAGCATTTTACATGTTAATTGTGAATGTCATTAAGATAATTTTTTTTTATGATTAGGATTTTAGATTTTAGAAACTCTGAAAAATAATGGGGCACCTGGGTGGCTCAGTCAGTTAACTGTCCGACTTCGGCTCAGGTCATGATCTCGTGGTTCATAGGTTCGAGCCCCACGTCGGGTTCTGTGCTGGCAGCTCAGAGCCTGGAACCTGTTTCAGATTCTGTGTTTCCCTCTCTGACCCTCCCCTGCTCATGTTCTGTCTCTGTCTCAAAAATAAATTTAAAAAAAAAAAAAAAGAGAGACTTGGAAAAATAAAAATCCGTTGAAAGTCACCCACAATCCCTCTAGGTATACTCTTGTTACTTTTCTTTTACTTTTTTTTCTTCTATACTGTTGTTATCTTGATGTGTTTCCTCATAGCCTTAACAATATTTTGTATAAACATTTAGGAAACAGTCAGCATCATTTTATATAGTACCTTGGTTTGGTGTTCCTTATAATTGTGTATTTTTTTATACCATTCTCTTCATAATTAATTCCCTATTGTTGGATATTTAATTTCTTTCTGGTTTTCCATATTATAAATAATGTTGTGATAAATGTGCATAGAGCTTTTCCCAAATTTCAGCTTACTCCTTTTTAAAGTTTATTTTTGAGAGCACAAGCGGGGGAGGGGCACAGAGAAGGAGAGTGAGAGAATCCCATGCAAGTCTGGTACAGGGCTTGAACCCACAAACTGTGAGATCATGACCTGAGCCAAAGTTGAATGCTTAACTGACTGAGCCACGCAGGCGCCCTTCAGCTTATCCTTAAAGCTGGTTTTCATGAGACCTTCCGTGAGAAGGAGGTGCACATTTGTTAAACACATCTATTAGCTTGCTCTTGTGTAGCAGTAAACAGGTAAGGGAGTATCCCCTTGAAATCTCTGTTAGATAAGTTCTGTTCTTTCTTTTCCTTTTGGTAGGACCTTAGGAATGAGGTTGAGAAATTACGCGATGAAGTGAACGAAAGAGAGAAGGCCGCAGAGAATCGTTACAAGAGTCTTTTGAGTGAAAGTAATAAAACATTGCACTGTCAAGAGCAGATGATCAGAAGTCTAACAGGAAGTATCAATCCAAAGGACTTGTTGCTTCAGGTACCAGATCTTCTTTTTCTCTTGTACTTAAACCTGTTGACCTGGCCTAGGTCGTTTTAAAATTCTTTTACAGAAACACGTATGTAAAAGTAAGGCTGGTAAAAATGATTACAGCCTTCACGGCCTTATATCAGAGGCCTTCAGAGCTTTCTTTATGTCCTTTGGACGCCAGCCACCAGCAGGAAGGGAAGGAACTGATTCTGGGTCGTATGACTGGTCAGCGGCAGAGCGCGACTGAGGCCCTGGCTGTTTCGTCCCGGCCGCCGGCCCGCTTGGCTGAGGTACTTCCACTGCGGCACCTGCTGCTCCCAGTGTGCGCCGTGGCCTCTCACTCTGTGCTCTTCCTCTGACTGTTCCTTTTCGTCTCAGAGTGCCCCTCTTGTTTGATCACATAGCGAAGCGTTGATTTAGTGCAGGCGGACAGGTAGCCACGATGCACTCACCCTGGGCATTTAACTCGACGTCCTTACTGGAGCCCTGTTAAGAGGACACTGAAGGGGTGAAGGATACAAGCCCGCAGCCCTGAGAGCTCTCTGCTACCTGCCTTTGGGGTGAAAAGCCAATGAGAAGCATGCTGGTTTAGCCACAGAACCCAGAGAGGCACAGCCGGCAGACGAGGGACCTGGTCCCCTTGTAACCAGGAGATTGGGTTGGTGTGCTGGGCCAGTGACCTTGTCTTCTTCACCTCTTCTCTGTTGACCTTAAACCAGAGAAGCTCCGGCCTGGGGGGCAGCAGATGTAGCTGAAGGCAGGAGTGGGTCTCTTGAATGAAAATGAGGAGGGAGGGGAAGCCTATGTCCCTAGCACTGTGGGGAGAAAAGACAGTGGGGCGTCTTCCAGGAAAACAAGCAAGTCCCTACTTGGTCCCCAGCGAGCCTGCCAATGCTATGTCCTTTCCACGCTCAGAGCCTCTGAGCACTTTTACCTTTAAAGATAGCTGGACAGCCTGAGTTCCCCAGACAGGAGAAAAGGGTCTAAGAGGGAAGACAGACAGCATAAAGCTATGTGGAGGCCACAGAAACAGTGGAGGATGCGAAGCAGACCAGACAGCTTTTCAAAGAACTCCATACTATAACATCTGTAGATAAGAACCAACATCAGGATCTGGTGGGGGGAAAAAAAAAAGAGACTTGGAAAAGAAGAATGAGCTGTTGGAAATTACAAGCGTGATTACAGATATAAAAAGTTTAATAGGAGAGTTAGAAACACTGGAAGATAAAGTTGAGTGAGCTTTCCAGAAAGTAGAATCCAACAAAGAAACAAACAGGGGTGAGAAAATGAGAGGGAAACGTAAGAGCTGTGGAGACCTGACTCAGGGGCTCCGATCCGTGGCCAGCAGGAGGCCCCGGAAGATGGGACAGGCAGAGCAGAGGAAGGGAAACCTCGGAGTAATAGGACAGCTTCCGGAGCGGAAGGACACACACGTGTGCATCGAAAGGGTCTGCTGTGTTTCTAGCACAATGAATAGTGAGTGACTCACACCGCCAAGGTGTGTCCTTGTGAAGTAGTAGCACCTGGGGATAAAGAGAGGCTCTGAAAGGCTTCTAGAGTGAGATGCAAAGGACCCAGACTCGAAATTACATCCGAGTTCTCAGCATCAACTCTGGAGGCCAGGAGGCAGGAGAGCAGCGCCTTCCGATCGCAGGGGAGGAGGGATGTCCGGCCCAGCCTTCCATCCTCGGCTGAGCCGGCAGCGAGAGGGAGGCAAACAAAGGTGTTTTCTGACATTCGGTGCCTAAAATCCTCTGCCTCCCAGCTACCCCTTGCAGGGAACTCCTAGACACTGGTCCCATCCGTACAGAGGAGGAGTTAACTGAAAAGGACAGAGACGTGGGGTCCGGCAAGTAGGGGATTTTCCTCGGATGTGATGACAGGAAGTTCCAGGATGAAGAGCTTGTATTTGAGCACTTTCAAGAGAGGGCCTCCATGTTGGGGTTTCTCTAAGAAACAGAAATGGAATCCATTATTTACCTGATGTGTCTGGCTCCGTCTAGAGTTATTTTAAGTTATTTTAGAGAGTTTAGAGATGAATTTGCATTAAGTACCCAATTTAGTCTCATGAACTAAGTGGACAAATAGAGCAAGGCTCTTGTTACTGATTCCAGGGAAAGCAGAGAAACAAGGAGATGTGATCCTGGAAGGGCCACATGGGTGAGCCCTGGACACTACTTGGGTGGTCATAATGCTGTAAATGCGGACTGTCATTTGACTTGAAATTGTGACTATCAGGAAAAGTGCTCGGGAGAGGGGGGCCAGATGATATAAGAGCTAAATCCCCGAACTTGTACATTAAGAGATCCATGTTACCTTCACAAGTCAGGCCGTGGGAGAGTAGGGATGTACTGCAGATAGCAGAAGAGGCCGAGGCTGGAAGTTGTGTTTTCTTGGGAGTGGGGCCCAGAGCTGAGAAGGCAGAGGTGGGGGTGATGTTCTCCCTGTAAGCCGTGTTTGATTGTTAAACAGCATATATGTATAATTGGACTTTAAAAAAAAAATGAAAAGAGTGAGTCAAGCACAGGTATATTATAGCAATTCTAGAAATTCAATGTTGGTTATTCGATTTCTAATTTTTCCTGGGATAGTTTAATAGGTTTTTATTAAAAAAAAAAACTGCCTCTGTTTTGTTCATGTTTGTGCTGAGCTAATTTCTCATAAAAGTTTGACATGATGAAGTAATTCTGATAGGGGCTTAGGAATAAGAGGTGGTTCTTGTCCTTCATTTGTGACCCACAGTGAACAGAGACCTAGTTAAAGAGTTACTAGGTTTTAAATTGTTAGAAATAGATTCTATGCTTGAACTTGGCCAAGAGACCAGAGAAACGGTCTCCAGTCACATAGTGTTGATGAATGCCAGATCTTCTCAAGGGGTCGATGAGGGGAACTGTATTTTTTTTTTTTAATTTTATATGTCTTTATTTTTTTTGTGAGTGGGGGGAGGGAGAGAGCGAGACACAGAATCCAAAGCAGGCTCCAGGCTCTGAGCCGTCAGCACAGAGCCCGACGCGGGGCTCGAACTCACAGACTGTGTGATCATGACCTGAGCTGAAGCCAGACGCTCAACCGACTGAGCCACCCAGGCGCCCCAAGGGAACCTGTATTGTGTGACATCACGAGGACCCTTTCATATGTGACCACACCTCAAAACACTGGAAGTGTTTCTTCCTGGAAGTCCAATTTCCTCGTGGATATAGATGGTTCAAGTTTTGTCAAATTTGTGATGTTTTGAGAGAGACTGGATTTTGTTGGGTTGTGAGACACACTTCTTCTGTCACCGCAGTAACCCCATAGGGTAGGAAGCAGACCCAGAGTCACGCCCTGGCTAAGGGAGACCCAGGATGGGAACCCCGTCCCATGGGGCCAGGGCTTGGGCTTGGTGCTGCACATCTGCTAGGCGGCCATCTTGGCGGTGTGGAGAAGGCACTTTGTAATGACGGCCACCACGCTGCGTGTGCCGTGCCCGCAGGCTACCTTTTTTCTGGGGGTGCTGAGTAAGACGGTGGCTGCGTTACAGGTTTGTAATGGGGATGATGGAAATTTTCTCCAGGAAAATAATGTGAAGAAAAAATAATACATCTTCCCTTAAAGAATTTGGGACAGTCTGTTAAGATTTTTTTTTTTTTCTTGATGAACACTTCTTCATGATTTGTTTCCATAGAAATTCAGTGAAAAAGATTTGGAAGCAGTACAGCAGAATCGCCAGGCACAGACCGGGGAGGATCTCACGGTCAGGGGTGAAGACTCACCAGAAAAGTGCCCTTTGTGGCAGTTACCGTGCAACCGTCTCTTCTCCGAGGTACGCTGGATGGGAGTTGGTTGTCCACGTTCCCTCCTGACATGTATGTGATCTGCTCTCATCCAGAGCCCTGCCACTGCCTTTTTGCCAGTAGTTGAGCTTCTAACAGGTAGGGGGAGGGTTCTTAGTCTGCCCGTCTTACAGAGCAGTATCCTTCAGCTAAGCATGGGTATTTGCACCATGCAGGGAACTGGTAAATCACAGCTCATTGAAGATGAGCCTGGGAGGCTCAGTCCATTAAGCATCCGACTCTTGATTTCAGCTCAGGTCATGATCTCACAGTCTGTAGGTTCGAGCCCCATGTTGGGCTCTGTGCTGACAGCGTAGAGCCTGCTTGGGATTCTCTCTCCCTACCCTTCTCCTGCTTGCATGCTCTCTCTTGAAATAAATAAACTTAAAAAAAAAAAAAAAAGATGAGCTTCGTGTTTGCTGTCCCAGGGTTCACCTCCCATGAACTGTGTAATCTGTGTAATTTCTCTGTTAAGAAAATTTTTCTGTGTTAAGAAAATACAGGCCCTTCCTGGTCTGGCCTCAGGTTGCTCGCCATCATCTCTAACGACAATTGACTTCCTGCAGATTCCTGAATGCCATGTTTGCACCTCTCTCTGTGCCTTTGCATGTGCTGTTCCATCTGCCTGGAGTGGCTTTTCTGTCCTTGTTTCCTGGGAGACTCCTAAACATCCCTGAAGGTGCCCCTCTAGTGTCCCCTTCCCCGAGCCTGCTTTCTAGTGCCATCGCCTCGTCCTCCCTGGCACTCAGCGCTCTGCCCATCCTGGTGTCAGTGTCATGGGATCCACTCGCCGCCCCTCAGCCAGACACTTCCACACCATGGATGGGAACCTCAGGGTAGGGGACTGGGATTCGTGTGTGAAGCTCACCGCATGGCCCAGTCAGTAAATGTTTGTTCAGTGAATAAATGATTTGGTTTGTGAGAGATACATACAGATTTTTCTGACCCCTAGCTTGCATTTGATGCAACTTGGCCGCCAGATATGGGAAAGGAAAAGAGCGCATTGGAGGCCAAGGCTTGTTGTTCTTTTCTTTTTTTTCTTTTTAAACCTGGCATTAATTAAGTTCATACATTCAGAAGACAGAGAACTCTTACGCAAATTGGTTCCCTGATGAATTGGTCTGATCGTGACTTGTGGTTTTGTGAAGGGTGAGTCTCAAAATAGTTAACCACAGGTGCAGCCCAGGCACACGGCACAGCCATCAGAACGGACTCAGCAGCAGGGCCGGGGCACCTGCCCCAGTGCTGGGTACCAACCCCGCAGTTACTGGACGTTGCAGAGGTCCCGAGGGGTGGGGCCAGGGCCTCAGGTGGTTGGGGAGGACCAATCAGGGGTCATTTTACAGCTGGCGTGGTAGTCGTTTGGCAGCCAGTGCTAGCTGTTGCTCTGTGGATTGGCTCAGGGTCGCCCCGGGTCAGGGGGCATCACTGGCTGGACAGTGGGGGCTTTTTCTTCGCTCTGACCTTCAGTGGACTTGCACCCCGCTGTCTCTGTTGAATGAGAGTGTCAGCACAGAGCAGTGGACCCCTTGGGCTGGGCCAGAAGCCTGGAGGCCAGGACTTTTCCTTTGGCTCTGTCACCACTTGGGTGGTGTTGGGCGTTTAGATGGACAGATCTTCACTGATCTGCATGCATTTCGTCAAACTTTGCTGTGCTGAATCCCGTTTTAGTCACGTAAACTGTGTCTAGCGTTGAACAAAATGTTTATAGATGTATTGAACAGGCTGAGTGTTTTACAGTTTAATCTCACTAGTTTGATCAGCTGCACTGCTTTTTTGGTTTCTTGTGCTGGGCGCTGTCTGTATGCGTGGAATCACAGTGAAAAGTCATCGTTTCATTTTCAGCTACGTGTAGATGCTGGTGATGTTTAAATTACCAACATGACTTAGTATTTTATTTTAGAAATAAAATTTTCTAAAAATTTTCTAAAAATTTTTTTTCCTAATGTTTATTCATTTTTGAGAGAGGGAGAGCATGAGTGAGAGCAGGGGAGGGGAAGAGAGAGGGAGACACGGAATCCGAAGCAGGCTCCAGGCCCCGAGCTGTCAGCACAGAGCTTGACGAGGGACTTGAACCCATGAACCATGAGATTATGACGTGAGCCGAAGTCAGATGCTGAGGTGACTGAGCCACCCAGGCGCCCTTAAAATGCCTTAGTGTTTCAGCAAAGGCTTTAATTCTGCTCTGCAAGACTAATTGCTAATTGTGGGTAAAGAATTATAAATGATCGTTTTGGAATTATAAATTTCTACTTGTTAGTTCAGGTTGTACCCACTGGTGCAGCGTACAGTTTTCTTCTCCTCCCGAGAAAGGTGTGCTTTTCAGACTGTTGTTCTTTCTTTGTAGAAAACGTGGATTTCTCCTGCTGTGCCCTTGGCTGCTTTGTGTTGATTTAGGGTTTGTCCTCTGCCCATTTCTACAAAGAACTTGAGGCCCTGATGAGGTCTCCATGGACTCTGGGCAGTCTCTTTTGCCCCTAATCACTGGGTGATCCTGAGAATTAATGCTGGACGATCAGGGAATTGAAGAACAGAGAGTAAACCACACGGACCGTATTTAACTGGCCTCAGCCAGAGATTTATAGCTGGGTTGTTGACATGGTTGGGACATCGCTGCTGAGTTTCCCGAGTATTAAAACAAATGTCTTTGCAGCCGAGCTGTGACACAGCTACCAAAGTAGATGCCATCCATCTACCAGGCCACTAAATTGCCCTGCTTACCAAGAAGTGAGCCATTAAGCTTTCTCTTTACATATCTGCTGCCTGTTCAGATTGCGGTCTGCACATGACATGTGTTCCCTTCAAGTCATTAAGGAAACTGTGCAGAGTAGGAAGTGCCCAGGATTTGGTGTTGGGACGTCCGTTCTTCTTCTCACGAGTTCCGTGACCTCGGGCAAGTCACTTCATCTCTCTGAAACCCACCTTCCTGATCTGTAAATGGGGGAGTTGCATGCTTACCTGCTGGTAGGATTGGAAATCATGTACATGTTATTACTTAAGGTTTTTCTGGTAGCAAGCTGTGAATCCAGCATTGAGTCGTGTGGTCAAAGCAATCACAGTGAAAGCGAGGATTTGTTGGGAGAGCTGAGTCGCCATGCCTCAGGGAGGGTGAAACTGTGGAAGCCCTGTGGATGGCAGAAGTCTCGGGCCCTGGGCTCTGTCTTTGACTTGACGCACACCCCGTGTCTCAGACCCCCGGTTTCTCAGTTGAGATCTCTGAATCTGGAGAGAGAATCGAACTGGTTTAGTGTGGGTCCAGGGGGCTGGCTCCCCGACAGAGGGGTCTTCCAGGGTCTTGCCCCTGTGTTTTAGGGACCGTTTTCACATGAGGTAGGGGAGTAGGGCGGGGGCCTGGGTGGTCATCTCAGGGGCTGCAGAGAACAGACTGGAGGGTCAGACACAGGTAGGTGGGTGGCATCATTTGCTCCTTCAGGGTGAGAGGCCTCCTGTCTGGGCTGCATCTTGTTCGCTGTCTGGAGGGGCAGGAGAGAGGTGGGGGTGGCTGCTCGGCCCTCCCCTCTGGGCAGCCTGGCCCTCGGCCTCTGCGCTGAGGGGATCTGCTGGTGTGTGAGCTCTGCTGAGGGAGCCAGATGACTTCATTCTAATGGGGAATGAGTCAACGCAGGGGAGTGGGTGATTGATGAAATGGGACCCAAATGGCTCTGAAGAGTTCATTTATTTAACATGGGTGAGCTATTTGCTTCTAGGAAGACGTTGACTCACCCCGACTTCCATTATGCAAAACATCCACAGGAATCTCTGCTCTTAAGCTTCGTATTGGTCCCTGCATTCTCCGCATACCCATTTCGTGATTAGCTCAGCAAGTATCCGTGGCAGCGTTTGGTCCGTGCCAGGTACTCTTCCTGGCTCAGGATGTGGCTGCCCACACAGGGCCATCGGACCGATCAGCAGGTGGTCGGCACGCTTGCTCCGGGGTGGAAGTGAACCAGAGTGCCACGGACGCGGGAAGGGGGCCTTCTTCTCCATCAAGAAAGGCTTCCTGGTGAGAATTTGGCCTAGGCAGACCCTGTAAGGTGCTCAGGAGTGTGTCACCAGAGCGGGGTGAATGACGGTCTCTGCGGAGGGGGCGTAGTTCCTCTGGAGCCCAGACGGAGGGGTGCCTCCATTCATCCCACTGAGAAGGCAGAGCAGGGGGGAGGACGTGCAGGTGTGGTCAGCTGGCAGAGGAGGATGTGGAGGGGAGCGGAGCCAGCTTCCAGGCCCTCACCTTGCAGTGGGTGGTCCTCTGGCGCCCCCCCCCCCCCATCTGGTTAAGATACAGGGCCCAGGCGGGCACACACACTCCATCCAACAGAAGTCCATATTACCTGTTTCTTTCCCTAGCCCTTCTTGGCTGGCATTGAAGTCACACACCTAAGCACAGGTTCTGACCGCCACATATCAGCTGGATGGCCTCAAACACATTCTCTCTCAGAGAATCGGTCTCTTCATCTGAAAAATGGGAACATTAATACACCTCTGTGGTTTCAGTTAGAGATGACCTGTGTAAAGTACCTGGCTAGCATCGCACCAGAACATGGGAACGGAAGTCATGACTGCTGTTACCAAATGTTTACTCCGCACCAGTCATCTCTCTGAGAACTTTGTGTAGATTAGCTCATTCAGTCTCCTTCACCAACCTGTGAGCTATGTAGAATCATTACCTTCATTTTTAGGTGTGGATAGTGAAGCACAGCGAAGTTGAGGAACTTGCTCAAGGTCACACAGTTAGTAAGTTCACACACTCTTAACATCACTGCCCTTCATGGTAGGTGCTCAAGACGCAGTAGGTTTTTTAATTATTTTTAAGAGAGAATGTGAATGAGGGAAGTACAGAGGGAGAGGGGACCGAGTATCCGAAGTGGGTTCTCTGCTGATAGCAGACACTCGACGCGAGGCTCGAACGCACAAACTGTGAGAGCACGACCTGAGCCAGAGTCGGACGCTCAACCGACTGAGCCACTCAGGCAAGCAGCAGTAGTTTTTTAATGTTCTTCATCATTGTTGGCTGCCTTTTACGTGGTTGACAGCGGCAGTGTTCCCCTGCCAAGCGCCCCAGTGCTTTGTGTCCGTGATGGGGCATCGATGGGTGGGCTGAAGAGCTGGGGCTTCAGAGCCTGGCTGCCTGGGTCCACACCTGGCCCTCCACCTGACCTCGGGCTGCCGTCTGCCCTCATCACGGACATGAGGAGGGTGGTAACACCTCCGCTCACTGAGTCGTTGTGCGGCCTCAGAAAATGCCCAGGGAGCACTGAGCAAGGTGGCTGACATTGTCTTGTTATCCTGTTAACTTCTTCCCCAGGCTCTTTTCTGGGACCCTCTGTCGACACACATGGTGTGTCCAGGTGGGAGTGAGAGAATCCCACATGACACTGTTGGTGTGCACAGAAGGCATATGGGGGCTCCCTGTGCCAGGGACACATGTGGCGGGATTTACAAAGGGGCCTGACATTCCTAGCAGTCTGGGTGCCTGACTTCTCATGACTGAGCTGGTGGTTCAGCGTTTGAAACCCTTGATGAGTAGGCGGTGCCTTTGCCTCTTTCTGTTCCGGGCGCGAAGCCTGGCCGTGTCGTCACGGACCAGGGGCCCCTAGCCTGTCCTTGCCCTCTGCATCCCTGCCGTCGTCTGCGGAAGCCAGGGATGGCTTCCCCGGAAAAATATTTCAGTGCATAAAACATAGGCGCAGGATTAGCAAGGGAACCAATTACGTTGAAATTCAATCATCAGACTATTTAAAAAATCTGCTTTGGAGATGGTGCTTCTTTATTAACATGGTAAACAGCAAGATCTCGTGCGTAGAGCGACTGCTGTAGTTTTGAAGAAGTGGGAAAAATGAATATTTTAAGATAACTTGAGGTTATACAAAGTACTCGTGTTTCTTTCAGATGACACGTCACAGGAAAACACTAACCGTTGTGGTTTGTAACTGTATTCCTTCCATTTCCAGCAGGTTTCACCCCTGTCCCAGGCAGTGTCTTAACTGAAAGAGAAGGCGTAGGTCGATGGGAGGTACCAGGGCTGCTTGCCGGTCCAGTCTTCCCATTACCTGAGCGTCTCCCTCGAGCATTTAGGGAGCACCCCATCCATGCGGGGCGCTGCGCATGTGAACTTTATCTCATATTCTTTCCTTATTTTGAAATAATTTCAAATTTATAGGCAAGTTTCAAGAATAAAGTATCTTATTTTTCCCGAGTCATCTGAGAGTAAGTGGCCCACGAGAAGCCCGGTGGCCTCTGGACCCCTTAGCGTGTATTTCCTGTAAGCAGGGACTTGTCACTCGAACCGTGGTGCAGCCGTCAAGGGCAGGGAACAGGCCGACTCCTCGCTGCCTTCTCAGCCTCAGACTCACGGGCGCTTCACTGCTTGTCCCATACAGCCCTGTGCAGCCTGAGGGTCTGAGCCGGAACCACACTTTGGCTTTGTTGTGATTCTTTAGTCTTCAGTCTGGACAGTTTCTCCGTCTTATCTTTGACTTCCGTGCCCTTCGTAATTTTGAAGTGTCCAGGCTAGTCCTATGTAGGGCGCCCTTCGGGTTGGGTTTGTCTGATGTGGCTCGGTCCATTGGGTTCAGGCAGGTGTATTTGGCAGGAATATCCTCTCATTGGACCCTGTCTGATGGTACCCAACTTAGCTTTGTCTCCTCACTGGCCATGCTGACTTTGACAACTTTATGAAGGTGGCGTCCGCAAAGTGTCTTCGCTATGTGGTTACTCTTTTTCCTTTGTAATTAATAAGTCTCTGGAGGTGTTTTGAGCCTATGTCAATCCTGATGTCCTTCCAACTTGCACCCATTGGTGTTGGCTAGCTCCCTGAGGTCACATAAGTAAGTGCCAGAAGTCTCCTCACGCCCCTTTCTCATCACTGTTCCGGATGCCTTTAAAATGCGGCTCACTTGACCTTTTCTACTTTAATGTCAGCCGCTTGTCCCTTTTGGTTGATGAACATCTATTTTCTGGAGCAAGAGCAAGTGTGGAGAGGCGTTCTCTGTGGTGGTGCGAAAACAGTGGCCAGCCGCTTGGAGGGGACGCAGTTTCGTGATGGGTGCGTCGGGTAACAGTCACGATCCTTTCATAGCCGCTTGGTGCAATGTTGGGAGCACAGCGCTCGGCTTTGTTCCGAGGGACGGGACGGACAGCCATTCCCCACTCCTCCTGCAGGTGGTGCTCTCCGACCGTGGCCTGATGCGCAGCCTGGCACCCAGGATCACCTCTGTCCGGATTTAGAAACTACCCACATATGTTCGCATAATAAGGAGGGACTCTTTTCCAGTTCTCCCCTTAATGTCAGACACCCGTTGTCATTTCCAGGAAAAGCAACAGTTAGACTATGAAGAGCTGATGCAGGTCTTAAAGAAGGAGCGAGACATCTATGCCCACCTGGTAAAATCTCTGCAGGACCCAGACAGGTAAGGTTACTGTTTGGACATCACACACATGCATACACACGTGTATTCTGAATAAATATGGTTGGCATGGGAGGCAGCAAAGCCATCCTAGTTTGCTTAGGAAGCTTAAAGCACTTGGATGGTGGTTGCCTTCCTTAAATCGGATAAACATATTTTATATCAAGAATTGTCTGATTTTTGGATTGCTCGATTTTTTTTTATCCTAAGGAACTTAGGATAAAAATATCATAATAATAATCACTCATTATTTTATACTGCCTTATTATAGGTTTAGAAATACTTCCATGTGTATTATCACATAACGGTCCTCACAGCTGTTCTGGGAGGTAATAATTGTTACCCTATTTTCCATAAGGCCATGAAGACGGAGAGAGGTTGAGTGACCTTTCCAAAGTTACACAGGTGGCGAGTGGTCAAACCCGGGGACTCAGACAAGTTTCTGGAGCGACCTGTGTCTTTACAGAAGTGCTGAAATGATTTGATGCCAGTGAGGTGTGGTGACGGGCGGGTGCTCTTGCTGTGTCCCGCTCTATGTCCACAGGCAGCTGGCCCACTGTGTTCCGGGCCTCTGTTCGCCAGTGCATGGTTGGCCTCGGTGATTTTCACATCACGAAGTCTTCTCTCTACACAGTGGGGGTAGTTACAGGTGAAGGGGTGCCGTCCATTTCAGAACCGTGCAGAAGTGAAGGAGGGGGTGGGGTCACTGACAGAACGGGCGGCCATGGCTGCCTGGAGGGCGGGGCTGGGGAGGGACCGGATGGGCAGCGGCGCATTGTCTTAGCTGGCCTTCGTTTGTGTCTGTTTAAAAATCTCCATAATGAGAAGTTAAAGTATCTCCCCCCCCCCCCCCCCCCCCTCCTTCTAAGACTTTCACTCTGGCTGGAGGGGTCTTCATCAGGGCCTGGGCTGCGTACCCTCCGCCTCTGCCTTCGCACGGTTTCCGCAGCCCACCTCTGTCTCCCAGAGGCCCTTGAGGCTTCATCTGGAGGGCTCCCCTCGTGAGGAGGCTGGCCCCAGGATGCTTGTCGCGAGTGCTCTGCCCTCACGGCTGCCTATGCCACCTTCTGGGCACGTGTCTGTAACTGGCCTGCCCCTTGTCAGGGCCCTGCGCCCCCTCCGGGTGGGATCCTGTCTCGCTCGGCTCCATTTCTCCTGTGCCTGTCACTGTGGCTGGGGCGGAATAGCCACGCGGGAAGCTTTGAGTGGACGGGCTCCCCCCTCTCCCCACCCCTGGCTGGTCTTCTGAGAGATGAGATAATTTTCAGATTTGTTGATCTGAAATGAATTTAGAGAAAATGGAAACATGCTGATGAGATTCTGGGAGTAGGCGTCACTCTGTAAAAGTGGGCCTTTCCCAGAAGCCTCGGCAGCCGGGCGTTCGCGCTGGGGGCAGGGAGAGCGAAGCTGGGAATCCAGGGGCAGCCGGCCAGGTCGGTTTACCTGGGCAGCCTCTGGGTCCTGGGCAGTGGGGGCTGCCTGGCACCGTCTCAGCTCTCACTGCTCCGTTTCAGAAGTGCCCTCCCCGCCCCTGCGTGTGGGCCAACAGTGCCTCCAGATATCTCTCGGGAGGTTAATCGTCCCCAGATGGGAGTCACTGCTGGAACTCCCGAGAATCAGGAAGTTTGGCTTGTAAATATCCTCTTTCTGTCCGGGAGTTGCCCAGATACATGGAAGGGGGAAATGCACGTCCAGTTGTCTGGTGTGTGTTTGGCTGTGTGCTGCGCTCTTTCCCACGCAGCTCTCATTTGCTCCTCAGAATAATCCTGAAGGAAAGGGATTAGCCTCATTTCACAGATGAGGAAGGCAGGACTCTGGCCGTTTAAGGGACTCGCCCGAGGTCGTGGAGTGGCCGTGTGCCATCTGGAGCTGGGCTCTGGCTCCTCATGTCACCCCCCCCCCCCCATGTTGCAGAAGGAGGATGCACAGAGCTTTTGTTTCTTTCCAGGTGAATCACCTTTTGTTTTTTTTGTTTTTTTTTGTTTTTTTTTGTTTTTTTACAAATAGTTTATTGTCAAATTAGTTTCCACATAACACTCAGTGCTCATCCCCACAAGTGTCCTCCTCCATGCCCATCCCCCCCTCCCCCCCACATCCATCAGTCCTCAGTTTTTGTCAGCATTCAAGAGTCTCTCATGGTTTGCCTCTCTCCCTTTCCCCCACCATTTCCGCCCTTCTTCTCCCCCTTGTTCCTCCATCATGTTCCTCCTAATCCTCCTATACGTGCAAACATATGATATTTGTCCTTCTCTGCCTGACTTATTTCGCTCAGCATGACACCCTCAAGGTCCATCTGTGTTGCTACATGTGGCCAGATTTCATTGTTTCTCATTGCCATGTAGTATTCCATGGTATAGATAAACCACATCTTCTTGATCCATTCATCTGTTGATGGACACTTAGGCTCTTTCCATGTTTTAGCTATTGTGGAGAGTGCTGCTATGAACATTGGGGTACATGTGCTCCTATGCTTCAGCATTTCTGTATCCCTTGGGTAAATTCCTAGCAGTGCTATTGCTGGGTCAAAGGGGAGTTCTAGTGTTAGTTTCCTGAGGAACCTCCACACTGAAACACCTTTTGTTCCACCAACCCTGATGCCTGGAAAAGGCCCTGGAGTTAGGGAAACGTAGACGACAGCTGCGGGAGTGGCAGCCGCGTACTTTTCACCCTGTCAGAACACGGAAGAGGGAGAGAAGCCGGTCGCTTCCTCCGCCCTCCTCACAGGAGCCTCGGCAAACAGTCCTTTCTTTCTCCTGCTGAAGTGTCCCCGCAGCATGGCTGCATCCGAGCGAGCGCGGTGACACCTCTGCGAGGCTTCCCATCAGCCCTGCAAATTGGCAGTTACGATGGTCTGGGAGCGGAACTAGGCACCGGTTGTGGGTAGGGCCCTTCCCTTCCAGGAGGGAGGCTGCTTCACAGCGAACCCTCATCAGAGTGGCCGGTGTAGATGGTTAGACATAGTGGTTTATTTTCCTTCTGATATATGTTGATGTATGTGCGCGGTTCAAGGGATGGAGCTGGCGGAAATCTCCGGGGGAGAGTGGGGCTTGAGTCTAAGGCCCCGACCTTTGGAGCAGCTGCTGCTAATGCTAACCGTCTTGGGGGCCAAGGGCCTTTAGAAAATCTGATGAGAGCTCTTGGGCCCTCCCCTTAGAAAAATCCACGTGTTCTTAAATATTTGCACACGGTCTCAAGGTGTCGATGGACCCTCTTAAGGAAGCAAAGGTCAGACGCTGGACAGAGAGCGAGGTATTTCTCAGTATTTAAAGAAGGAGGCTTCCTGATTTGTTAATGTGTTTTCGCTAGTCTCGAAAAATGTTCATATACTTTTGTTTTAAGTTTATTTGTTTATTTTGAGAGAGAGAGAATGGGTTAGTGAATGGGGGAGGGGCAGAGAGAGAGAGACTCCCACGCGGGCTTGCCCTGGCAGTGAGAAGCCCGACGTGGGGCGTGGATATGTGACCCCCCAAAAATGTTCATGTCCTTTGGCCCAGTAATTGCACTGCTGGGAATTGGTCTTAAGAATCGAACCTGGATGTGAAGAGGCATTAGGTACAGATGCTCAGTGAGACAGCGCTTGTTATTCGGACGTTGGCCGGGGTCTCTGTTCCTCTGAGAGCCAGGGGCACTCCTACTGCCACGGCAGTAGGAACCCGGGGCCCGTCCCTTGGGTCTGTACTGCCGCAGGTCAGTGGCCGCGAGCCGCGGGACTGTTTACATCTGAACTGAGAAGAATTAAGCACTCCGTTCCCCAGACCGTTGGCCACCGCTCCGCGGCTCGGTAGCCAGTGGCTGCCGTACCAGCACGTGGACGGACCACTGCTGACTGCCGGAGCTTGTCGGCCAGCGCCCGCAGGAGCCCGCAGAGGCTGGGAGGTGTGCGTTTTCAGGGCCTCTTCTGAATCCTGGGCTGCCGGTGTCACGCAAGCTCTCTGTGCAGGTCACACCGCACTGCGCTGACCCCAACGTGAGACCGGACACCTGTGCATTCCCCTGGGCGTGTGTGAACCGGGCTGACCTGTCACCGTGCAGTTCTGTTGGCCCCTAAATTGGTACTTCTCTCCCTCCTATTGTCAACTCCCTTTCCTTTTCTTTTTTTTTTTTTTTTTTTTACTTCCTTTGTACCTGTCACCTTTTACCCCCGGTACTACCTCTTTCAGGAGTTACACATTTGCTCGTCTCACTTGTCCCCGCTTCTGAAGCATGGGTACCAGGTGACGAGCCTCCCCATTCACACCTGAGCCTTTGTGAGGCATTCCTCCAAACAGGGAAATATTCTGGGCAATTACATTATTTCTTACTGTTTATACCCATAGTGAAAAGTTGGCAATGACCCCAGTGTCCACTAGTAGAGGGTGAGTTGGGGTTAACGGTGGGAAGTTCACCTGATTTGTACTACACAGTCACTGAAAGCAGTGCTTGCAAATAATTTCCAAAAATGTAGGGAACTATTTAAGTGAGGAATGCACAATTCAGTATCCTACACCAAGTATTATTTTCACCTTGTAAGAGTGAACGCTCAGGGAAAAAGATTGGGAGGAAATGCGGCCTGGGGGCACCTGGCTGGCTTAATCAGTAGAACCTTCGACTCTTGATCTCGGGATTGTGAGTTCGAGTCCCATGTTGGGATTAGAGATTACTTAAAAGTCCATAAAATCTTAAAAAAAGAAAGGTAGTCTGCCACATGTTAACTGGTAGTAGGATCATGGTAATTTTTGTTTTCTTATACTTTTGTAATTTAAATTTTCTATAAACATGTATTTACTTTCATAACCAGAAAAAAAAGAAAACCGCTGATGACATAACAATCAAAGGGAGGCTTGCTGGTTTTTGCATTTTATTTATTTATTTAGGGTTTATTTTTATTTGAGAGAGAGAGATAGAGAGCAAGTGCGGGAGGGGCAGAGAGAGAGAGAGAGAGAGAGAGAATCCCAAGCAGGCTGTGCGCTGACAGGACTCGAACTCATGACCTGAGTCGAAATCAAGAGTCAGACACTCAACCGACTGAGCCACCTAGGCGCCCCGGCTTTTGTAATATAAAGCACAAAGAGGTCTCTTTAAAAATTTCTGGTGTCGGGGCGCCTGGGTGGCGTAGTCGGTTAAGCGTCCGACTTTCGCTTGGGTCATGATCTCGCGGTTCGTGAGTTCGAGCCCCGCGTCGGGCTCTGTGCTGACTGCCAGCTCAGAGCCTGGAGCCTGTTTCAGTCTGTGACTCCCCCTCTCTCTCTGACCCTCCCCTGCTCACGCTGTCTCTCTCTCTCTCTCCTAGAAATAAATAAAAAATATTAAAAAAAAAAAAAAATTTCTGGTGTCTTCGAGTGATGCGTGGAAGTGCTCAGTCACCGTATTTATTCCACACCTGAAACCAGTGTTCCCCTATGTGCCGACTAACTGGAATTTAAATAAATAAATAAAAATTCTGGTGTCTTGTTTTACAAAGTCCCAACAGCCTGCAGGCTGAGCTGAACAGCATCTTCGCTTTGCGGAAGCAGCTGGAGCAGGACGTGCTCTCATACCGGAATTTGCAAAAGACCTTGGAGGAGCAGATCAGTGAAGTTCGGCGGCGGGAAGGTGCGTGCTCGGTTGCATGTCTCTCCCTTAGGTTTTTCCACATGGAGGGCCTTGGCTGAACTTTAAGAAAGTCCTAGAGCTTAACTAGGGGGATGGGTCTGTGTTAACGCCAGCTCTCCCAGTCTGTGTCCATCTGGCTTTGACCTCCGTGGAAAGGCCCAGCGAGTCGTGTCCGTTGTGCCGAGGGTGTGCCGTGGGGTGGCCCCTTTGCTGCTTCGACCGTGCTCTCATCGTTTGGTACTTCTAGACCCGTGTAACCTCACGGCCTTGCCATCCCCTTGCTCTGGTGAATAGCCCGCATGGCCCACAGCGTCTGGGCTCTGCCTACCAGGGCGCCCACTGCACAGTCTGCACCGCACGGGCACACAGCCTGCAGGCTGCTGTTCTGTGTTGGACTTTGCCTTTAGCACCGCCGTGACCACAGATGGACTCGTTGGGGAGGGACGTGGGGTGAGGGGCCGGTGGTCCTTACACTGCTGTGCTCATTACAGCAACCCTTGGCCCTCTCCCTTGCTAGAATCTGAGCCCCCTAGAGTCTGGGTTAGTATCTTCTTCCTTTCTGTGCCTGTAGCCAGGTGCCTGGCACGGGTGGTAAAAAGTGGGGTAATGGCTGTGGTGGGCTTGACATTTCCGGAGCACCTAACTGTGTACAAGGCACAGCACCAAGCACTTAATTTCTCATCTCTGATCCTGACACTCATCCCGTTGGCTAGAGTAGGTGTTGATCTATTTGTCATTTCACAAATGAAGAAACTGAAGCTTGGGTTGGGGGTGACCGTTGATTTGCCCACATTCGAGCCAGCATATCTTCCTTTGAAATGTAGCTCTTTCTACTATATATGGTAGATCAACTCTTATGCCCAGATCGTTAGATGAGGTTGTGTTTGTGGACATATGTCGTTCAGTAAGTAGCCTGCCCTTCTTCTGTGCCTTCCTCACCACCCCCAACGCCCCACAGGGATGTGACGTTTGCTGCAGAGGAAGCAGACCCTGACGTAGGTGACCAGAGATTCTCTTTCCTTAGATCTAGCAGCCACGTTCTGCACTTGGCATGCCCATGACCACAGAGGGCTCTGGGGCCAGTGAAAAACACATCGGGTACATGTATTTCCCTGGAGCGCTACCCTTGAGGGTAGGGCCATGTCTGATTTTCCCACATTCTTACCTAAACAGAATCCCTCCCCCATTTAAACTGAAATCACCATTTGCTTGTGCCACTCAGAATGGTCCCCGGGTGCAACACTTTGTATGCAAATTTTAATCAGAAAAGGCCACAGTGAACGCCTACAGCCTGTGATGAAAACATACATTGAGATGTCAGCCTGTAGAGAAAGAGGGAAAATTACTTTTGCTCCAAAGGTGGTACATTAAACTCCCTATTTGTACTTATTCCCCCTTGTGACAACCCCCTCCCCCGCCTCTCCCAATTCAAATTGCCTTACACAGATTGTACTGGGATTGGTCTTGGAAGGATCTATTTCTAATATTCTTTTTCTCTCCTTCCCCTCCCCCCCCTTTTTTTTTTTTTGCAGAAGAACCATTTTCATTTTATAGCGATCAAACATCTTATCTGAGTATTTGCCTTGAAGAGCACAATCGGCTTCAAGTGGAACATTTTTCTCAAGAAGAACTTAAGAAAAAGGTATTGGCCCTTTCAGTGCTTTGTTGGTTATTTGTTGTCTCTTGGGTTCCTGATCCTGAGGTGTCAGATTGTGAAAGCCCCTTTCCTCCCCTTTCTTCCCTCTCTCCCGGCCTGGACATGCTCCTCCTGTGTGTGTTACCTCGTGTGCCCTCCCTCATGCCCGATACCCTGCTTCTCAGGCTTGAGGCCCAGCCCAGCCTTCATCTCCTCTAGGAAACGCTCTCTGTCCCTCCCTCAGGTCATTCTCGTCTCTTCTCGTACCTAACTGCATTCGTGTCCTGCTCGTACTGACCTGGGATTATCTGCTTACTCATCTGTGTCCCCATCCATCAGGTTGTGAGCGTCTGAAAGTTAGTGGTTGCCTTTTATTTATTTTTGATTTTCCAGTACCAACCACACACAGGGGGAGTTAATACCTGCTTTGTGAGAGAACAAAGGTCCAGGTTTGTTCAGTGAATCTGTTTTAAAACTAGAAACCAAGTTTCTCAGTCTGTTGATTGTTTGTGTGATTAGAGTGGTTTAGTGTTTGAAGATCCTAAGAGCCACTGAGAAGAGTGGGAAATGTGAGCTCACAGGAGACTGTACTTTATTATAAAATTATCATATATGCTTGACAGATTCAGCTTCTGCCTTGGAATAATTGACATTCTGGCAGAGCAGTCAGACATGTGAACAAGTAATTGCAGCGTGGAGGGTGAGGGTCGCTGATGTAGGCGGCTGTGCAAGGTAGAGGTTGCAGAGGTAGCAGAGGAGGAAAGGTTAATTGTTGGGGGCCGGGGGATGCTCACTTGATCAGAGGAAGCTTTTCAACAGGACTGAGGCCTGAAGTGGGTTTTGAAGGATGAATAGGAGCTTGTCTAGGTGTGTGTGGGGGCGGGGGGTGGGGCTTTTTCGGCAGCAAAAAAGGAAGTAGGTGTAAGGTACTAAAAGTAAAAAGTCGAAAGGTGAAATTAAAATTTTTCAGCATTTTGGGAGGAGTGGCGCAAGGAGCCCCGAGGCATCTTGGTTTGCAAAGACGAGGAAGATGGGGATGGCTGATGGCACCTGCGGCAGTGTGTAAGGACAGGACGCAGTTCACTTGATTGGCACTTAGCAGATATTTGTAGAGTCAGACTGTTTTATTCTCACTGCAGCCTCGAGGGTTGGGTCCAGTCTGTGTTCATGTTTTGCTGTAATGGACATTTGCTGCGTGTAGTCAGGGTGGGATTCCCCACTTTATCTGAAGAACTGACGGTTACTCCATTAGGAAGTCTTTGCGAAATGACTAGCCAGCGGGACTGGAAGCTTTCAGGGAGCAAAGGCGATGTCTGTGAATGGCCTCTGTGGCCAGTCCAGCAAGCCCTGTCTGGGGACTCTGGGGACTCAGCTCCAGGCCGCTCTGCCTCTGTGTGGGCAGCTGCCCTTCCCCATGGGGCTAGGCACTTTGGCCATCCTTATATGTCATGTAAGCCCCCAGAAGTCTGGGGAAACTTGGGCAATGAACTTCTTTGTATAGTGGCTCCTCATTGTAAAATGGGAATAGTGATTCTAGCCTGTCCACCTCCTCAGGAGTTTTGTAAGGAATGAATGACTAAAGCTTGTGGGAGTATTTTCGTAGCTGTAGATTGCTTTGTAATTGAAGATGATTATTAGTACTGACATTGCTAGATAGGTAGACAAAGAAGAAGGTCGATGCTATAAAAGACTCTGATGCAGTCTCAGAAATGTCAGTCTCGGGGGCTCTTCCTCTAGAGGGCCCCAAGTACAAGACAGATCGTGTCAGCTGTCACTCGTGGGGCACGTAGATGGTGCCAAGGTCATCAGTGCACTGTGACCATGATTACGTTCAATTCCCACAGTAGCCCAGTCCACAGATGGGGAAATGGAGGCTTACCACAGGATCACTTTGCCTTGAGGTGGTGGCTGTGGGATTAGAACACTGTACCCCGTGTAGCCTGACAGCTGGGATCAGGCTGTCGAGTCTCCATGACTGTGATGCTGAAGCGTCTGCTCAGGATGAAGGCCTGCGTGCAGGCCAGGGCCCAGGGATGCCATGGCCGGCCGGTGGCGCCCAGGGGGAAGGCCTGTGTGCAGGGCCAGGGCCCGGGAACTCTGAGGCCGGCTGGTGGCGCCCCGCTCTATCTCCGCTCTTATCTCCCAGGTTGGTGACCTTATACAGCTGGTGAAGGAACTGTATGCAGACAACCAGCACCTGAAGAAGACCATTTTTGATCTCTCCCGCATGGGTTTCCAGGGAGGTGACCGACTTGAGTCAATAGAGCAAACAGAGGTAAGAGCAAGTGTTCGTGTTGTGTGCTGACTACGGAACAGGAACAGCTCCCGGCCGTGCTCAGGCTGCCCCGTCCCGAGGAGGCCCCTGTCGGAGCCCCTTTGCCGGACGGGGTTTTGAGGGCCCTGCCAGGTGAGCAGGCTTCCTCCCGTTGGGGGTCTGTCTGCATGGGCACGTCGGGCATGTTTTGATGTCTCTAGTCCCAAGTCGGGCCCTGGGATCCGTGCTGACATGGCCCATCTGGATGGGTGGCGTGGCCTTGGACGGATCTGGAGAGCGGCTGCTTCACCTAGGTAATTCGGCTGGTGTAGATGCAGCTTTAATGAATGGATCCGTTAACGTGGAAAAGCAAATGAGTAAACACGTTTTTCATTTACTTTTTGTATTAATCTTCTGAATTTTGTGCATCTTGTCGCTCCTCGCCTCTGGACTGGTGGATTTGACTGGATGTGTGCTGTCCCTTTGCACGCACAGCAGCACTCCTGCGCCCGGCCTCATGCGGAGGACGTGGTGGGGAGCCCTCGAGCCTGGCCCTCCGGCTGCGGGAGTTTTCTGCTGGGGGCCTTGGACAGCCCGGAAGGGCCATGAGCAGTTAAATCATGCTGTCTCCTAGGACCACGAAGAGCGTGTGGTTCGCTGGGCTCGCGGACCCGTGGGGCCAGTGAGAGGCCCCATCTGTTAGCCATCCAGCCCTGCGGAGCGACAAGGGAGGCCTTATCCAGCCTGGTGGCATCGGGCCTCCGATTCTCTGTCCTCGGCCTGTGCGTACAACAGGGGGCCTGAGGCTGTGCCACTGAGAAAGAGCCCCTTCCTCCCGCTAGCCCCTAGCTGGCCTCCCTCCCCCACGAGCAGAGCCTCCCCCCAGGCGTCTGTTCAGCCTTTCTCAGGGGATGGGGGCTGTACTGACCACGAAGTGCAGGAGGACCTTTGGCGCTTGGGTCCTGGGCCTTGGGCGCCTCAGTCTTCCTGGTTAGGGTTGTCTTGAATCCCGCCTAGCCGGCCAGGTAAAGGAGGGCTCGTTGCCACATTCTGGCGAAAGATCTGTCAGCCTTGAAGCTGTCTCCTCCCACCTTCAAAGTGCAAGCCGCTCCCAGGTATTTATGCTTCGCTCAGGCCATCTGCTGTCTTTGAGAGAGGGAATGTTATTGATCTCATCCTCCTGGGCTCCAGATCATTTTGGAAACTAAGAATATCTGCAATCTATTTAGGGAGAAACAAGTCTCTTGGTTTGTTTTCTCCAAGGCAGCATTTTTAATAAGCAGCTCATTCTTCACCTACTTCATTTGAGTCGTAAATGGCGAGTTTGTTTGTTCATTTGCCCTTTGAAAAAAATCTGTTAAATGTCCCATTATGTCCTTTGGAGAACACAGGCTTTTTCCTCTTCCCACTCTGAGATCTTAATAACCAGGCGATTCAGACTTGACTCATTTGACAGATTGCACTTCAACTTGATGTTCCCTATGAATAGATTTGTCCTGGGCAGCAATGTCCCCTCTTCCCCCGGAATGGGATGGGATGATCCCAAGGTCCGCATGGGAAGCAACCTGTCCCCACAGTGATCTCGAGCTGAAAGGTCACAGGGGTGAGTGTGAGCTGGCAGACAGGGGTGGCCGCCGTTCCCCGGGAGTGCGTGTGGTTCCACTTTGAGGAGGACTGGAGACGCCCAGGCTGTCCACAGCCTCGTCTGAGCAGCCGGGCTCACAGAACGGGGGGCTGGGTGCCATTCCTGCTCCGAGGAGTCTGTAAATCAGGAAAAGCGGGGCAGTGGTGGGGGTGGGGGGAGCAGTGGGAAGCAAATCTCTTTTGTGTTTTTAAAAGTCAATATTTTTCTCCAGTGTTTAATTAACCCGCAGCATTGGGTTAAAATAGAGAAAAGAAATTACCCCGATCCTGTCACTTTAAAACACGCATAGTTAATTAACATTTTGGAATCCTTCCTTCTCTGTCTGTGCAGATGGACACGTACAGGCCCGCAATGCATATACGCTTTCGTTTCCTGTTCTTATTTCCAATCGCTGCATTCCAGTATAGCATCTTACTTCGCCTTGTGAAGGCATCGGAATTGAACTGGGCCCCTCATTACCGTTGGACGTGTAGGTGGTTTCCAGCAAGTCCCTCTTTTAAATTACTGGATGAGGGTCTTTGAACACATCTTTTTCTGGGTTTAGGGTTTTTTTTCCCCCCCTTAGACTGTATTTCCAGGCACATAATTTCTAGGTCAAAAATACAGATGTGGATAGATACAGGTATAAAATAAGCATATAATTTATTTTTGTGTAGCCTCCCCCTCCCCGCAACTTTTAAGTTGACAAAGGGTATAAATAGCGGGAGGCCCTTGATACGGTTTATCAGGCTCGTCCTCAACATGGCCGCCCTGGAGTGGGCCCCCTCTGGCTGGGGAGGGCCGCACTCATTCCCCGCGTGGGGGCCATGCCCTTCAAAACCAGCAAACAAACAAAAGACTGAGAACAGGGGTCCTTTGGTTTGAAAAGTGCCTTAAAATAGTCCACATTGGTTTGTTGCTATTTCTTCACATTTGTTTACTGGTTATTAATTTATGCGTTCTGGAAAACGTGGTTGAGGACGGACGCACAGGAGTGCCCAGAGCAGCCGGCAGCCAGGGTGCTGAGCCTGCCTTGCGGGCGGACTGCGAGCTCTGTGACGGGTACAGGTGTTCTCTCTAAGGGGCAGGATGTAGGATACGCATCAGGGCGCAGAAGGGCTTCGTCTTTGTGAGGACTCTTTACCTACATCACTGTTTTTAGAAATGGCTAGAAAACCAAGATTTTTTTTTTGACCTGGAGGGAAAACATGGATTGAGGGACATGATTTAATTGAATGCAGATACTGGACGGGCTGTCATTCTGAATTAGAAGTAGACCTCGTGTGACCCTAGAGGACAGACGTGGTACTCAGAAGTAGAAGGTGCTGGCTAAATCTGCTTAGTAACAGAATACAGTTTTGTGTGTCTGAAGCAGATTTAATTTCATTAAAAGGAGGCGCTTTCTAACAGTCTGACTTCATAAGTTACTATGAATTTTACATGATTTATAAAGAGTCCTGGGCACAGTGCCTGGTATATAGTAGGCACTCAGTAAAACAGCTGATTTAATTAAAACATTTTAAATTAACTTTATTTTGCAAGACAGAGACAGCATGAGTGAGGGGTAGAGAGAAGACAAGAGAGAGAATCCCAAGCAGACTCCTTACTGTCCGTGCAGAGCCCGACCTGGGGCTCAAACTCCCCATGATCACGGTGAGATCATGACCTGAGCCGAAACTGGGAGTTGGATGTTAACCCACTGAGCCACGCAGGCGCCCAGTTTAATTTAATTTCTTTAGAAAGTTAGTGACAGAGCTGGACCTGCAGCCTTCTTCTGGCTCTGTTCACTGTTGTCTTCATGACACCATGGGGCAGTGCTACTCAAGTTTGCCGCGCACATGACTCTCCTGGGCCTCTTGTTAAAATGAAGATTCTGGTTCAGTCAGCCTGGCACGGGGACCTGAGAGTCCACATTTGTCATGAGCTTCTATGGCTCCAAGGGACACCCTTGGGGTAGCAGGACCGGATACCTTTTGGTCTCACCTCTCACGTTGAAAGACTGTTCGTTCATTTGTTTTTTCAGCAGGTGCTTTAGTGCGCACCTGGCGCTGTTAGAGCTGCACGGGGACACGGGCCTGCTGCAGCCAGGATGTCGGGCGCAGAAGCGGAGGATCAGGTGCCCCCAAGGGTGGGGAGGGCTGCGAAGGAAGCCCCCAAGGGTGGGGAGGGCTGTGCTGAGGGAGGGAGCGGACCGGGGTCCGGCCTTCCCTTTTGAAGTTGAGGGTAATTCTTCTTGGAGCGGGAAGGAGGGCTTGAAACGCAGATCACGAGAGAATAACCCAGGAGCCCGGGGCAGAACCAGGGGACGGCTCAGACGCTATGGAGCGATGCTTTAGGGACGGGATGTCCGCTAGGGTCAAGTACTGTCACAAGACCAGAAAAAAACGGTGAGAAGTTGTCAGTGAGTCATTCATGTGTGGAGTGAGGGACATTTCTCTGTGTCCACAGCATGTCATTTCTTGGCCGTTGCTGGAAATTGAGTTTACTTTTAATTTTGACCAAGTCAGCAGAGGTAAAGAGAAATGAAAGTTAATCTTGATTTCTGAGTAGTGGTGTGGTTGTGTTTCTGGAAATGAAAAATGGCTTCGATGCTGTTGGTATTTCAATTGGAAATGATGTGGGTTAACAATACTTAGCTTAACTTAGGGGAGACCCTTCCTTTGTCCACAGAGTCAGGGACGAGCTTCTCTGGGCCTCTTCCCTAAGCCCGTGTGGGGTCTGTCTCCTGTGTTGGACGGTCTCTGGGGACCTTTCACGTGCCGTTTCTACAGCGTGTCAGCAACGAGAGCCACGCTGCCGAATGTGGGGATAGACAGTTCTTTCAAGAAGCTTGGAGACAGGCAGAGAATGCTCAGTGGGCAGAGCTGTTGGGGAATCAGAGGGAGACTGCTGTTCTTCCGTTGTTTTAAAGATGGGAGAGACTCCCCGGCATTTTATCCTGAAAAATTTAAACACAGCAAAGAGAGAAGAACCTGATGGTGAACCCCCACACACTCCCCACCTAGATTCTCCTGCTAACATGTCCCACGTCTCGTCATCACTCCATCTGATCTTTTTGACCCATTGTAATATAAATTACAAATACCAGTGCGTTTTCCCTGAAATACTTCAACACGTGTCTTAGCTTCGGTATGTGTTTACGGTAGGAGACACAAAATCGGAAGCAGGCTCCAGCCTCCGAGCCGTCGGCACAGAGCCCTATGTGGGTCTCGAACTCACAAGCTGTGAGATCATGACCTGGGCTGCAGGTGGACACTTAACCGACTGAACCACCCAGATGCCCCCATTTTTCTGCTTTTGACCCCCACGTGTTGGTTTTGCCTGCACTAGAGCTTCCCAGAAATGGAATCATCGAGTAGACTCTCATGTAAAGCGTCTTTCATTCAGCATTCTGTTTTTGAGGTTCATCCATGTTGGTCCCGAAGCAACGACATGTTCCTTCTTACTGCTAAGTAGTTTTCCATTGCGTGAACGTATTGCAATTTGTTTATTCGTTCTGCTGCTGATCTGCATTGTTTTGGTTTGGGGATATTATAAAAATTGATCTGAACACTCATGTACAGATCGTTCTGTTTTCATTTTTCTTGATGAATACCTAGAAGTGGAATTCCTGGGTCATAGGTTTATTAGTTTTAGAGGAAATTGTCAGTACTTTTTCCACAGTAGTCTAACATCTTCTATTCCCACCAACAAGTTTGAGAGCCCTGGTTGGTCTTTATCACTTGAGCACGTTTTAATAATGAGGGACGATGTCAGTGGAGGGAGAGAAGCCCCTTGCCCACGTGTAGAAACTTTGATGCCTCTGTGAATATATTCATACGTGGCCAGCCTGTTTAATGTTTCATAGTTTAGGAAGGTCTGGTTTGTGACATCGTCAGTTCTGTTTGATCCTGATTGTAGATTTGGCTGTGGCCAGGTTGAATGTGTTCTGGTCCTGAAAAGTTTTCTAGAAAATGACTGAAGGAAGGCAGTTTGCTTTGTTTTGTTTGCTTTCTTCCAAAATAAGGGTTTCCTATAAAAGGAAGATCAGAAAAATTTAAGTTGGTCTATGAAAATTATGAACTGGATGTAGGAATTCATAAATAAAACTATAGAGACAGAACCTTAGAAGTCTCGCGTACAACTTGGCCAGGCAGTGACTCAGCAAGTGACACGTCGGTGCAGAACTTGCAGTTTCATCGGTGAGGAGAGGTTCAGTATAATTTTTAAAACCCATCTGACCGATTACCTCCCTGGGTGTGGCCACCTCTCCTCTCCATTTTGATTGCATTAATCCAGGTGTCCCAAGACTAGAATTTTCTCTCTTCCAGAGAGCTGAGATCTGGCCATCTCGGGAACATTGTACCGTCCATTCTGGAGAGTGCAGAATGTGGAAGCTTTTTAAAGGATCAGGGATTTATGCAGTCTTTATAAAACACTGCTCTTCGTTTCCAAAGCATAAAGTTGCCATCAGGCAGGCTCGACACTCTGCTCATTAGCGACGACTTTTTGTCAGCAGAATGACAGCATTGGTGGGACTGTCCATCTCAGATGTGTGACATTCCACAAAGAGGTTTATGTGGCGTGCTAACCAGGAGAAGTGGTGCATAAATCGGGCAGAGCATAAATTTCATTTACTGCTTTCTTGCTGTTTGATATTTTCAATTCCATCAATAGCTTTTCCCCAAAATCTTGTTACTTTTATATAATCTGGAAGTGAATTTAGCAGCGGCAGGGATGCCAGCGGCACAGCAGACAGCATATTCAATTTACAGCAGCTCGGGGCAGGCCCCGCGAGGGCAGGGGAATGGCTTTTGTTATTTCTTGGGGAGTTCATCCTGAAACACGGGACGCCCTAGGCGGCTGCGTGTGATTGGCCAGAACAGCATCTCTAACTTCGGTTAATTTTTGTTTCATTGGCTTTGGCACTCGTTTCTGCCTCCTTTTTGGTTTGTTTTTTTGTTTTGCATTAAAAAAAAAAAAAAAAAAGACATCGCTGACTTATTCATACATATTCATGCCGCGCACTTTTTTGGGTTGCGTTTTCACACCATTCCATGCTCCATGTAGCTTCTGGCTAGCAAGGAGGACGAGGACACGGCCAGAACTGGGGAGGATGACGAGAACGACTTCCTGAGTGACCAGCACGTGGAGCAGAGCGACAAGGTAGGAACGCGGCAGTCCGCTCCCATTGCATCTTCCCCTCGCGGTGCCCGCGCCAGTCTTCCGTTCCTTCTGCCTGTGTCGCGTGCTTGCCGCGTGCCAGTGGGGAGCGAAGACGCCGGGCCGCCTCCTTCTCAGACTGCGAGCGGGGTGGTGGAGCCCATCAGGAAGCAGGACGACGTACGTAGCGTTGCGAGTTAGAACAGGGTTGTTGTAAGAGAATAACAGGCTTTGGGTGTTGGACCTGGTCAGATCCTTAGAGATCTAACCCAACCCATTTGCTTCATGCATTGGAAACTGAGGCCCGTGAGTGGAGGGCATTTCTCCAGGACACAGCATTAAGTCAGTGACAGAAATGAGACGAGGGCCCAAAAGCCTAGGACACAGTGGAAGCGGGAGGCTAGAGTGTTGGCATTTGTAACCTTCAAGGTGTTCGAGTTCTCGTAGTCGTGAATGGGAGAGCATTAAAAGGTAGATGGTTTGGGAAAGCAGAGCAATTCCCAGTGGGCACCGATTTTAAGTCTTGGCCTGTATCTTTATGATCTCAGTTAACCCCTAGGCCTGAGTTTTTCCGTCAGGGAAGTTAATACATCCTTGCTGGAGTTTTTGTGATATTTAAACGGAGTAAATGCTATCACTCTTTTTATTATTATTTCCCAGACTTTCCTGCCTTGGAAGTTGCTTACTTAGATGGATGTAATAACTAGTTTGGTGGCAAGCGAGACCCTATAAATAACAGCTCATTCGTGTGGGTCTTGTCTTCCATTTAAAAATCTTAATCATTTCACAAGTGTGAGAGAGGGGTGTGATGGCTAGTGCGCATATCACCAGCAGTAATGAAGTCAAGGGGAGTTATTTATAGACGGGTAGAAGACATTTACAGCTTTGGGAAGGGGGAGGAAGCATGCTAATTGCAGCGCCTCAAGACATGCCCCGCACAAGCTTTAACTTGTGCGTCCTTGGTGCCACTCCTCCGGGGCCCTCAGTGACCCAGGAAGGTGGATCCGTAAATAACATCTCCCTGGGAGTTAGGAACGCGCTTCTTTCCTAATGAGACAAATCAACGTCATGTTAATTAGGATGTATCTGTAAAGAGTAAGGCGCCTTTCTGATGTATAATGGGGAGGATACATCGCAAGAAGTAGATCATAGATGTCCAAAAGGTCGTTGATGGCATGGGCTCCGTACCCTTCTTAGGAAGAACTTACCAGGAGCGGGCCCTGGGCCACGGGGGGATACACACATGGTGGGCAGGACACTGCCAGGGCTTTAGGTGAGCCCAGTCTTCTCATTTTATTCTCGTGGTCACCTGGGGAAGTGGCATTCCTCTCCCCATTTTGTGGATGAGGGAACCGAGGGGGAGGAGAAGTGATGTAGACCTGTCTGAGCTCTGGAGGGGGGTGTCTCTCTGCAGCAGGGCACGCGTGTGGACCTGCGAGCCCGAGCCCGCTCTCTGCCGTCCCCTGCTCTCCCCTCCCCTCTGGCCTGCCTGCACTGCTCATTCACTCTCGGCCTCGGCCTCAGTCCTCTCTCTCTCCCGCACGCACCCCCTTCCTCTCTTCCAAGGTCCGCATTTTGACCAAATACTCTGATTTGCAGGTCCTGGTGGATTATTCCAAAGGAGGCTGCAAAAATGGATATCTGAGGCACACAGATTCCAGTATTCCAGATGACGATGGAGCCTGCAAGCCTGGCTGCCCCGGAGACCGGAGGCTAGAAGAGGGTGACCTCGTGAACTTGCTTGCCCCGTTTTTCAACGAGAAGGCCACATTGTTCCTGGAATCCAGGTAGACGCGGGGCCCCGGCACCGCTTTCCTCTGCGGCGTGAGGGGAGAACAAGCTCATTTTGCTGAATGGATTTCGATGGCGGGGCTGCGTGAGGGCCTCCGAAACGTCTTGGAAGGAATCTTGCCAGTCAGGCAATTAAGTAATTAGGCTGCACGCGCGGCTGGGAGGGGACCCGGGCAAGGCCTCCTGCAGGCCTAGCGGAGACGGGGCGCAGCTTCCCTCCGGAATCGGTCCCGGGAGCCCAGGGAAGGGCCGCGTCTGGCTGTCAGCGAGAGGAATCAGCCCTGCCGGCGTCTCTTCCAGTTTCTGCAACAGCTTAGAAGCTGCCGTTGTAGTCGTGACTCGCTGTTTCACGTGGAGCTTGAACTTAAATTCTCTTCTCATTATATCTGCTGGGAGTCGGCCCGTGTGAGGAAATACTTCAGGGGGTTTGCCTCAAAACAAAAAGGAGAAACGCTCCGCACATTTGTGTCTTTCAAATTAACCCTTCGGGAGCAGATTGTCCCCCCTTCACATTCTTCCAAGTCCGTCGTGACAGGGACAGCTGCTCGGGCTTTGGAGCCAGAAGGAGCCGTGCCTTCCTCTCCGGCCACGTCCTCGGGAGCCGTGACGAGGAAGGAAACAGCGTTGAAGGAAAATGGCAGGCGGTAGTGTGTGTTCAGTAGAAGCGCCCCCCTCCCCTCCAGTGTAGACAGAGAAACGGAGCCACAGACTCCTGCCTGTGACTCTTGGCAAGAGCCGGGAACCAGACTGTGTCCTCTGTCGTTGGTGGACTAAGCCTCACAGATGTTTCTTCAGCTAAAAAAGGGACTGGAGTGCTCTGTTTTTGTGGGCTCAGGCAGGCGGCCCCCTCCCCCATCCCTGGCCTTTGTCCTCATGGGGGCACATGTTAGTGCCTCTTCGGGTTTCTTACCACAGGGACTTAGGTGACCATAGTCGACGCTTGGGAGCTGGGGCATTTTCTGCATGCCAGGGTCCCAGACGGTACATCAGAGCTCGAAGATGCAGCCCTCTGTCTGGGGAGCGCCCAGGAACGTGCCCGGGTGATGCGAGCTGGGGGAAGAAGGGTGGGCTGCCGCGCGGTGGGCGTGTGGGACCTGGGGGCTGCTCCCTGTCAGTTCTGATGGTTGTGGTGTGAGCACAGGGTCTCACAGCCTTCTGCTCTTTCCAGGGAAGCCCCCAAATTATATTCTGAATCTCTTGAGTTTTACAAATGTAGCCCTAGTTCCATTTTTTCAGAAAGCATTTTCTGGGCCGGGCAAGCTTGTGACATCTGTGGTTCCGTTCCCCGGACCCTGCAGCTAACCCTTCCGTAGGCTTCCGGGCCTTGCTGGCCACTCGCAGTGTCACAGAAGGCTTTCTTACAGAAGCCGGAACCTGCTGCCCGATCTTGTTCTCCGGATGGCTGTCGTTCATGGTGCACCACTGCAGCCTGTGACGTGGATGCGTGGCTCCGAGGGCCCTCCCGTAGGCCCGGCTGCGGTCGGCACCCCCGTCTGGCAACCACACCAGGCACCACATGCCCGGTCCCGTTGCACCCTCACACCAGCTTTGCGTGCTGCCGGCGCTGATCTCCTTTTCATAAACGTGGGAGCGGACATCTGGGGACTTGGCTTTCCCTCAGCAAGTAAATGCCACGAGCTGTGGAGAAGTTTCCGGAGGAGTCTTTTACAAAGACTCCTTGGGATAACCAGGATTTTGGTCGGTCAGGGAAACACCAGTCTTCTGCTTCAGAAGCCCTGCTTGGCCCAGGCCGCCACCATCAGCTGCCTGGACTCCGGCAGCATGGCCTCCTCTACTGTCCGTTCTCCACAGAGTGGCTGCAGGAGGTGGTGGTGTTGTTGCCAAAGTGAACTTTTTATTTTTGTCTATCTATTTATCTTATTTATTTATTTTGAGAGAGAGACAGCAAGCAAGCAGGGCTGGGGGAGAGAGAGAATCGCAGGCAGGCTGCATGCTGTCAGCACAGAGCCTGATGCAGGGCTCGAGCTCAACAACCGTGATATCATGACCTGAGCCGAAGTCAAGAGTCGGGCGCTTACCCGACCGAGCCATCCATGCCGTGGTCCAGGCACCTCGTGCCACAGTGATCTTTTTAAAGCTCAGGTCAGATCACATCCCTTCCAGGCTTAAGACCCTCCAGCGGCTTCCAGTGCCCTTACAGTAAGGTCAGAGCCTCTTGTCCTGGCGCCCACCTGTTTCTCTGTCCTTATCACCTACCCCGCTTGCTCACCCAGCTCCTCTCTGCTCCTCACACATCCAGCCTGGTTCTCACCTCAGGGCCTTTGCACTAGCCATTCCCCCTACCTGGAGCACTCTTTTCCCAGGTATATGTATGACTGTGGGGCCTCGGCCAGACATCAGCTCTGTTGCTGACCACTAATGGGAAACCTTGCTTCTACACACAGTCTCAGGACTCCCTCTGTCCCTCCCTCAGTTCAGAGTACTTATCAGTGCTCTACCTGGTCTTATTTAGTTATCGACATATGTATGAATGTCCGTCTGTCGTCTTTATTTTTTTTTTAATGTTTTATTTATTTCTGAGAGAGAGAGTGAGCGAGCATGAACAGGGGAGGGTCAGAGAGAGAGGGAGACTCAGAATCTGAAACGGGCTCCAGGCTCCGAACTAGCTGTCAGCACAGAGCCCGACGCGGGGCTTGAACCCACAAACCGTGAGATCATGACCTGAGCCGAAGTCGGACGCTCAACTGACTGAGCCACCCAGGTGCCCCATGTCCGTCTGTCTTCTTAATGAAACGTAAACCCCTTCGTCCCTCTTCACCGGGCACATCCGCCGCCTTACATGGCAGGTGGGAGGTGCCCCATAAATATTTCAGTGAGAGTGCAGACGATCCAAAGTGCAGCATCACAGCAGAAGGTAAGTGCAGAAAATTAGAAAGAGGGAAGTGATTCTTTGGAGTCAGAAAGACCTGGGTTCCAGTCCTTGTTCTGCCCCTTTGTTAAGGGATCTTGAATCTTTACGAGCCAGTTTCTTCATCTGTAACATGGGGTCAGCATCGCTGCGTGCCCTGGCCTTACGGTGACCACTACATGCAGTCAGTGCAGGGCACCTGGGTGGCTTAGTCGGTTAAGTGTTTTGATGCCGCTTCAGGCTATGACCTCACGGTTCCGGGGATCGAGCCCCGCGTCGAGCTCCAGGCTGCTGGCGTAGAGCCTGCTGCCCGCTTGGACTTCTCTGTCTCCCCCTCTCCCTCTGCCCCTTCCCTGCTTGTGCTCTCTCTCTCAAATAAATAAACTTAAAACACAGTGAATGTAGTCAGTGTATTTAAGGATCTGACGCTCTGTTAAGTGCTTCACAAACGTCAGTTCGTCTCCCCTTACACCTTCTCTCTACAGCAGAGAGTCTCAGGAAGTGTGTATCAACAACGCTCGGGCCCCTGACAAGGCCCTCGACTGAGCCATTAAAAAGGTCCTGATCACGGCAGTGGCTTGATAAATGTGCCGCTCAGATTCCCAGTAAAGTAACACTTGAAATGTTTTATTTTACAGCACCCCCACAGTAGTGTATTACAATGGCCTCTTTCGCCACCTTTTACCACCCATTTGTAAAGTCTTTTTCCTGGGCTTTATTGTGTGCTGTGTGGTGGTGAGTAACAGGCCTCGTTTGGCTAGCTCAATAGCAATTGTCATTACTTTTAATCTATGTTAAGAGGAGGAGAGGGAAGGAAAATTGAGTTTAACATGCTTAAAGTACCAGAAATATTTTTAAAGTCTGGGTTTACTAAATTTTTAGATGGTTTGTGTCGTCTAGATGATTCCATCTTAGAGTGAAAAATGCACCATACGTTTAAATTTGTTTTGCAGGCTATTTTATTTTTTACCCCGCTTCGGCCTGCTGCGGCTGTGTGATCTGAATGGAGTCGCCTGTGCCCCAGAGCTAAGCTGATGGGAGTCCAGCCGGGAGTAGGGCCTTCCCCTGCCAGTAGAGGGCACAGCGGGGAAGGTGAAACTCGGGCTCGCGCCCGAGCTGCGGCAGAGACACGTGGGGGGACCTTGAGGGAGCCCGTCTGTAGAGGCTGGAGGAATTGCAGAGAGAGGAGAAAGGGCACATCACGGATGGGGGCCTTCCTGCCCCCTGTCAGTACTGACGGCCCAGACCTCGCCTTCTGACACCCCTTTCCTGGAAGTTAACAGCTGCCCCGCTGGCCTCTCCTTCTTTCCTTGCCCACTTCAGTCCCTTTTTTACCTTATTTTCCTGCCTCAGTCTCCGAGTTTCTTCTTTCTTTCTTAAATGAGTCACTTTTTTTTTTTTTTTTTACCGTAAATGAGTAGCTTTTTCTTCTTTATGTTTTAGATGATTTACATGTACTTATTTAAAATTTTTTTTAATGTTTATCCTTTTTTTTTTGAGAGAGAGAAAGAGAGTGTGTGTACATGTGGGAGAGGGGCAGAGAGAGAGAGGGAGACACAGAATCTGAAGCAGGCTGTAGGTTCTGAGCGGTCAGCACAGAGCTCGATGTGGGGCTTGAACTCATGAGCTGTGAGATCATGGCTAGAGCTGAAGCTGGATGCTTAACTGGCCGAGCCACCCAGGTGCCCCTGTACATACTTATTTTAAAATCTTCAGTTACTTTATTGATTTTATTTTCTTGAGCGTGAACTTTGGTCTGTTGGGTTGCGGCCTGTCTGTTGTAGCAGTGGGCTGCGTGTGCGGGTTTGATTTGCCCGTGTATACAGCCGGCTCCGTCTCCCTGCTTCCTCTTTCCCCTGTGGGGCGCCGCAGTTGCCTTTGCTTGGCCCTCTGGCTCCTGAGATCTCCATGGCTTTCTTCCTCGGTTTCTGACCTTTGGATGAATTATACCTTGTTTTTGAGGCCTATAGTGCACCCTGTGATATGCTCTTGTTAGGTGTTTTATGCTGTCACTTACGTGGGTTTCGAGCAGGGTGGGTGGTCTCCTGTATGTACTCACATTGCCCCCTTGACAGGAAGTCTCTTCACTCGTTCTTCACACAGCAGCCAGAGTCCCCCCTGCAAAGCACATGAGTGACCGGGCCACTGCCACAGAGCCATGCAGTGGCTCCCCTTTCCTCTCCCGCCTCAGCTCCCCCTGCCTAGCTGTCAGCCTCACCCCCTTACCCTCCAGCGTGCCTCAGCTGTACTCACCTTGTTTGCCAGGCCTAGAATGTCCCATTTCCCTTGGGCCTGGATCCCTGGGATTGTGGCTCCATTAATTAAAGCCTGCACAGGCCTGTGTTGGCCTTCGTACCCCATGGAGTGGTGGTGTGCTAACATGCCTGTCTCTGACTCAGGCTAAGCCTTGCGGGAAGGTTTGCGCCCTCGGTGCCCATCGCGGGGCCTAGCACAGGAAACACCCACAGGGGTTCTTCAGGAGCTGCTCTGCAGTCTTGTGCATGCTGGCCTGAGTTCCTGGGAAACAGAGCCTGAAGTGAGGACTAGGGTACAGAGGCTTCTTTGGGATGTGACTCCGGGGAGCAGAGAGGGTCACACAGGAATAGAGGCGGAGCCAGTAGGGGCACACGAGTGATCTGGTTAGTGCCTCAGGCGGCCTCTGAGGGACACGGTAGACTGCGCCGTAGCATCGTCTCTCCGGACGCTGGGAGAGGGGGACGTTTCCAGGCAGCTCTCTCCCCCCACTGCTTGAGGGTCCCCGCCCCCCCCCCATGTAAACCGGTTCTCACTTCCCACTGCCCTGCTGGGGGTTAGGGAGCCCCGGAAGAGCCCCAGTGCAGCAGAGGGGGGCCAGGAGTGCTTGAGGCGGGGCTGTCTGTGTCTCCCAGTGCCATCCACACGTGTCCACGCAGCCTGAGCTGGGTCCACGGGAGCCTGGGGCACATGGCCAGGGGCACGAAAGGATCTGCTACCTGTACGCCCTCTCGTTTAATCCACATCACTGTCCTGTGGGGGGAGACTGACCCCTCTTCCAAAGAACCGCTGAGTTAGAATTTGGAGCCGCTTTCGTGTGATTTCAGAGCCACTGCTCTTCCTGTTAGGAGGGGTTCCCAGCGTCCCTTCATTCAGCACCTACTTCCTGAGCACGGACTGTGCACCATGATGGGCCTGCTCCCGGATGGGCCCTTAGGGTTAGTGGGGCCCACCCAGCTGTAATTGCCCCTGGATATAGGTAGGGAGCTGGGGGTGGGTGGACCTCGCGTTTGCCAAGAGCACTTGATGGTCCTGTTTGCTCCCTCCTAGGCCCAGCCTGCGTCTGTAGAGTCACGGGGCCCCTAACTTGCTGTGTATTTGTGTCATGTCACTTCTCCTCTTATCCATGGCGTAGACGAGGTAGTACCCACGTTGCGTGGTGGTCCTGAGGTGACCTAGGATAAATTCCTGGGTGTGGGTCCCGGCACTTGGCCGGCGGTCAGTGTGCTTAGTTTAAACAGGCTCTAGGCCAGTTGGGAAAACTTAGGAAACTGGGAAGAGCACGAGAAAACCGAGTTCTTCCCTTTCCTTCCCTTTTGGAAAAACAGGCCTGACCTTCTGAAAGTGCTGCATGAGCTACTTCTGGAACGAATATGCTTGATAGAGCAGGGAGTTTCTGCAGGACACCTTGATGGTGACACCGAGAGGCCACTCGAGCAAACGGCTCTTCAGCCAAGAGGCGAGGTCAGACATTTCGCCCTCCCCAACTCGTCCTCCAAGCCCCACGATGCACCGAAGTCGCTGTGGACAGCCCCGCTCGAAAGGGCAGGCGAAGCATCCAGGCCGGAGCTGAAGGATGCCTCCGTGCAAACCGTGACTGTGGAGGGTGACGCGCACCGGTTCCCACAGCATGGCCAGAGAGAGGCTTGGGAAGAGAAGCCGCCGGATGCCGTGTTCCACACGGAGGGCCCGCCAGAGAGCTTGTGCGCGAAGCCGGGGAGGCACGCTGCTCGCCCATCCTTCCCCATTGGGGCCCACAGAGTAAGCTTGTTTGTACGTAATTTATTAATGTTTTATTTTATACAAATGTAAGACTTAAAAACTCACCTCTGATCCCGCTTGATTTATATAAAATCCGGTATCTCCCTCTGCCTGTACTTAGCCTGCCCTCTACCTTGCAATGTGTGTTTTGTCTTAACCTTCCCCCCAGCCCAGCCTTATTTATCTGTATAGCGTGACATTTATGTGGTTTTCTTAGAAAGATAGAGCCATATTTATACGTCTGTTTATGTAGCCTTTTCTTCCATGCTGTCTACCAGGAACGTCTTTCCTGGTAGTGGCTTTGTAGGATTCTATGGTGGGGAATGTGCCAGAAATTGTCCGACTTTCACCTCCAGGTGGACACTTAACTTTTGTAGATTGCAGTGAAATTGGGGTAACTGGACTTTAGGAGTCAGGCCGAGAACGTAGGTTTTCCCTTCTGCAGACTTTCTGGCGGAGAGGTACTTTTCTGTGAGCTTTGTCCACGTGCTCAGATCCGCACGACACCTATCAGAGCACAGGAAGCCAGAAGTTGAATGCCCACAGGTGGCCAACAGTTAAGGGGCGGCACTGGGACCGCCATGCCCTTTCCCAGGCTGGCCCCCAGCTCCCGCTGACCCACAGTGGTAGGTCCAGTGCTGGTGGGGGAGTGCGTCTTGCTTCAGTCAAGATACTGTCTCAAGATACCATCACACGTGCCGGATTATTAAAAGCCAGACTCTCCTGGCAGTGTTCGATTGGACCTTTTGCTGACACCCCCCTGGGCACAGGGGTTGGGGTTGGTTGGTCCCCAAAGCAGGGAGAGGTGTGTGGCCTGGTGGAGAAGCAGGTCATGTTTCTAATCGAGCTGCAGCGAGGGCTCTTGGCGTCCTGTTCCTGACGGGTGTTTTGTATCTGAGAAACCAGCTGTACACACTGCTTCGTGGCATCAGAATGGGGAAGTAAGTTTATTTTCTGACCACTAAATTACTGCTTTTGTGCATACCACAGGGAGTTAGCTATATCATTAGCAAAATTGCTTTTGATTGTTTTAAATTATGCACCAAAACTGTAATTTCTAGAAAAGGGTTTTCTAAAGATATCAGTAAAGAAAAAAAAAAAAGACACCGCATTATATTAACGGTACTCCAGATGCAAATTCGTGCAATTTGGCTGGAATGGAAACACTCTCATCTGCCCCCGGCCCTCTTAGTTTGTACCTGAATGTTAGGAAAACCCAGGTAGTTTTTTTTCCTCCCAGTTTATGTGGGGGATGGCCTCCTTTGTGCAGGAAAATCGCAAAATTGAATGAATTTATTAATTTCCCTGAATATATTTAAAAACAATGTTTTTAGTTGTTGTCGTTTGTTTTTATTTGGAGTTCTCCTTCTTACGCGTTTCTTCAAAAGGAAGGCAACCGGGTTTGTTTTTTAGCGTCTTGTGTTCATGCCAGGATTGTGCTAGAAATTCTAGACCGTCACATTTAATCTTCTCAGGAAGCATATGAGCTAGGTGGGCCTTCCCCGCATTTTACACATGAAGAAATACAAGCTCAGAAAATTGTCCAGAGAGAGTCGGCTGTTGGGAGGACTTGTGGGACGCAGGCCGAGGCCCAGCTTTGGAGGCAGGCGGGGACACTCTGAGCATGCCTTTCTCAGGAAGGGAGGCGCCCTCTCATCACCACTGCACACGTGCCCCGGATTGCTTACCTTTCTCGGCAGCTCGGAGGTTACGGGTGTGAATTAGAAGCTGAGGCTGGTGTAGCAGCGACACGAGGAAGTGTGTGGTGGGTGCCCGCTGGAGCCTCGTACGTGGCGGTGTGCGTGCGGGCCAAGCGCGGTGTGGGAGCGTTCCTGCCCTGCCTCCGCCCCCGGGTGAGGGGTCCCGCTCTGACATCTGTAATGAGGTGGTAGGTGGGACTCCGCTCAGCGCCCATAAGGTAGCATTTTGTGCGGCGTTATTTTAGAAGCCGCGTTAGGTTGACTGACGGCAGTCTTCCAGCCTGAAATTGGCTTTGGCATTTGTGCGCTTGCAGATATCTTTTCTCCTGCCGTATGACACACAGCTTTGGATCTAAGAATAGAGATCGGTGGAGACTGAGGACCAAGCAGAGACTGTTATTTTCCAGTCCCCTTTGACGAGGCACGCACTTCCTCCCAACTGGTCCCCTTCACCACCTCAGACTGTTCTCGTCCTTGAACCCGTTCTCTCCCCCTGGAATTTCAGGATAGAGAGTCTCACTTTCCTTGACTGAGCAGTAGAGGCCGAAGAGCTGCTGCGAGGTCCACGTCTCTACCCTGCGTGTCATATGACACTGGATGGGTGGTTTGGCATCTCAGTTCTTTGTCTGGAAAATAGGCCCGATAACTGCTGTTAGGTAGCCTGTGAGCCCTGGGAATGCAGAGCTCGCCTGCGGACTGTGGGAGAATGTGCTTAAAAGCATTTCGCATCCTGGAACGGGCAAGCAGGGCTCCTTCCTCCCTTGTCCTTGGGAGACGCTGCTGATTTCAGCATTCCCAGGATCCTGAGTATTTCCTGTTTTCCTCTCAGGTTCCTTCTCTTCCACTTAAAAAATTAAAAAGAATAGTAGCTTCATTGAGGCATAATCCACATATCATACAGTTAACCCACTTAAAGTATATAGTGTACTGCTTTGTTTTGTTGTTTTTGTACATCTGGAGAGTTGTGGAACCATTACCATAATCAATTTTAGAGCATGTTCATTATCCGAAAAGAAACCCTGACCCATTAGTGGTCATTTTCCATTCCCCCCCATCTGCCCGAGCTGTAGGCCGCCACTGTTCTGTTTCTGCCTTTATTCGTCTGTCCTCAATATTTCATATAAACGGACTCACACAATATGTCATGTTTGGTGACTACTTCCACTTAGCATAATGTTTTCGAGGTGCATCCGTGCTGTAGTCTATAGTGCTTCAGTTTCTTTTTATTGCCAGATAGTAGTCCATTGTATGGATAGAACACATTTAATTTATCCATTCATCAGTTGATGGACATTTGAGCTCTTTCTACTTTTCAGGTATTATGAATAATGCTGCTGTGAACATTCATTTACTACAAGTGTTTGTGCGTACATGTGTTTTCATTTCTCCAGGGTGAATACCTAGGAGTGGAATTGCGGGTCAGGTAGTAGCTCTGTGTCTTCTGTTTAACCTTTTAAAAAAATTTTTTTATATGTTTGTTTATTTTTGAGAGAGAGACAGTGTGAGCAGGGGAGGGGCAGAAAAAGAGGGAGACCCAGAATCCAAAGCAGGCTCCAGGCTCTGAGGTGTCAGCACAGAGCCCGGTATGGGGCTCAAACCCATGAACTGTGTGATAATGACCTGAGCCGAAGTCGGACACTTAACCACTGAGCCACCCAGGCGCCCCTCTGTTTAACCTTTTGAGAAGTCACCAGACTGTTTTCTAAAGCGGCTGCTCCTAGTTTACGTTTTCACCAGAAACATGATGGTTCTAGTTTTTCCACATCCTTCCCAACACTTGTTATTATTTGGATTATCAGCTGTCCTAGTGGGTTAGGAGTGGCAATATGTCCCTGTGATTTGGTACATGTCCCCGATAACTAATGATATTGAGCATCTTTCTGTGTGTTTTTGGCCATAACTCCATGTCCTTTTGAGAGATGTCTACCAGATCCTTTGCCCATCTTCAATTGAATTATTTGTGTTTTTTATTATTGAATTATAATAGTACTTAAATATTCTAATTTTGGTCCCTTTCCCCAGCTTTTGAATATATTTAAAATTCCCCACACTCAAAAGTCACCCCCATTTGGCCTCTTAAATTATTGTTTGTATGTTCATGTCACAAATAGTTGTTGAGTACCTACCGTGTTCTTGTGCTGAAAGCTGCGGAAGGAGTATGACCAAGAAATGCAGAGTTCCTGAGCCCCAGAGCTTGTCAGCCAGTGCGGACGATAGACAAGTAATCGCACAGGCATTTAGTTTTAATGGTACCAGTGTAGGAGGCAGTGAGTGCCCTTAGCAGAGAGTCCTGACCTGGCCTTGGAAATCAAGGCCCATTCTCCCGAGGAAGACATGAGCTGGGTGCTAAAGAACGCATTGGGATTATGCGAGGGGTGGGGGGTGGGGCAAGAAGAGTGTTGTAGACACAGGAGGCAGTGTAGGCCACGGCCCTGGGCCTGAAGGAACACAGACACTGAGGAACTGTTAGAAGGTGAGAGTGTGGGCATAGGGAGGCAGGAGGGGGGCAGTGACTTGGGCAGCATGGAGGCTGTGGTAAGGATTTTGCCCTTTGTCCTAAGGGAAAAGGGAAGTGTTAGGATGGTCTTAAGCAGAGGCGAGGGATGGTAGATTCGCCTTGCCTGCTGCCGGTGGAGAGTGGACTCGAAAGGCCAAGGGCGCTCGGGAGGTGCGTTGCCATGACGAGGTGAGCGCCAGCCGCATCTTGGGGTTGGTGGGGGACGAAGAGAGCCAGGAGGCCTCCGAGAGGACCTGGGGGCAGGGACCAGTGGAGCCCGGCAAGGGGGGAGAGTGGGTGACGAGCGTAAAGGGCAGTTTGATGAGGATGCGCCGTGAGGGGATGGTGGTGCGATTCACCGAGAGCGTTGAAGCCACGTGGCTTTGGTGCGGGGACTCGGGTGGGGCATGTGAGGAGCTGAGCGCTGGGCTGGCCGGTGGCAGTGAAGGTGTCTACGCAAGGCAGCTTGGGAGCACTGAGCCCGGGCAGTAGCCCTGGGATCGGTGACTCAGTAGCCACAGAGGACTCCAGTGGGGGGTGGTTCTGGTGTACTAGCAGGGGCAGGAGGCAGATCGGCTTAGACCGAGCAATGAGGGCGGGGGGAGGAAATAGAGAAGGAGCAAGAAAATGTTTCTTAGAAGATCGTGTTGAGGAAAGGACTGCCATGTATTGAGCATCTGCATGTCCGCAGAGACGGTGGGCCAGGGCCAAGCGGGTGTCGACGGGGAAAAGCTTGGCAGAGGCCAGTCAGAGGAGGGACCTGCCAAGACACAAATTCTGTAGACCGGGGGATAAGCATAGATGATGCCATTATAGGAACCAGAAGTGTGGACAGCCGGCTTGAATCCTGCTTTACGAGGTCGGCGTGAGAATGTGTTGCCTGCGTGACCAGTGGACGTGTACTCATTGTCCCCTCCATGTGTCTCTTCAGGACGCCAGGAGGTCCCGCTTGCCCATCCTGAGGAGAGCGTCCCAGCCAGCAGGAGATGTGAGTCGGCCGCCCGCCCCCCAGGACCTGGTGACCCAGCTGCAGGGCCAGGTCCTGGAGCTGCAGGGGGAGCTGACGGAGTTTAAGGTCCGCAACAGGCAACTTCAGCAAAAGCTAATCCTGGCCGAAGCGATGATGGAGGGGAGGCCAGCGCCAGACGAGACACTCCTGAAAGGTGAGCGCCAGGAGAAATGTGTTCTCTGTGAGCGAGACCGATGAGCGATAGAGCTGCTCGAAGCGTCAGCCTGCTGTTTAGAGCTGCAGTAAGCTTGAGTGTAAATTTTATGAATTACAGTGATTAATCTTGACGCCTGACAAACATACACTCAAAGGAACACAATAAGGGAAATGAATCTGTTGTTTTCATTTTATTCCTGAGTCCGCATGGGGGGGGACTGGCCAGTGCTCGCAGGTCGCTGCGGCCTTCCCTGGGGGAGCGTGTGAGTACCCCGGCTGGGGAATGATTTGAATCTGGGTTTGTTTTTTTTTTTCTGGTTTTGTCTATGGAAGCCTCATGCATATGGCATCGTGTGTGTAAGCAAGAGTCCTCGTGGCAGGCTTTTCTAGAACATTCAGGCTCCATCACTTTGGGTCCCTCAGGGCCAATTCCAAGCCATTGTTGACCTTATGTCTTCCTCTAGAAGTGACCTGCCCCCTCGCCCACTTTGAATCTGTTGTTTCTGCCCTTGCGGGAGCTCCCAAAACAGAGAGCCCCTGGGTTAAAATGTGTCCAAGTTAGACTGCATAGACTCGGAGGGGGCATATGATGTACTGTCCCCTAGGCTGAAGCAGTGGCAGTGGTTTGGGGCCACCACCCCTTCGAGAATCTGAAGAAAGCGGACAGCCGTTACCACAGAGCATTGTAGGTTAGTGCACAGGGTGGGTCATGCCTCGTTTTCGGAGGGTTCATGAGCCCATAGAAATACACGCTCGCTCCTGATCTTGAACTTGTGCTTCAGGCAAATGATAGCAATACCCAATACCAAGAACAGCAGCAGTCTTTTATTTATCTATTCAAAGCCCAGTGATTAAATCCTCCTGTGTGCCAGGCCCCGCTGTGGGCCCTGGGGAGATGGTGAACGGAACAGGTGACCAAGGTCTGTGTATACTTGCGTTCCTGTTGTGGGGAGGAAGACAGTGAGCCGACAAGTAGGCAAACCATGTGTGAGATGGCAGGTGCGGTGGGGAGAGAGAAGGCAGGGCTGAGGCAACGTGGAGTGGGGTGGAGTTTGCTGCCGTGTGTGGAATGAGCTTCCCTGACGAGGTGACATTTGAGTGGAAACCAGCAGGAAGTGAGCGGAATAGTCAGTCAGCCTTGGGAAGTGTGCGAGCAAGGGCAAAGGCCCTGATGTTGTTTTGACTTTGGGAAGTTGGATGAACGAGAAGGCCAGTTCTGTGGCTGACGCGGAGTGAGGAAGGGCAAGAGGTCAGGGGGCAGCGCATCAGGTGGGCCCTCAGGGTCGTTCTAGGGCTTTGTCTTCTACTCAGGTAAGACCGGAAAGTACTGGAGGGTTTGGAGCAGCAGAGTCCCATGACCCGACTGCAGCTCTCAAGCAGGGGTTGGCAAAGTGCGGCCTTTGGGCCCTGCTCGCTGCCCGTTTCTATCGGAACATGGAAACACTCCTTCGTTCGCATCGTGTCTGTGACTGCTTTGGTGCTCGAGAGCAGCACTGAGTCCTTGTGTGGAGGTCGTGTGGCTCACAGAGGCTAAGATACCCTGTATTTGGCCCTTGGAGAGAAGTAGGCCGACCTGTGCTGTAAAGGATCACCTGTAATGTGTGCCATCAAATGATGGCGTCCTCTTGCGCTGAGGCGGGCCGGGCCGCAGGGGAGGTGGGCGCCAGTGGGTGTCGGGCGTCTGGTTTTAGACTGATTTGAGACGCTCGTTGACCGTCCCCGTGGAGATGTCAGGTCACGCTTGGAGTCGCAGGAGTCTGGAGTTGGCGCCGGATCTGGGCTAGGGCTGTAAACTCAGTAAATCCCAACATACTGCTGGTACTTGCAGCTCCGAGACTTGGAGCCTGGGGAGCAGATCCAGAACTGAGATGGGGACTCTTGTGAGTAGAGCTGGACAGAGAAGGAGGGGCCAGAGAGACAGGAAGGAGCCTCGAGAGGAAGCATCCAGAAGCGAGGTCAAGAGCAGGCTCGCTGTGCCACATATTGTTGATAAGACAAAGATGGAGTATTGGCCTCAGGATTTCGTCACGGGACGGTGTCCCCGGTGACCTTGAAGGGAGCTGCGTCCCTGGTGTGGCTGGACATGCATGGCAAGGCTTCCGGAGAGCCCATGGAGGAGGGGAACCGAGACGGCAGGAGCCGTGAGGAGCTTTACGGGAAGGCCATGTGGACAAGCAGGGCAGTTGGGACCACATTGACAGGGGGTCTCAGGGAATCGATGGATTGGGACTGTGGGGGCTGCAGCAAGGTGAGTGGTCACTGCTATGGCCTGGCAGCGTGAGCCGTGGAGCTGGAGCATCTCGGGAAGAGATCATGATCTGGAAGGGTCCGTGAGGAGTGAAGGCGCCTACGCTCTGCCAGGTCTGTGATAACGGGAACAGGGGAAAGAAACGTCCAGTCCTGGGGAGGCGGGGTCGGGCTGCCCAGGTCCTCAGGACGAGGGGGCAAGGTGCGTGTTGAGGGAGGAGATGGAGGCGGTTTGGGATTTTGCCATTGAGCAGTTTGCTCTCTGGGCTGGAGATTGCATCCGATGAGGGGATTGTCAGGGCAGCCCAGGGCCGGCGGGGGGGCTGGGCGTCGTGGACTTCCTGTGTCAGTGATGAGACAGGTGCCTGTTGTTTATCCGGCCCCATTGCCCACTTGAAATGCACCATCTAATTGCTGCTGCTTCACATCCTTGAGGCAGGAACAGTCCTTATCCCCGCTTGTCGTTGAGGCCACGGTTTCAGAGAGAAAGTGACTTGGCTACAGTCGTACTGGCACTGACTTCTGGAGCTAGATTTGAACCACTGCCTGATTTCGAAGCCTGTGCCCTTTACTGCTTCATAAAGCCTCGTGTGTGATACGTTGCGTGTGGGTTTTCTGACGATCTGTAGCCTGTGGCGTTTTCCATGTATCTTTGGGTTCTCGGGTTCACCGTAGTGGAGGTTTCAGGATGATTGGGGGCATTGGCAGTACCGCTCTTTCCTTCCCCCCTCCTTTCCCACTTTCTCTCCATCCAGCCACACAGCCATCGACTCATGCGTTCAGTGGATGTTCCCTGAGCACCTGCTGTGTTCCAGCCTCATGCACTGGGTGTAGGAGAGACACAGAGACACAGAGGAATGAGATTGTCTCTGCCTCTGAGAACCCCCTGTCCGCGGAAGTGGGGGGCACTTCAGGGAGGGAAGATTTTTATGGCAAAGGTGACTCAGCCCACCAGAGGCCCTGGCACTTTGCCCCGAGCTTGCTGTACGCACTTACCAGTGTTTTCCTCTCTTGCTGAGACAGGGAGCCTCAGCCAGGTACCTCCCTCACACGTGCCCAGGAGACCCCGAGGCCTCTCTCTTCCGGGAGGAAATGTGGGCATGAGTCTATAGAATTCATTTTCTCACTCACAGTTTTTTGAGAGCCTGGACTTAAACCATTTCAGACAAGCTGCAGTATATTTATGCTTTTTACGTCCTGTTATGGCAGCTCGATAGATTAATTTTATCTTATAAATTGCATTTTGCCTCCCCAGTGTTTTTATTTTCCCCATTGTATCTTTGTGTTCTCAGTTGCTTGGCTAAGTTTCAAGTCTATGGTTTTATTTATTTTTCCTTCTCTTCACGAACGCCTGTAGCCCAGCCCCTTGGGGGAGCAGCCTACCACGACAGCCCAGGAGAGCAGAAGGGAATTACAAGCGTGCCCGGTGTCTGCAGAGACCAGCAAGGGGACGGCGATGAGCACACCAGCGACGAGTCCGGTCAGAATTCAACGCCCGTGTGTGTTGAGCAGCTTCCGTGTGCCAGGCCCTCCTTGGGGTGTATTATAGAGACAAATTGTCACTAAGCCGTGCAACAGGCTCCATAGGACGTCACATGAGGAAGCTGAGGTTGTTAGAAAGAGTTGATCTGGGGTCATCCAGCTGGTGAGGAGATAGACGAGCAGAGGTGCGGTGGACCGTGTGGCCGAGCCTGCCAGTCCGCCAGCCACGCTGTCCTCCCGGGCCGTGGGCCGGGTGCTAGTGGGCACAGGACGTGTTCTTGGGGACCCTGCAGCCCGGCAGGCAGGCAGGCAGGCAGACCCCTGTGCGGTGCCGGCTGCGTTAGTTTAGCTGAGCCCCCCCGGGCCCCAGCTGCCCATGAGGCTGGGAGAGAGGAGAGCCTGAGCGACTCCTGCTTTGTGAGGTTTGCCAGGTATGTCAGTGGGAGAGGTCCAGAGACAAGAGTGAGGTCCCCCCAGGCGAGTCGTGTCTGTTTCCTCTTGGCAGTAGGGAGTGTTCTAAGCAGACAGATCGTCACAAAGGATGATAAAGGAATATTCATGTTCCCATTCAGCCAAAATGAACAAATGCTTACATTTTTTCTCTTTACCTTACATCCCCCCCCCCCCCCCCCCCCCCCCCTTGTTAAAAAAAGGAGTCACCTTTAATCTGGACCTAACTCGCTCCATAAGAAATAGTTATCTTCAGGAATCCTAAACTTGTCATGGGGCGGCTTTGNTTCATGTTCCCATTCAGCCAAAATGAACAAATGCTTTGAATGTGACTGGAGTTCAGACGCCCCCCCCCCCCCCCCCCCCCAGCCGTTGTTAAAAAAAGGAGTCACCTTTAATCTGGACCTAACTCGCTCCATAAGAAATAGTTATCTTCAGGAATCCTAAACTTGTCATGGGGCGGCTTTGAGAACATGGTCTCTGGGCGGGGGAGGGGGTGCTGCGTCCCAGGGTTTGCCTCCCCAGGGCCTCCCGTCAGTGCACCAAATGCCTGGTCACAAGGCATCTGAGCGTTGTGGGCTTTGAGGAGAAAGCCGCTCTACCAGGCAGTAAAGTACCCTTAGTGGAATTGTATAAAGTTCCAGAGCTGCACTATTTCCTCTAATGCAAATAAATAGGCCTGGAGACATCGTTTGATTTCTTGTTCATAGCCCGTTGGTTACTAAAGGCTTTGTGCTGACTGGCAGTTTCCTTTTCCCTCCCAAATCCCCATCATTAGTGAACTTCATTCCTTTTTCTGAATGTGCTTCTAGAATGTTGCATGGTTGCCCTCCCTGCCTGAATTAACCCCCTTCAGTCGTTGCCCAGCTGAGATCCTGTCTTTTAGGTCTCGGCTTAGATGTCATTTTCCAGGAAAGGCCTTCCTGAATCGCTCAGTTATTTAGACGGTGCAGTTGGCCTCCCAGATTTTGGTCTGATTCCACACGTTATTGGCCTTCACATTGAGGGTTGAGGAACGCCCCTCCCCGATCATGCACCCCTGCTATGGGAGACTCCAGTTCTGGGAGAGGTGGGTGCGGCGGGAGACAGGAGGCCAGGCTTGGATGGAGGGGCTGTGCCGCTTGCCCGCCCTGACCCTCTCTAACCCTCGAGTTCCTCTTCTCTGAAACAGGGATACTGGTGACACCTCTCCGGGTTGTCGTGAAGACTAAATGGACAGCACAGGCAAGGTGCTTGGCGCTCGGTGGTAGGCCAGGTCCTGGCATAGTTACGTGTCCTGGGGCCTTGCTGAGCCTTGGGTTCACACCACACTCTACAGCCTTTAACCCTCCCTCTCCCACACCCGCCATGCCGTGATTTCCAATGAAAAACCTGCCCGTGGCCCTTCATCGAGAGCTACTGGCCGGGAGCGGCAGAGCCGCACTGCGGTGGGTGCCCGTGCTGGGCTGCGAGACATGCTGGGTGCTGGCCCTGGCACCCGGGAGCCACGTCCTCGCTGCCGCTGAATCTCAAGGTGCTGTAGAGCAGGGGGCACTTCCAGAGTCGGAGTTAGGAATGCCAGTGTGTGAGCGTGAGGTTGTCGTGTTGTAGGTGCAAAGCCTGAAACGGAGGGTTAAGTGTTGGCCTGGGCACGCGCACTGTCCCCACCCTCCTGAGATGCGTGAGCACATGTAGCTCAACCGCAGAGCTGGCCGCGGCCGCACCGCGGAGGACATTTGTGTGGGTCTTAACGTTCGTCTCTGCCTCATGATTATTTAATAAAAATCATCAAAACTGCTCATTATTCCCCTGAGTGAACATTGCTCCTTGCCGTGAAATCCCAGCACCATGAGGTTGCAGAGAAACTTCCTGGACTTGGAAGGTGATTCCTGGGAACACAACCTACTGAGGTCTCTCCCTCCGTCTCTGTCTCTTACACTCATTCAGCCAGCTGTTACTTACCGAGTCCCGTCTCTGCCCGAGGCCTGGGGCCAGACCCTGGAGAGCAGAGACGAATGACATGCCTCACGTGAGAGTGCGGAGACTAGTGACTGTCACGCGTTTTGTACGGTAGAAATGCCATGCTAGGAACGCTTCCTTAGGCCGTGCAGCAGCTGCTTTCTAAAATAAAAAGAGCTATTCTGTGGTATTTGCATCGTGAGCAGAGAGATAAGAAGGGGCTACAGCCACGAGGAACAGTTGCAGAACCCAGAAATCGAAATATACAGCCTGGAGAGGGTTTTTGTGCGCCTTTGCTCCTGAGAGCTCTCCCGGGCCCCATGTCCCCGTGGTCTGCAGCCCCCGCTCGCTGGCCTCCCGCCTCCTGCGACGGGCGTCCTCTTCCATCTGCACATAGTTTCAGGGAAGCAGGGACTGTCATTATTAGCTGGGTTCCCTCACTACTGTGGGAAAGGTGCGTTTTGCCGATACTGTCCCCTGCGATCCTCAGTGATGTTCTTTCCGTGGAGGGGGTGAAGCTACTGAGGCTCAGAGAGGTTAAGTAACTTGCCTAAGGTCACGCAGCTGGTAAGTGGCACAGCCAGAGTGGGAAATCGGATCTGTTGGATTTTGAAGATGGGTTTTCTGCTGTATTCTGCTGCCTCCCAAGTATTCAGCAACCCTTGTTGGAGCTGAGGTTTCCCCAGACAGAGGGCAGTGTGGTATGTGATTGAGGTTAGAAGCTCTGGACCTGGGCCTGAGCTTGAGGCCTCATAGCAGGCACCCTAGACTAGACCTCATCTGGGGACAACCGAGGCTCTGGGACATTAGATTACCTGCCTAAGGCCATGTAGCTGGCAGGTGGCAAAACCGGGCGTGAGCCCCCTGCCCTTTGGCTTCAGAGCTACACACTCCTTCCACAGCACCGCTCCAGTGCTTAGCCAAGCCGGAGATTTAAACTAGCTGTCAGGGAACATTTCCCTGCAGGGTCGTGCATCAGTGAAACGGCTCACTGCAGGGGGCATCGTGGCACCTCCTGGAAACTGTTAGACTTGGAAATGAAAAGAAGACTCCCATCAGTGATGGGTTTTAGAATTACTGCTCTTTAATGGCACTTCTCGCACTCCCCGCTATCTGTCGGACTGCACCGACTTCTGGTCTCGGCTCGGTACTGTAGCAGGCACTGGGAACTGAAGGTGGAAGGCCGGTCCCTCCTGGGAAGGAGGGAGAGAGGGCTCCAGATAACTAAGTGCTAGGTAGGTAAATAAACGAGCCGATGTAGTTCCTTGGTTAGCGCCCTGCACATGGCACATTTGTCCCGGGCAGTCTGCAGAGGTGCGCTGGGAGCGCGGAAGGGGGTGACTGTTTTGTGCAGTGTGAAGATGGGCTTGCAGGAGAATGAGATCTGGATGTTGAAGGATGAGTAGGAGTTTGTTGAGTAGGCATAGAGGACCAAGCATCTTCCAGGCAGAGGGAACAGCACGTGCAAAAGCATGGAGGCACAGAGTGGCCTGGCATGTGCAGGGAGTTCTGGTTAATTTAGTAGGGAGTCTCCATAGGGGGTGAGAGGGGATATTCCTGGGAAGCTCGCCCAGAACGAGATCATGGAGGGACTCTAGAAGAGGGCTTTTGGGCTTGATCCTCCGGATACTGGGGATATCAGTGAACTTGAGGTGGCTGATGGTGGTTATCATGCTCAACTTCACTTTTCAGAATAGTTGCTCTGAGGAAGAGGGTAAGAGGCAGGACTAGGGTCAGAGAGGCTTGTTGGGCTGTGGCTGCACAAGGCCGGGGTGGGGTGGATCTGAGCCAAGGAGGTACTTACTGATACACATGTGTCTGATTTGCAGACTCTGAAATTTCCAAGCCCGATGGCCTGGCCATCTTGCCAACACACGAAGAGAATCTTTCTGAAGAATTTCCAGGCCCGACCCCAGTGACTACTTACCTGAGTTCTAAGAGTCCGCTTTCCACTGAAGTCAGCGTGATTGGGACCCACCATTCGGAGAACGTTGACACCTCAGGCGATACGGAACACTTAAAACAGAAAATCTGTGACTTGGAAGCTGAGCTTGAGGGCTACCGGAATTTCTTATTTCAGCTTCAGAAGCACTCCCAGTGCAGTGAGGCCATCTTCACAGTTTTGTGTGGGACAGAAGGGGCCCAGGATGCCTTGAACAAGCCCAAGGGTAGTGCTGATGAAGAAGAAATGACCTTTTCAAGTTTGCACCAGGTACGTTATGTGAAACACATGAAGATCCTCCGTCAGCTGCCCCTGGAGGTGACCGACGGCGGGCTGCTGGGGAGCCTCCGACAGCAGCTATTGGGTCAGAAGTGTCAGCTGCAGAAGGAGCAGAACTTGAACATGGAACTTTTCAGTGGAATCCATAACCTGCAGAATAAGTTCAGAGACCTCTCCCCCTCCAGGTACATCCCACCTCTGCTTCTTCCACTGTGGAAACGTACAGTTCACCTGGGTTGCCGCTAGGTCGGAGCCCATGAGCTGGGGTGGGGGGGTGGGGGGGATGCTGCATGGCAGTGGCGTGGGTTGTGTGCTGGGGAAGGCTCGATGGTGGGTTTAGGGCAGGCAGGCCTGGTGGAGAGGTGAACGCGAGGCCACAGAGAGCGGTGGCCATTCACTTTCTCGTGTTGTGTCTTCTGGAATGGGCAGAACAGATTTTGCCCTCATCGGGCTGGGAACATGGAAAAGGTATTGTTCCAGCCACAGGGGCAGTCGTGGTCCGTTTGCTGAATGGAAGTGTTACCTGGACCCCATTATTGGCTTTTACTGTGGGATTGAAACTGATGTTCTAGGCAGGGTAGGAAGAATATAAATATTTTCCCTATCTTTACTCTTTAAGGTTGTCTTAGAGAAATAAGCCTGTCTTGAAAGAGAAGAACTCTTAGGTCATGTTTTATGAGCATAGATATGTACAGTTTTGCTTTATGAGATGTGACAAAAAAGCGATCCGTTGCAAAGTTGACCTTCATTCGTCACTAATTTGAGACAAACACGTTATTCTAAATTGTCAGGAGCCAGAGTGAATTTTTTCAAGCCTTTGCAAACAGCAAGATGGGAGGAAGCTTGTATTCTTTTTTTTTTTTTTTTTTAATGTTTTATTTATTTCGGAGAGAGAGAGAGACAGCATGAGCAGGGAGGGTCAGAGAGAGAGGGAGACACAGAATCCGAAACAGTCTCCAGGCTCTGAGATAGCTGCCAGCACAGAGCACGATGCGGGGCTCAAACCCACGAACTGCGAGATCATGACCTGAGCCAAAGTTGATCACTTAACTGACTGAGCCACCCAGGCGCCCCAGGAAGCTTGTATTCTATTGAAAGGCAGTAGTGACAGACCCCTGGGTAGGCCCTTTTCTTATTTAATCCTCAAAATCACCCGGAGAGGTGGTGTTCCTAAATATGGATGAGGAAGTCGCCTCCAAGAGGCTTCCCTGATGGAGCAGATTGCCCACCGGGACGGGTGGTGGTGCTCAGAGCTGTCGCCAGTGCACCAGCCGCTGCGTCCTACCCGGGCCCCGCCCATGATCTTCCTCCCCCTGAAGCCCGCCCCGCCTTCACTGCTGGTGTCCCATGGTCTGTACCTGCCTGCACGCCACCGAAGGCCGTCAGCAGCCCGTGCACTGTCCTCATTTCAGGGAAGGGGAACACATTGAACTGAAGGGTCAGCGTCTTTGCCACACTGGGGCCGGGTCACCGTGGCCACCGTGTATATGAGCCACATTTTCCTGAACTTGGGCTTTTCTCCGTGCCTCCAAGTACTGGTGGGCTTGCACGGGAAAAGACCGATCTGGCGTCAGGAGAGGTAGTATTGTATGATGCAGCATGGGCTTTGACAGCAGACTGTGTTTGAGCCCAAAACCTTCCTCATTTAACTTTGCGATCTCGGAGTCCCTTTCCTCGCTGTAGACAAGGAGGTTGGGACGTTTGTTGAAAGATGGGGAGGAGCACTTACCGTATAAAAACACCTAATGCAGTGACTGACAGGTCATAGACCCTCCAGAAATAGTTAGGATTATGATTGGCCCCCTGACCTTTGGAGAGGAGAGAGTCCTGGTTTTGTTTTCCGGCATTACAGTTTCTTTTTTCTTCTTCGTGAGAATTTGTGGTGGGTCCTCTGACCCTTGGAGCACTTGTTTCTGTAATTCAGGAGAATATTTTTGAAGAGTTTATGGGAACTAAGTGTTCTCCTGAGTTCCTGCCAGTCTGTACTGTAATTGGGGGCTTTATAAGTTTAAAAATATCGCGGAAGAACCTTTGTTCCAGCGTTTGTGGGCTGTTTTGAAATCGAAGGAGTGACCTTACACACTTGCAGTTTTTCTAGAAGTATATGTACTTGTACAGCTGCGGGCTTTAAAAAATTGTGCTCTGTCATTTTTCCAATTAGTGTTAAGGTCACAAAAATGCAATTCTGAAGTGGTACAAGCATTTTCCTCCCCCCGCCCCCCCCACCCCCCCCTTTTCTCAGATACAATTCATTAGTTCAGTCCCAAGCCAGGGAGCTCTCCCTTCAAAGACAGCAGATTAAGGACAGCCGTGACATCTGTGTCGTTTACCGTCAACATATGAGCACCATGATTAAGGCGTTTGAGGAGTTGCTGCAGGCCAGCGACGTGGATCGCTACGTGGCCGAGGGCTTCCAGGAGCAGCTGAATCAGTGCGCCGAGCTGCTCGAGAAGCTGGAAAAGCTGTTTCTCAGCGGTAAGTAGGGCGAGGGCTTGTGAGTCTTGAAACACAGCATTGATCCACCCAAGACTTGTTTCGCAGGGGCCCTGGAGAAACCCACTTCCCTGGCAGTACTTACCTCTACTCTGATGAGGGGGCAGCAGGGCCACATGGCTGCTGTCCCTTCCGGGGTCCGACTGGGGATGTACACGAGGGAAGCCAGTGAGGAGGTGCCGCGCCCTCCCACCGCATACTTGCTCCAGATTTTCCAGAGAAGATGGGAATTGGGTTTTTTTTTTGGTGGGGGGAGAGGGTAAGAACTCATGAGTTTTAAATGTTGGCAGCAACAGACAAAACAAGCAAACAAAAAGCCCCCAACATTTATCGGTTAAAAAAAAAAAAAAGCTATTCAAGGGTCAGAGGTGGTTAGAACAGGATGAAAGAAAGCCTCTGCTAAACAGTTCGCTCTGTGCTAGGCACTTAAGTAAATGCTGTTGTGTTTAAATAAAAAAATAATCATTTAATCATTTGCAATGTTTTTGAGACTAGAACAAGAATTCTTTGATACTCTACCCAGCTTCATTAGTTTCGCCATATCTGCTTTGTTATTTTCTCTCTCTACGATACTCAGATCTTCCTCGGTTTGTGATGGGGTCGCATCCCAGTAGACTGGTCACGAGTTTAAACTATCATAAGTGAAAAGCGCATATGACACCCCTAACCTTCCAACACCATAGCGTAGCCCAGCCCACCTTAAGCGTGCTCGGAGCACGTACAGTGCCCTACCGCTGGGCACCACTATCTCCCACGGAGCCCATTTTATAACGTATTGTTGAGTATCTCGTGTTACATACCGAACGCTCTACAGAATGTCTGTGTGGGTCCAGAATGGCTTTATCAGTTATTTCCCCTCGTGATGGTGGGGCTGACTGGGGGCCGCAGCTCACCGTCTCTGCCCAGCACCACCAGGGAGAATCATGCTGCATCGCCTGAGCCCAGGAAAAGATCAAAGTTCAGCATTTGAAATACAGTCTCTACTGGCTGCCTGTTGCTTTCGCACCATCCTGAAGTTAAAAACTGTAAGCTGAACCATGTAAGTCAGGGACCATCTGTATATACACACATATGCACACACCTATGTATACATATGTGTGCACACATACATTATTATCATTGCTATTTTCTAAGATTTTACGTTATGTTAATAAAGTAGCCTTCATGCCCAGCACGGAGCCCAGTACGGGGCTTGAACTCAAGCTTCTGAGATCAAGACCTGAGCTGAGATCAAGAGTTGGACGCTTAACCAACTGAGCCACCCAGGTGTCCCCCCCCCTGCTTTTTTTTTTTTTTAAGATTTTATTTTTAAGTAATCTGCACCCAACACGGGGCTCGAACTCACAACCCCGAGATCAAGAGTTGCACACTCCGCCGACTGAGCCAGCCAGGCGCCCCACGTTATTATGATTATGATTATTATCTTTCCCTAACCCTCTGAGGATGGGTTGATGGTGTCCTGTCCTTTGCCCTCAGATGTGTCCATGTGTGTGGCCCCTCACACCGAGGACCGTCTCTTATACAGCCACAACACCCCTGTTAAATTCGTGACACTGTATTATCATCTCATAGACAGTCTATACTAAAATTTCACCAATTGATTGAATAATGTCTTTTACGAGTTTTATTCCTGATTCTGACCCAGGACCCCCTCCCTACGTTACATCTAGCTGTCTATCTCTCTGGTTTCCTTTAATCTGGGGTAGTTCTTCACCCTTTGTCCTTCCTGACACAGACCTACATGATGAGTTCAGGCCAGTGCCCCAGTTTGGGATTATCTCTTTCATTAGGATTAAGTTAGATTAGATAAATTAGATGAGACTCTGTGGTTTGGGGAAGGGTACTGCATAAGTATTGTGTTCTCATGGTATCGTGTCACGAGGCGCATGCCGTCGTTTGCCCCATGTTTGGTGAGAGCAACTTTGACCACCTGGTTAAGGTGATACATATCAGTTTCCTCCACTCTAACTGACAACATTTCCCCGTGTAATACAGAAGTAATTAACGGGAAGTACTTTGTAACCTTGTAAATACTTTGTTCGTCTTCAAACTTGCACTTGAGTTTTACTGGATGTTCCTTGCCTCTGTCATTAATTTCTACGATGGTTGGCAACCTGGTGATTTTTTTCTAACGCTGTCATTCCGTCTTCATTTCTTATTAGATGGCATCTGTAGAAGGATGAACTCTCCCTTTATCTCCCCGTTTTATTCCTATATTTCTTGCTTATTTATTTATTATCAGTGTGGACGTGTATGTTCTTATTGTATTCAGGGGACCATTACTCATTCTGTCATTCATGTTAATGCTCAAATTGTTCCGTATTTAGCAAGTGGCAGTTCCTTTTGACAGGTCTCGTCTTTCGGGGGAGCTTTCTTCTGTACTTCTGTACTTTGTGGTACAAAAAACATGTTCTAAACCCACTGATACCGTCCCTGCCCCTGAATCAGCCATTTCTCCAAGTAGTCCTGGTTCATCTTAAAGGGGAATGGTATTTAAAAACCACGATTTGGGGCTGAGTAGGTTCATTGCTACTGGGGGATCATTTTTTAGACTCTTTAGCAGGCAGAACTAGAGTACAGCTCATATGCGTACACATACATATATGTGTGTGTATAGCAAGGTGTAGTTTATCGTAAAAGTCATTATTTCACAGCGGTGCCTCCAATTCCAGGCCAGCCCACTGTGTCCTTTCTTGCTGTTCCCACGTCCTTATTTTTGTTTCCCATCTCCAGCAGTGAGAATCCTGGCTCTCACATCAGTATATCCGCTCCTTTGCTTAGTTCTCGAAGACACAAAGAAAGTTCCAGAATTGCTCCATACTTACCACTGTGAAATGTAAAACCTACTAAATAAAGATCAAGACTTGTTTACAGTTCTTTTAGTTTTTAGGCTAAGGGTATATAGTCAGGTATTACATTTAAAAGTTACTTGATTTCATTCTTTCTACAGTGTTGTTAGGTTATTCATGTGAAATGTAATCAGATTACTGGGCTTTTAGACACCCAGCCTCTCCACGGACCTGGCACATGCCTGAGGCACCAGCACCTTCCACTTTGCTGAATCCAGCAATCGCTTTTGGACACACCTCACACAGATTCACAGCAGTGTTTATGGGATGTGGCCAGTCCCCCCCTACTGGGGGAAATCCTTACCCCCCCCCCCACCGCCCCGGGCTTCTCGGAGGACACCACCCAGAGCCAGTTTTCCTCGCACCCCACTGGCCGCCCCTTTGAGGTGCCGCCTTCAACACGTACTGCAGATCTGACCAGTTTCCACCACCTTGTTGCAGCCGTGGCTCCGTGGCTTATCTCAGCCCTGGCCTCCCTGGCCTCCCTGGCCTCCCGGCCTCCACCTGTGTCCCACCACAGGCCATTTCCATACAACAGACAGAGGGATCTTTTCAGAATGTAAGTCAGGTCCTGTTCCTTCTGCTCAGAATCAAAGGCTTCCCTGTGTGAGTTGTAAGAGTTACAGAAGGAGCACAAAGCCTTGACTTGGTGGTGGGTGTGTGGTTCACGTGCATTGTGTGCTTACTAGTAGCCATACCTGTTGCGAGCTGGGGGCTTACTCCTCAGAACACTTACTCCTCAGAACACCTGGTTTTACTGGAGGAACTTAGCGTTACAGAGGAAAGCCAGTTGCTCGAAGTTCTAACTGACTTGGTGAAACCACAATTTGACCTTCGTTCTTGTGTCTTCATACGTAAGAAACAGATGGTTCACGAGGGTCCGTATATTTTCAAATTAATTTCAAGCTAGAACGTGGGTTAGTTTGGGCTTCTGGGTCCAGGGGGCATTTCCTGAGTTTTTACAGGACCCAACAGCTCCGGCCTGTTGCAGATCGACTGTCCTGGGACCAGCCCCCCCGGGGCCATGAGGGCAGCATACAGGAGCCACCGACTTTTCCCAGCTTTGTGAAACCCACTTTCTCCTGGCTAAGGGTTTCCAAATAAGCTAGTTTTCATTGTATTATTGGAGAAATAACTAGACCCTCAAGATAGAGCTGTAGCTTCCAGGCCCGAGGCAGTTTTCTGTTTGTCTCTCTTCTTCCTGCAAACCAGGGCCTGAGGAGGTGGGAGGCTGAGAAGTCAGCCTGCCTCTGGCGCCAGCGGCCCTCTCTCCCACATCCAGCACCCCCCCTTGATTTATTCTCTAGTTATTTACCTTGACGAGCCCAGGGAGGTCTCCTGTCTCGTTTCCTGTGGATTCTGGAAGTAGAAGAACTTAAGGCTTAGCAGACAACACAAACACAGAACTTTAGCTTCTTGTACAAAAAGCATAGAAGTCTCAGGTACCTCACTGTAACTTCTTTCTTAGAGAGTAAAATATAACCAAGGCGGGTCTTTCTTAGATGCTGTCCGCGGGGTCCGGCTCCCGCATTGTGAAAGGAGCGTAGGGTAAAGTAGTTTTATATTTGAGGTGATTGCATCACCTGAGTTCCTAAAAATTTTAAATATAACCTTTTTTTTATTAATACAAAGCAATACATGTTTATTGTGGAATAACAGATAAGCAAAGACTCCTAGAATTGCATTATTTATACAGCAAAATAGAATACCCTGGAGTTTATGCTTTCAGATCTGTTTTATACGTGTGTATATATATATATTTTTGCGGAACTAGAACTGTTTGCAACCTTTCCCTCTGTCCAGTTGTAGGTAATAAATACTAACTTACATTGTAACTTTTAGTGGCTTTGGAGCATTCTTTTGGGTGAATGTGCCGTAGTTTACTTAATCGTTTCCCATTAGGTGGGCATTTTGGTGGTTTCCAGTTTGGGGCCATTAAAAGAACACCATCCTGGAATCTTTGCACATATCACTGCTTTCGTTGAATAATATTTAGTTGGTAGGATGATGATGCAGTTTCTTATTCCCTGTAAGGATTAGAGCCGGGTTTGTTTTGTAGCTTCCCAAGCTAGGGATTTCACTAGGGGTCCAGAACCCTGCAAGATTTTTCTGACTGTGTGCATTTTTCTGAGATGAGGATCTGCAACGTTCAGATTCTTAACATGGGTTGGGAGCCAAAGCAGATGGAGAACTGGTGTTGCAGCCCCAGGCTTTCCACCGTGTCCCTGTCCAGTCCCGGCCAGTAGCATAAATCAGGAAGACGGCGTTGTCGTCAGGTGTTTCTGAGTAAGCACTGGGGGAGATGGGGCAGGATGGTGAGGTGGCCCCTTTCCTCCGCGAGCTCACCAGGTATGGCAGGGTTTAGCCACATGAAGAGAAGGCACCCGCTGTGGTCCTTTCTCGACTCCCCTCTGCCTGCCGGGATGAACCTAAACCATTCATTACTTTCAAAGCCTCCCACAGTCTGCTTTGTCTAGCCCACAACCCTCTCACTGACGATGTTGATGTTGATGATGATAATGATGATGATGATGATGATGATGATGGAGAAACCATGAGGAAGGCTGGTCTTTAGCAGCTGCATGTTGTATGCTAGACATTGTTCTCAGCCTAGGAGAAGGTACTGTCCATCACCTTCATTTCAAATTGTTTTAATGTTTTTTTATTTTTGAGAGAGACAGAGACAGAGCGTGAGCAGGGGAGGGGGAGAGAGAGGGAGACACAGAATCCGAAGCAGGCTCCAGGCTCCGAGCTGGCAGCACAGAGCCCGACGCGGGGCTCAAACTCCCAAACCTCAAGGTCACGAGCTGAGCCGAAGTTCAGACACTTAACTGACTGAGCCACCCAGGTGCCCCCATCACCTTCATTTAAGAAATAGGAACAGAGAAGCTAACTTACTTGCTCAGGGTTGCACTGGGAGTGGCAGGGTCTAGACTCGGGCCCTGGCAGTTTGCTTCCACAGCCTAACCCCCGACCCTCATGGTGTCATGCTTCTCACACTCTTGTCACATCGGGTGCCCCGGTCTGTGCTCTGTGCTGAAGGCCTTGCTTGCATCTACCCACTTCTGGGACTTTGTTCAAGCCAGTCCCATTGCTAGAAGGCTTTTACTCTCTCTTCCCTTATAGAAATTCTGTCTATCCTCTAGGAAGCTGTCTTTGTTCACCCTGGGTGGAAGCAAAACTGTTTGGGTTTTTATTCTGGGTTGTTCATAGCTTGCATGTGACAGTTACTTCTGCCAGCATGGACGGAACAGACCCTTTGGAGCCAGACAGACTTGAGTTCAAATCTCAGCTTTATGGTTCTCTTATCCCTTTAATGGTCAGATTTCCTCTGTGAGGGAATAGTACCTGTCTCACAGAGGTCTTTCTGAGGACTAAATTAGATCATTTCAAGTGTCTGGTGTCCTGCCTGACCAATCTTGGGAGCTCAGAAGGTGACAACAGTGATTTCTTGTGAGCATATTTTATTTCTTCGGGGCATAAACTCCTGGAAGATAGGGGCCTTGTCTCATCCTGGCCTTCCAAACTAGGCTGGGGCCGTGCATGTAGTGCCCAGCCAGGATTTGATGACGATACCGACAGTTTTCTGTGGTTTGGATCATACACTAGGGCTCCCCTCTATTCGGTTTCTGACTCTGTCTGACCTGCATAGTGGGGGCTTGGGGGGAGTGGCATCTCTGAGCTCTGAAGGGAAGTCTTCCAGGAGGAAGGGGTATTGGAGCTCGACCTTCCATATAGGGAGGATTCATAGTCAATGGGGAGAGGTATTTTAGGAGCACGTGGGGTTGAGTCAGCACAGTGAGCCAGGCTATCCGGTAAAATGGAACATTTTCCTCGTAAGTAGCCCTGGGGTCTGCCTTCCACGTAGCCCCTTAGCTGCTTCTTATCTTCATACAGCAGTTCTTTCCTGCCTCAAGGATCTGTCTATTGTTACCTCTAAATTTTCCCTGATGGCTCAGGCTGGGTCATGTTCATTTCCTCTATGCGCCCTCCCGCGGTATCCCGTGCTGCCCCTTGTCACAGCCCAGTGGTGCAGTTGTCTTTTGGGTCCCTCGTCCCACTCAGCTGTGAACTCATTGAGGGTAGGATGGCCCCTCCTTCATCTCTGCATCCTCGGTGTCCGGCCCAGGCACCTAGAAGGAGCAATGTGAGTATGTTCTACAAATTACTGGTGGATGGAGAGGAAGAAACGTGAGGTCATGGAGGAGATGCTGGGCTATGATATTTGAACCGGATTCTCTACGAGTGATGGATTTTGAGTGAAGGAATACCATTTCAAGCTGGAAACAGTACCGTTCTCAGATGCAGGCGGCATCCACGGAGGATCGGCGCAGGGAGGAGGGCGGGCCGGCCGGCCGGTCCTGCGGGCCCTGAGTGATAATCCTCTTGTTCAGATACAGACCAAGTAACTGGGTGTGTTTTCACGTGAAAAGACAAAGCCCTCACCACTACACAGCTTTTCGGTGCAGCAGTAAGGTTTGCCTGCAAGGTGGAAGCTTCAGTGCCTTCGTGACACGCTCTCTGAGCTTTCGCAACAGCCAGACAGATGGCACCTGTCACCTGTGTGAGGCAGTTTCCACCACGAAGCTCACTGCATCACTTGTAATGATGTCCCTGTGAATCCCACACTACCCACCTGTCGTTTGGTTTTCAAGAACTCGGCTGTGGCGGGGGAATGGGCGGAGTACAGTTGTTGAGTCCTTACAGACTCCTCGGAGGATGTCCTCTTCGAAGACAGAAACTCATGCCTTGTGTGGTCTCAGGGCACTTCCTTCTGCGGTGTGGGTTTTGTTAAGGAACTGAGGAGACGTTTCTTTGTTTTGTGTTTTTTGCTAGTTAGAAGATGGGGTTTTGGTTAGGGGTCCCAGAGTGCCTAAAGCCTGCCCCTGACCGCTGGTGCCCTGCCCCGTGCGGTTTCCGAGGCGTGTGTCTGCTACTGGAGAACAATTGTGTGCTCGGCTTATATGTATCGGCTGCTAAGCCCCTTGGAGGGCCGGGCTGGGCAGATGGCCCGTTCTCAGGGTTTTAGGGCCAGAACCTTCTCAGCTGAATGTTGGTAAGCAGCCCCGTGCGGGTGCGAGGTGGAAAATGCTGAGTTGTTCTGACACCCTCGTCCCTGCCCATTCACGGGCCTTGGAGCCTGGTACTGCCAGTCAGCGTCTCGGGAATGGAGCCAGTCACATGGAGATGTCCCCTCGTGACCAGGAACGCAGAGCACAGAAAGTGGAACATGTCCACTGTGATAGAGGCCCGTCAGCCTCTCTCTGCCTTCTGGGGAGCCGCGGAGTCGCTGCGTTTTTGGTCAGGATGCAAGCAAGAGGCTCAAGACCTAGCTTTGCAGTCAAGCTGGCTCTGGGCCGTCTCTGAATCCCTAGCTTAACTGGAGCACACATTCAAGGAGGTGACAGAGCGCGAGTTGAGCAGAGTAAGCGAGGACACGTCAGACCTTCCTCACTGTAAACTGGAAACCCTGACACTGTTCTGGACGCGGCTGGTGCCAACGAGTCGTCTTCGGGGCCGGGCACCAGATCCTGGGGACCTGGCCGACTCTCCCCGGTGCCCGCCCACACCCTGCGGTGGCAGGTGGCCCTCAAGCCCTCGGGATGTCGCGCAGGCTCTTGGTGCCCGCGGCTGTCCTGCTGGGGTGTTGAGGGCCCCTGAGAGCAGCACCAGCCGGCCCCGGGGAGCACGCAGTGGGGACCACAGGGCTCAGGGCAGATGCACGAGGCCCCGGTGCTCGTTTCCTCCGCGCTGTGGTGTTCGAGAACTTTCCCTCTTAGGAGTAGTTTGGAAAATGGTATGTGTGGGTGCACTTTAATTATAGTCTCATGTTTCAAGTACGGCTACAGAAGGGTTTGTTTTTTCCTTTAGCCACACACACGTTAGCTTCTTCAAAGAGCTCATCCCAGGCTGCAGTTCCCAGAGTTCTGAAGTATTTTTAACATGAAGTTGTTAGTCTCTTTGAAATCTGGGCTCCCGTGTTTCCTTTCATACAGCAAACGGGGCCTTGCAGGGGGAGCCGAGCATCCTCCCGGCTACGTCCTGAGCTTTATTTTGTCGTCTTTTGCCGTTTCTCATCGCCGCTCGCGTGCTGCAGGCGCTGGCCTGTTCAGCTGCACTCACATGCCCCTCTCCCCGCTAATCCCACTTCAGAGAGTCTTTCCTGAGGAAATCATTTACATGCAGATAACGCCGTATGTACCAAGATGTGTGTTTCCTTTATTTACAAAAGTGAAAAATCGGAGATGACCCAAATGTCAAATAAGGGGGCCGGCAAAAACTGGCGACATGCATGCCTACAGTGGAATACTAACAGCCACTCAAAGTCACGTTTCTAAAGCAAATTCAGTAAGAAAAGCGCTTCCAATAATAAAATACGAAGGGAAAAGAAGTAAGCCACAGCACAGTGCCAAAGTGCATGGGGCAGAGGGTGGAAGGAGGCCCCCCACCTGTCTGCCGTGGGCACCCGGGCAGTGTTGTGTTCTCCTCGTCTCTGCTTCCCGTTGCCCAAAATGAGCGTATGTTCTGTTAGTTTTAGAGAAGGAAAAAGAGCATGCACCCAGCAGCACCCCTGTGATTGCGTTTTAGATTCAGGGCCATCCCCTCTCTGCAGAACTGGTGCCACAGAGCAGTGATGAAGGAGGAGCCTGCGCTCTGAGCGTGTGCTTGGTCATCCTGCCTTAAATATCCGGGGTTGCTACAAAGAGTGTTTAAACACATGGAACTGGGCCCCTGCACATGTATGAGTAAGAGACGATTAGGGATCGCTTGGGGGGTGTGTGTGTTTTCATTGTTTTCCTTCTTCTTGATGTTCTTTCCGCTTCCAGGGAAATGCGTTGAAGTGGAAATGAGCACCCAGAACGAACTGACGGAGAGGTGAGTGTGTGGCGTTCGGGAGGAAGGCTGCGGTCGGTTGGGCTGCTGGGTACGCCGCGGCTCCCGCCCGTTCAGTGAGGCTCCGGCTTCTTGTACGTAAAGCGTAAACACCTGTGGACGCTGACGGTGCCCTCGCAAAACCAGCAAGCTCATGCTGTGCTTCCTGCGGCCCTGAGGCCGCTATTTTAGGTCCTTCGCATGGCATTTCTCTGTTAGGTTATTTGACTGGGACTACACGTTCCTTCTGTCGGGCCCTGGGTACCTGCAGGCTAAACTTCACATGCCTCAGCCTGACGTTTGAGGCCCTGCTCGGTCTGACCCACCTTTCTGTCCCGTTCCTCTGGCTGCAGTCTTACCTGACTTGTTACTGTTCTGCAGCCCGGGCCTGGACACAAGCCGTATGCTCTGCTTCTTCCCGCTCTAGTTTGAAAGCCCTTCGGCAGTCAGTTTTTGTGGCAGTGAACCTGGCTGTCCCCGGTGCGCCCTTCTCTCACAACATCCCAGGGTCAGTGATTCTTCCTGTAGCACTTGGCACATCGTCACATTCCAGCACTTAGCACATGGCGATGTAATACTTCCTGCGTTTATCTTTCCGCTCCCAGAATCCCCCAGAAGAGGAGAGCAGCTAGCGTTACCTGGGTACTGGTGTGTGTCCGCTGCCGCCCTAGGCATTTACAGTCATTATTTCTGACCCTACAAGGCAAGCGTTTTTGTTCCTTTTTTAGGCAAGGAACCTGAGGGTCAGAGTTGCATGTTTGCCATGAAGAGGCAGAGCTGGGATTTGAACTTGAATCATTCGTACTCCTGGGCTCTTATTATTACTGCAAATTGCCTTTTGGGGACAGAGACAGTGCCTTGTGAATTCCAGCCCCGGCTGTCTAATGCATTGTTGGGATTCACAAAGTGTTCATGGAATAAGCATACACTTTTCTTAGTTTGCCTTGGTGGGTCACAGGGGCATGTCAAGGTCTCATCCTCCTCTGTTTACTGCTTAAAGGTTCTGGCTGTTGTTAGTGCAAGAGGTATTTCCCTCCTCTTTAGAGCAGTGACCTTTTGGGCTTCTGGGGGTAAAATAAAGAAGCATAGACAGCCTGGGCGCAGAATTGAAGATTTCATGGGCATCACAAAGGCCACAACTCCATCAAAGTGAGTGGTTGGGGAGGCATCACAGCTCCCTGGAGGCCACTTTTGTCCGAGGTTCTGTGGGCTCAGGAGAAACACTCCTTTCCCACTGCAGTATTTTTGCAGATCCCTCCTGCTCTGACCCTCTACTTCTGTCCTTCTAGTAATGGGTCACACCGAGGTGGTGGGCCGTGGAGGGGGCAAGCAAGGCCTCCCCGAGTGGAGGCAGTCTTATCTGAGATCTAAGGACGAGGCCAGGGGCAGGGGTGGCTGGAGAGCGTCTGTGTGCGAGGCAAGGGAGACGTGGCCCCTGCGAGCTGGGGCTGGGAACGGGAGGGTCAAGGCTGGAGAGTCCTTGCTGGACTGGTTCTCAGATTCTCTGTCGGGAGCCCAGGCTCTGTGCTGCAGGAGGCGGGGAGTCTTTGAAGGCGGGTAAGCGGGGGCCAGGCGAGAGATTCGCTGCTGTGAACAACGTCCGTGGTTGCTTGGAGCGTGGGCTGCCGGGGGCGGGGAGCCTCGTTCAGTCCCCCTCCACCGTGGGTCACCCTCCCCGCTTCTGACAGGTCTGTTTCTCTTCCTTCTGTTCTGCCTTTTTCAGCTGTAGGCTTAGCACTCACACGGGTCACTCCTAAGCTAATTAAATGGGTGCCCTTGGCCCATTCAGCACTTTTGCAAGCAGCGGCCCGCCCGGGCATCCATCACGCTGTCTGGGTGAAGTTGCATCTGGTGTTTACCTGTTAATGAATGCGTTGCATCTTTGGAGTCCTTTGCTCTTGTCTGAGCTCCTGAATAATGAGACAAGAAGTAATAGGAAAAATCAGGAGGAAAAAAAGAGCTTAAATTAAGGAGCTTATCTATAATGGAGATTCATGTGGACTTTTCACAGAGTTCAGGGTGTTTTTCCTTATGGCTTAGGTGCTCTTGGGAAAAACAGGCTAATAAGCAGATGATCGCCAGCATGCTGGTTTGGGGACCTGCTTGGAGACTGAGCGTTTTGAGATTTTTAAACCCATCAGGTCACTTCATGGGTTTGAGTTGGCCTCCCACTTTCTCCTGGGGTCCCAGAGCCAGACGGGCTTGGGTTCAGTGTGAGCTCTGCCACCTAGAAAGCTGTGAGGCAGCAAGCAAGCTTGTGATGGGCCTCAGGCTCCCCAGCTCCAAATGAGGATGGTTGTCCCTGCCTTAGAGGGTTTCCGTGCAGACCTTGTCGGTGGTACATCTGACCTGCCTGGCACACCGGGAACGCTCGATGAGTGGCTGCCTGCGACTCGTGCTCTGTCGTAGGGTCCCTCCCTGTAAGCCACACAGCAGCTCCCCCTCCTTCACTGGCTCCAGACTCAGGCCCCCGAGTGTTTTTTGTTTTTAGAGTGTCCTCACTGAAAACTTCTCTGGGGAAGCAAAAGGGCTCCAGGACAAATGGGGAAATTACAAAGGGCCAAGTGATCTTAAGTGTTTGTTCCCAAGTCATGGTCCTGACTTGGAGCCTTTGTGTGGGAAACGATTTCTCTTCCAATCCCTTTGGTCAAGGATTGAGGAAGACGGTGTAACCTACCAGCACATCCTACCTGAGTCTCCTCAGCCTTCTGCCTCTCATGCGCTGTCCGATTATGAAATGTCCGAGAAGTCCTCCGTCCTCTCCCGGGACCAGAAGCTAGACAGCGAGACCGGGAAGACCTCGGTAATGGCAAACCATTTTTCTCAAGGTAAGCTGAGCTTTGCTAAGCACTTTGGACGCAAACAAGGTTTCCTGGTTTAAACAGTAATTTGCCATCTTGCCTGAGTGAGCAGAGTGTAGTGACATTTGAATATTTGTCTGATGAGAGGAGATCCTGGCAGGGCCAGAGCTGGTCATTCAGACTATCATTTATCACTAGGGAAAGCTGTGGTTGTTGAAAGTGTTGGTGATTGGGGAAGAGTCATTTTTATTTCTTAACGATGACTTCTTATGTGACCTGCCATCTCCTTGCGCTTCTCGCGGTGGCGGAAAACAGGCTGGGAAGCAGAGGGTAGGTGTCTGTTCCAGGTCTGGTGAGTTTCCTCTTGTTCATTTCAGTCTCTCTCCGAGGCACTGCCACTCTGAAGACTCTTGCTTTGAATTGCACAGATTCCCCGGAGCACCTCACCCCCCACCCCACTCCCATCTGGATATCTTGTAGTTCTCTAGATCTGCAGTATTTCCCTTTAGTGTGTGACCCTTCGTCCTTTGGGTCAGTCCCTTATCCTGCCTCTGACCGTGGCCCAGGGGCTCAGCTGGCAGAATGAGCCTCCCAGAGCTCTTGCCAGAGCTACCTTTGACCTCCTCTGTATTACGGTCTTCATGACCTCCCATTGGGGTGTTAGGTAGGGATTCATGTTTATACGTCAGTGTATTTCAGAAGTCCAAGGGATAGTATAGACCAGGGAGTGGAAAATCTTTCCTGAGAAAGGCCAGATAGTAAATATTTTGGGCTTTGTGGAGCATATGGTCTTTTTTGTAATGACTCAAGCCTGCGGCTGTAGCAGAAAGCAGCCATAGACAAAATGTAAAGGAATGAGTATGGCTCTGTTCCAGTAAGACTTTATTTACCCAAATGGCTGGTGGGTGGGTTTGACCCACGAGCTACAGTTTTCTGACCCTTGGTCTACATTCTGGACCTCAGCTGACGTCCTCTGGTCTCCCCTTTCTTCCAGTGGTTGTTTGCGGGGCACCCAGAACGGATGCAGAGCACAAATCAGACACTGGCACCTCCTTTCTAAAAGCTCTTTGTTGACACCTGATCACATAAAATGTGGTTTTCAAAAATTAGAATCCTTTTTAGCAACAGACCCCTCCTTTTTCTTCAGATGAAGCTTTACATGGAGGCCTCATACATAAAAGAGGTGCAGGTAGAGCCTTCATCCTCCCTGGTGGCTTCTGAGGCTTCTCTAGGCTACTGTGAGCCCAGAGGAGCACAGTTTGAAAACGTACCTTGAGCATGAAATATACGTGCGTGATATAACGAGGTGTTACTGGGGTCTTCTTGAAACCAGTCACCTAGATTTGCTTTCTTTGGCTCTCCAGCGGTGTCCCTGTGTGACTCCTGTGAATTTCTGTGTCCTGGGTCTCTCGGTTATTTCTGGCTCTTTGATCTGCCTTCTGCTGATGTGGGTCAGACCTATGAGCTGTTTCCTTGTCCCTATTTGCACTTCCTTCTGCACTGTGTCAGCCTGGCAGGGAGCTCAGTCCCTTTCCAGGAGCCCCAGAGGCTGCTCCTACAAGGCCTTCATGGGAGAGACAAACTGGATTGAGGGCTTGATGAACTGCAAGGCAGTGGGGGCTACCACACAGCAAAGCCAGATCATTTAATGGGAAGATTTGAGATCCCTGTTCTTTAAAACAAGACCCATCTGCTGTGGTGCTGGGCACCTCTCTCTGCTTTCTCTCGCCTGCCCCTCTTTTCTCTACCCTCCCACGTGTTCCCAACCCCAGCCTTGGTTTATTTCCAATACAGAACCTTTCCGGCATCTCCTTTACGTCTCATTATTCTGGGCACCCATGACCTTGGGCTTATCACACCTCGCGGTGATTTACCACGCACTTTTCCTGAACGGGGACAGTGTTCTCTGGAGCCGTCCTAATAAACTCAGTTTTAGCTCTTTTGCTTTGCTTCTCTTCAGACTTTTGGTCTCTGCATCTGTTTTTCCTTTTGTCGTGTTTTTATTCTAAGTAGAAAGATAATTTAGTGGTTTTCCTTTCTTCACTTGACATTATATCATAAGCTTTCTGACATGTTGTTACACAACATCATTTTCGGTGGCTTTAGAATAGTCCGTCGAAGGCTGAACTGCGGTTTTCCTTATGTTCCCTGGTGCTGAGCATCTCAGATGCTTTCTAAGATCCCACAGTTGCCAACGCTGCTGCAGGGAATATCTTTGAACACGAAGCTTTCTTTCCCCTCATTTCAGGCATTTTCTTACCCTGGATTCTGTAGAGTGGACCCACTAGGCCAAAGATACACATGAGGTTTTTAGTGGTTGCTTCTTGCAGGATTTATGGTTTTAAAGAGTCAGCATTTGTCAGAAGGACATTTATTGCAAGAGGGACAGGTATTTTTCTCCTGTTTTGTAAAGACGCGTGTAGTATTTCCTTCTCCTCGGTTAGGGCTGCATAATTAATAAGCGGTGTCCAGTTCGACTGGGAATGTTTCCTCTAGACCGAGTGCTGATTCCAGCCCTGGGCCAGACTCAGTAGGAGGTGACGTGTGCCGACGGCTGCTGGGTGTTATTCCCCAGAAGCCGGCACGCAGCAAGCGATGTGGATAGGAACCCGCACGGAGGACACGGTCGCAGGAGATAAGTTCGCGCCTCACTCGGTCCTGAGTGGCTGTGGGCAGATGTGCGGGGCCGCAGGGCCAGGCCGGGAGGGCCGCCAGATCTTTGTTGCAGCAAGGGCCTGGCACGTCCGCTCCCCCGATGACTGGCCGTGCCTCTGGCATTAACAGGGACCGCCGAAGGCTTGGGAATTAAGTCACCTCGTAAACATTCAGATTCCTGGCAGAATTACTATTTAATTAGGAAAAGATCTGTAACATTGTGCTACTTTTAAATGAAAGTCGTTTTGGAGGAATTAAAACTGGGTCATAACATTAGTATAATGTTTTGAAACAAACATTACGAAGACATACCGAGTGTACCCTAATTGATGAATTCGAGGCATTTGCTTTGCCTCTGGATACTTAACGTGGTTATGCTTTAGAGGCCGGTTCTGGAGCTACCTTGAGATTGCAACCGTGTCTCCTTTCTTGGTTCAAGTGAGATGTGGCAGAGGCTAGAAAAATAGGACATGCTCAGTTTAGAACATTTGGGAGATTTAAATTTTTACATCTGGTTAAATGTTATATTGAGATACAGTATAGGAGTTTTGAAAAACCTCAAATCTAACACCTGAAGGCCACTGCTGTTCATATTTAGGTATATTTTCTTTTTTGGTGTGTTTATGTGTCTTTTCTGTCTGTAAATTCTTACGTAGAGTTATAATTATGCTGAATAATCATTTTGTGTCAATTTTTCTGCGATATTGCATGGTCTTCACGATATAACTTCAGTAGCTGTGTCATATTGCATCACGGTGGATATAATACCGCTTACTTAATAATTGGAGTTATTTTCAGTTTTTAGCGTTCCATATAGTGCTCAAGATTAACATTTTCATGCATTCTGGCACACGGCTGTCAGCATGTCTGGTGATCTCTTGGAATAGATTCCTAGAAGTAGACTTATTTGGGGAAAGACATTGGAAAAGAACCCTTCTAAGGCTAATGATAAAAATAGTTCCTAAAAGTCACGCACAATTATATTCACACGAACAGGATATGCCCTTGAGAGTCCCCTTCGTACACTTTTCACTAGCATGGGGATTATTGTTTTGCTTTATGTTTAAGGCTTAAATTAGGAGGCGATAAATGGATGAATATATTCTTTTCAGAGAATTAGTCTCAAAAATATCTGGATTCATTATGAAGGTAGTTTAATCAACTCTCAGGCAATTCAGGCAGACTTGAAAGTGATCTGTTAGTTTCACCATAAAGAACTTTAAATTAATATTTGATATTTAGAAGAGTAAAGGGCTGCATTAGAGCTAGCATTAAAATTGTATGGAATATAATTTTTCCGTGTGATGTAGAACACTCTCCTTATGGAGGGCTGCAGACAGTCATTGCAGAACTGTGTCTGTGGGCTCTGGGCACTCACCCAGCCTCACCGTGTCTAGGAAGAAATCGCCAGTCACTGACTTAATATTTCCAGCACGATTTAGAATTTCGATATCGTTGCATAATCTGTAAATTAATTCAATTTGTTGGGGGCTTCAGACCTTACATTAAAAATATTCTCCTTCCCGTAGACTTAGTAATGGAGCACATACAAGAAATTCGAAGCTTGAGGAGACGTTTAGAAGAATCAATTAAAACAAATGAGAAACTTCGGGGACAACTGGAAAGCCAGGGGTGTGACTTTGATCAAGGTAAGGAAGGACCTGCCCAGGGGGCTCCTGGGAGCCTGCGCATGCTCGTCTGGGACGCACTTGCCTGGATGGGCGTTCCCTTTGTGCGCGAGGACTCATGCTGGCGGCTGGGGAGACTGCAACTCACATCCTGACGTTGCCGCTCACCTCCAAGGTGACCTCCCTTAATGTTGTGGAAATACTACGATGTGCTAGTTACAGTCGTGTGTTCATGAAGTGGGGACGATAGTCCCCGTCTTATCCTGGGGTGACAAGAACGGGGTGAGTGGGCACAAGCTGGGGCCTGCATGGCCCCTGGCATGGAGCGGGCACCCCGGGCCTGGCAATCTCCTGGGCACTGAACGAGGCTGCCGGCCCCTGCACCCTGGGCTGTGTGCTTGGCCCCTCACGTGGCGCTGGTTGCTGCAGAGAAACAGATCAGGATTTTAAAATAAAGCAGAGCGGCATTTTGTCTTTTTGTCAGTCTTGGATTTTAAAAGTATGAGCACGTTGGCAGTTGGGGGAGAGTCTCACATGCCCGTTACGAGGTCGCCATGATTCCTGCATAAACACAGTTAGAGCTGAGTGGAATCTTCTTCATGCAGAACTTCAAAATATCTTTTTCCACAAGGGAGACGTTCACATGGTACAGAACGCAATATGTCTCTTCTGGACCCATCCTTCCTCTTCTTCCCCCTCCCCTCCCACCCCTGCTAGTTGTCTTCCACATCCTTACGGTGGTTTTTCAGTGCAAACACAAATATACATTCTTACTCTTTCCCTCCCCCAGAAAGTAAAATACTTTATGTCTGCTATTCTGTACCTTTTTTTCCTTTGAACAATATACTTTTGGGCATCTCTCCTTGTTGTTCCAAAGAGATTGTTTTCATTGCATGAAGAATGTGTCTCCAGAGCAGCCTTGTGCCCTGGGAACAGCCCGAGTTGGTTGGGGAGCTGGGTTGGGCGGACCGTGGCCCCCAGCTCTTCTGTTTATTAGCTGGAGGACTTTGGGGCAACTCAGCCCACCTCTCCCGGCCTTCATTATTTTGTAAAACAGAGTCATGGTGAGATTTCCATAAGGTGATGCCATGACCAGGGTGTTGTTCTGTGCCTCACTCAGTAAGTGGTTTTTTTTTGCCTTTATCATGTTATTTTACTATTGTATTTTGTACGGCATTATTAGTTTGACACGGCACAACTTGGCAACAAGTGGGGACCCAAACATTTCTAGAGATTAAATCACTGAGTTCTAGGAAGATGTACTCGGTGGCATCACTTGAGTCCTTGGACCCCTGGTCCATTGTAGCCATCAGCCTGGAAGGATCTTTCCAGAGTACTGTACATGCTGCAGTCTGCGAGGTAAACAGAGTGGACCCACACCTCCTTCCCTTTCCCTCCCCCGCCTCCACCTCACCCCCCCATCCGGCTCGCTCCCTGTCTCTCACCCCCAGGGAAATTGATTAACCAGAGTTATTAGTCATATCAAACACCGGGAAGAAATACATGCCTGGGCCCTTCACATTCACTCTTGGTAATGCCTGAATTAGATTCATTCTGTTTTACATTATTCCCGGCAAATCCAATTATAGAAGTATTTGGGGGCTCACATGGCCACCAGCTACAATGAAACTGGCAGTTGCTCTGGAGAGTAATTCACTCCGATGGGAAGGTTTACAAAAAAGGCGTTCATGAAGTGTTTACGCTGTTGGGGGTCCATGCTGTTCTCACCGCAGCTGTCACAGTCTCTGAAAAGACAAAGAAATAAAAGTGGCTCCACCTCCCCCCTGCTGTGAGGTGTTCATCTTGGGAGACGGGTTTGAGAAAGGCCTGACTCTGTAATGTGGAGGTGGAGTGTTGTTAAAAACTGTCATCTCACGTGGTGGCTTGTTGTCAGTCGTCACTTACGGGAGCTGGTAGTGATGGCCTTCAGAGCAAACTGGCCTCTTAGCTCGGCTGTGGGCCCCACTGACTCAGGCTCTGTCAGGAGCCCTTTTCTGGCCTGAGTCTTCCTTTGAGCAGTGACCAGCCCAGCTGTGGTCAGAGCAGACTTCCTATGCAGGAGTTGTCCTGTTCACCAGATGGCTGTTGGGTCCTGGTTTTGGCTTGAGCCTGTCATCAATCATGATATTAATACAGCTGATAATAGCAGCAATAATAACAACATTGATCATTTTTATCGGGCTCGTGGAGACTCGGGGAAGTTATGTGATATACCTGAGGTCATCTAGCTATTAGGAAGCCAGAGCCGTGATTCAAACCCAGGTGTCTCTGAAAAAACAGCAGAGTTCATAGGGGAGAGACGTGTGAATGAAAAAATTACATAACGTTGCGATTTATGAATCATTAACCTGAGGAGAGGGAGTGCCATAGCGTGGAAGGAGTATGGCACTTTGGCTTCTGGGAGATCTGATGTCATAGCTTCCTTATGGGGAGTTGGAACGTTCCGGGTAATCAGTTGTGGACCAGGAGGCTTTCAGCTGCAGAGAACAGAATATGAGTAAAAAGCAGTGTAAACAATGGAGACTTCTGTTGTCTTCCATCACAAGGAATCCAGATGCAAGCAGTTCCAAGGCGGGTTTAATGACTCAGTGAGGTGATAGCAGGGCTTAGGGTTAGTGTTGGTGAGACCGTAGTCAGTATACGCACCATGTCCTCTCTGGACGGTGTCCAGAGCACGGGAACGAGGAGGGTGGGGCTTGCCCCCGTCCTTCTCTTTTCACCCGGGTGAGAGATCTTTCCCAGAAGCCTCCAGCAGGCTTCCCATCAGGTCTTGTTGAACGGAAGTGACACCCGACCGTGTCCTAGTTGCGCCGGAGTCAGGGAGAGTGGGGTCCGGCGTTTGGGCTCTGTGGTTGTAGTAAGGAAGGCGGGGGGGACGGAGGTGACTGCCTGCCTCATGCAGGAAGCCCCGTGCTCTGCGGGGGGTAGCACGGTCCCATGCTCTGGACACTGTAGAGGGTGCAGGTGCCGGAAGCCGAGGTGGAGCGTCAGGGCCGCTGTCCGGCCAGACGAAGGGGTAGGATTTTCAGAGAGAGACCACAGCCTCAGCAGGTGTTTATAGACGAAGAAACTGTTCAGAGTTTGTAAGTGACCTCAATCCCGGTCTGTCTGGTTTTAGACCCTGATCTTTGGTGGTAAATACTTAGAGGCCGTGAGCTTGAGCTAAGAGTTGAAAGACAACTGTGACTTTGACAGGTGAAGAAGGAGCTGGGCATTCTAGGCCCAGAGAGTAAAGACCTCACGACCTCACTGTACAGAATCTGAGAAGACGTGTCACCGCACGGTATTTGGGGGCACAGAAGTCGCTCAGCTTGGCTGCATTTGAGGACACTGGAGTCTAGGGTGGGGACGGAGTGGGGTGTGCGTGAGATTGTGGAGTGAAATAATGGAGATCTGAAGGCTGGGCCTTGTGACTGGTTTGTCTGTCTTCCCAGTGAAGGGTCATCAGGTGTTTCCGAGCAGAGAACAACCAGAGTGGACTGTGCAGCCCCACTGGCAGAGTAGCAAGGGGGCAAGGTCAGGGCGCAGTGATGCGACTCAGCTACGGGGACAGAATAGAGTGGGCTGGCGTCCGAGGTGATAGTGAGGAAGGGCCAGCAGGCACGATTGCTTGCTCGGCCGGTGCCAGAGAGTGGTGTTGAGGATGGCCCCAGGTTGTCAGCTCGCATTAGGGGTGGTGGTGATAATATCTACGGGAGGCAGGTTAGGGAGGTGAGGGAGGAAAGGGGAAGACTTCAGCTTTGGCTCCGTGGCCCGAGAGCTCCCTCAGTGGAGAGGTCCACTGAAGGCGTGGACCCCAGGAGAGACATCCGTGGACGTTAAGACTGTCACCCACTCACCTCCGTTCACCCTTAGGGCTGGTAAGAATGGGAGGGGTGCCTCTTGCCTTCTCTTTCAAGCTCACTCGTACTTCCCTTTGGGCTCTTGTGATACCTCATCTGGTTTGCTTCAGTGATTTCCATTGCATACTGTGTTTCCTCATCGTTTAAAACTGTTTTCTAGAAACTTCCATCCATACTGACCTGGCAACTGTCCATAAATCACTATGCATGTGTGTTTTTATAGGTTCTATGAACAGTTTTGCTTATGGATCAGAGCTGCATAATTCTCTGACATCAGAGATCTGTTTCCTGAGGAAGCAGAACCAGGCTCTCAATACCGTGCTCGCCAAGGGATCCAGAGGTAGGAGCAAAAGGCGCCGTCTGCAGGCTGGACGCCCACGGCCCTCTGTGGCATGGGAAGAATGCATGGGAGTCTGACAAACCTGGGTTCAAATTCTGTGGCTCTGTGACTTCGGGCAGGTCCCTTAACCTCTCTGAACCTCGGTATTCTTAGCTGTAAAATGAGACAGCTGTGAGAGTTACCCTGTGAAGCCCTTAGCACGGTGCCTCTAATGAGTATACGGCCGCCTCTCATTCGCCTCTGTTTCCGGTGGAAGAGAGAGAGGCTAGACATGCATACTGTGCCAGAGTGCCATCCACAGGCTCCCTACTGTGGGTAGGGGCATCCTAGTATTTCTTAGGAAGATCCTTTCTCTCAATTTTTTCTTTTTGGAGCTTAGCCCCCAAAGAGCTTTCACCTACAGTCTCTCTCAGTACTTACACTGTTTCTGGAAGGAGTCATTATCAGTCCTGTTTTACAGGTAAGAAACCGAGGCGCCTGGGGAGTTGACTGGCCTGTGGGCCCTTGTCTAGAAATGGGCAGAGCTGGGACGTGGGCCAGCTTCTCTACTCTCCTTAGAGGACATTGATGCTGCTATTGGCTTAAGGGACAGAATGCAAGCTTCTACAGACCCTTCATTCACTCAGCAAAGATGTTAGGGCCTGTGTAGACTGATAAGAAACGAGTGAGATCCGGTCCCCTCCGTTGAGGGACTCCGTGGTCTGATTGGAGAGGCAGCCAGGCCACCCGTGGCAGGCCAGCCCGAGGGGCAGGCGTGACAGGGGCCACGAGGGGCAGGTGTGACAGAGGCCAGCCCGAGGGGCAGGCGTGACAGGGGCCAAGAGGGGCAGGCGTGACAGAGGCCAGCCCGAGGGGCAGGCGTGACGGAGGCCAGCCCGAGGGGCAGGTGTGACAGAGCCAGCACGAGGGGCAGGTGTGACAAAGGCCATGAGGGGCAGGTGTGACAGAGACAGGATCAGGGGGCACAGGACCCAGGAGAGGCTCAGCTTCAAGAGCTCAGTCCAGAAGGCTGGGCAGCGATTAGCTGAGGTGTGTAAGGTTTAGAAGAGCCAGGGCCTTTTCAGTAGAAGAAAGAGAGCAGCCCGAGGCCTCGGGATTGGAGGCAGGGAGAGTGTACGCCGGTCAGGACTTGTGGGAAGCTCTCTGTGGCTGGAGTGTGAAGGAGGAGGGGAACACTGGCTCAGAAATGAGCATGTCAGGGTGAAGAGGAGTACCAGACAAGCTGGGTCTGGACCGTGGCTCTGCCTCTCTGTGGCTCTGGGACCTTGGGGAGGAAGTCTTAACATCTCTGTGCCTAGTTTCCAGTCTGGAAGATGGGGAGAAATCGTACCCAGCTGGGAGGTTTGCTCTGAATATGAATAAGATGGTGCATCTGCAGGTGGTCACGACGTAAGGCCTGCGGCCAGAGCTGCGGGCTGGGGGCCACCGCCAGCGGCACGGCCGAGAGCTGGCTCTGGGGAGCGCTGCCAGCCTCCACGGCGCTCGTGAAGCCCCGTGCTAAGCCCTTAGGCACAGTATCTCCATTAATCCTCACAACGGCACGTGAGAGGCAACTGAGGCACAGAGAAGTGAAGATACTCAGTCGAGGTTTTGGTGCCGGTAGGCAGAAGAGTGCACTTGAACATGGCACTCTGCCTCCAGGTCGTGCTCTTAACTGCCCATCTCCAGGCCCCGGCATGTTTTCTGGGCACTCGGGAGAGGCGCCGTCCTGGGCTGAGGCGCAGACGGGGCCCCAGGGTGCCTCTGGCGCAGCCCTGCTGGCCTCCTTACAGGGGGCGTGCAGACTTCCCTCACATCCGCTGCCAGAGAGAGGGTGGGGCTGTTTCTTGCCTCTGTCTGTAATTTATACCCACGGTCTGCTCCGCGATGGCAAAGTAACTAGGTTTGCGCGGCCCATTATTGTAGAGAAAATTAAACAGGCCCATTTCATCCCAGTGACGTTTAATCTGCAGCCTTGATGTTGACAGATTTATCTGCCCAAAATGCATAAGATAATTGGAATGCCAAAATCATAAATGCCAGATTAAATCTCATTCTGTTTTGTATTCCTGGAGTGCTTGAGCTGAAGGGCCGTATTTGCGTAACAGGGTTGGGAAAAACAAATGGTGTCTCTTCTCAGTGGCGCTGTTTTTTGTGTTCGCAGATAAACAGAAGGAGAATGAGAAATTACGCGAGGCCCTCTCCAGGAAGGCTGCGAACCTCGAGCTGCTTCGGCGAGAGTACGCCTGCTTGAAGGAGGAGAACGAGAGGCTGCAGAGGGAGGTGTGCGAGCAGGACAGGCACAGCCGGCAGCTGCTGCAGGAGGTGTGCAGCACGCGCAGCGAGCTGAGCAGGTAGCGGTCAGGTGGCCCCGGGGCGCGCTGACCCTGCCCGGGTGCCGGGGAAGGCCAGCCCGCACTCAGGCACACATGACACAGGGAACAGAATCATGGTGGCGAGGAGGGTAGGGCCATGGGGGCAGATGGCTGGCTTTTTCCAGGGGACGTCACGGGGGGGACCCTCTCTGAAATAAACGGCGACTGGCAGGCAGTGAAGGGGTGGAGGCCCTGGGGCGGGGTGTCCTTGGCCTGTGCGGGGCAGAGCAGGGAGGCCGAAGGGGGACAGGAGAGGCTGGGTGCTGAGTCCCGCCGGCCCTCGCCGCCCAGGTGAGGACTCGGGTTTCACTCTGAGTGACCGGGAAGCCACGGGGAGAGTTTGCACAGAGGGACGTGAGTCCAACTTAGAACTGAAAGGGCTCGTAGTGACTGCCCCCTTTGCAGTTTCCCCTCGCCTCTGTCGTGTCCCACCTTCTCAGTTGTCCCTCGGCCCTCGTGGGTGCCCGCAATTTCAGTGTTACCGACGTCCCCCTCGGTCGCCCAGGGTGGTGCGCTGACTGAGCGAGAGCACTGTCTTGCCATCGCGCAGTCCCGGCCCCTCCCGAGCTCTGCGCCCCCGGGTGCAGCCTCACTTCCTCACGTCCTGCCCGTGCACTGAGGATTGGGAGCACGGCCACTCTGGGCGTGAAGACGGCACGCGGCAGATCCCGCACGCCCGGACCAAGCCCGGAGGGGCGCTCGGGAAGGAGTGGCCGGGACTAGAACCGTCTCCCACGCTGGTCAGTCCCGTCCACACCCTGCCAGCTGTGGTGTCAGAGCAAGTCCCCGCGCGTCAGAAGTAACGTCTCTCCCCTGTGGCCGTGGGGCCGCTCTAGGGCGCAGCAGGAGGCGAAGTCGAAGCAGCAGCTGCTCTCCCAGAACGAGCGGCTCCTGCAGTGTCTGCGGGTGGAGCTGAAGGTGTGCGCGAAGCTGGACGCGGGGCACCGGAGGCCCGGAGGTACTGGGCGCGCTGGCCCGAGGGCTTCCCGTCCTGGGGTGGCCGCGTCGGGCTGTGGGCTGGGCCCTCTTTCTGAAATGCTGCCTCCCGGGAAGAGGGGCCCGCTCCCCTCGGGCCGCTCGTCTTCTGACGCAGCGAGGAACTCGGGAGGACGTGGGCTGGGGAGTGAGGCCAGCCGAGGCCTGCGTTCTCTGCCTGGCTCCAGGCCCTGGGACCGTCAGCGGGTCACCTCGCCCCTCTGGGCCTGGCTCTCCCTCCATAAAACGTGTCCCGATGCCTGTTCTGTGGGGTCGTGAGAATTAATTGAGCTCATTTCTGGAAATCAGGTACCGCATGACTTGGGCCACAGTAAATACTCACAGATCATCTGATTCTGCGTGTCCTGCTAGTGTATGTGTCTTTTCGCCCATTCATTGAGCACCTCAGTGTGGCGCGCCTGCCACACTGCAGGGCGGTACGCGGACGTGGTGCGTGGCCCCGGTCCTCTGGCGGATACTGAGCAGAGGGACTTGACTGTAAACTCTAATGTCTTAGAATCAATTTTGAGGTGTGGTAGGGTTTTTTGTTTTTTGTTTTTTTTAGCTAATTTTCCAGATGGTTTCTCCCTATTGAAAGGTTATCTAGAAAAGGGTCACCTCCCGGCTTTCATTTTCTCCTCAAGTCGCTTTTCTTATTTTTGCTGTTGTGCCTTTTTAATATACTGTGCCTCTTAAAATCAGCCCCTTTCATTCTATAATTCCAGTCCAAATAGATTTTATTACTACCAGACGTAATTCTGGGGTTTGGTGTGCAATTTGCAAGGCTTTTATGGCCAGAAGCGAAAATTAATTTCCAGCTCTTATTTAGCCTGCGGAATAGCAGCAATTAAGTCTGCCGATATTTTTGTTTTTAAAGTCAAGTTGTTACTTTAAATTGTACCTAGTTCTTTGGAAGGGGCGGGTGGCGGCGATGGTGGGTTCAAAACCCTGTTGCGCTCCTTCAAGGGCTGACCCTTCAGTGGCGGAAGATGTCAAGGTTGTCCCTTTGTGCTTGTTTGCAGAGGCATCAGGAGAAGGCTGGATGGGGCAGGACCCTTGCAGCGACCTGCACGGTCTCCTAACAGAGATCCAGGCTCTGCGGAGCCAGCTGGAAAAGAGCATCGAGACCACCAGCACGCTGCAGAGCAAGCTGGAGGAGCAGGGGAGGAGGGCTCAGGAAGCAGCCCTCACCGGGGCCCTCCAGACCCTGTGCGTCCCCGAGTGGCCCCTGCAGCTGGACAAGCACGGTACTGGCCCACCACACCTCCTAACCTCTTGAGATTGTACCCCCGTGCATGTCAGCGGGACACGGGGGCTTCTGGATGGTGCCCTTGCCCCGTGGAGGTGTCCCCCTGTTGACAGCAGGCACACTGTCCCCGGGAGCCAGCGGCCTGGCCACTAAGCAGCCATCACATTTGGCAGGATTGTTTGATCTCCATCTGGGGCCCCTTGGCTCTCAGGGAAGTGGAGTTTGGACTGCCAGTGCTCTCATCACCCACCCCACCCCCGCCCTGCCCCCCCCCCCCGCCCCCCGCCATCCACGTAGCCCTGTCCATATCATTCCACTGCTGCAAATCCTTTCAAAGAGAATCTAAACTTACTCTGGCTCTCAGTGTCTTTCAGGATCTGAAAAGCATCCCAGTAGGTTTGAAAACTGATTCTGTTTTGCATTTGCTTGTGGGTTTGTTGTCTAGCCCTGCAGAAGCCGTGTAGGGTAGCAGAAAAAGGACGGGAGCGGGTCCCCGTCAGTCCTCTGTCCCTTGCCCAGCGCAGGGCCAGGAACAAGCCAGCAAGTGGTCAGACTTCAGGCAGTTGGCCAGGCCATCCTCTTTGCCCTGTGGATGGAGGGCCTGAGACCCAGAGAGGGTACTAGACTCCCCCAGAGTGACGTGGCAAAGAGGGGCAGAGCTGCAGCTAGAAATCATTTGTCAGCTCCCGAGTCCAGTGCTGTCCCTGGAGCCCCGCCTGACCTCACGGCACCTCAGGGGCCCGGGGTCGTCGTCCTCATACCCGCAGGGCGGGTGTGCACACCCCATGGGACAGGAAGCGTAAGCTTACTTTATACACAGACCCTGTGTGAAAGCTTGGACTTCATCTCTGCTGGGATTGGGAATCCTGTTTATTGCCTTGCATCAAAAAAATTAAAATCTCTTAAAGAGCAGCCAGTGTGCTTTAGAACTTGCAGTGACTGATTGATTTCTCCTTGGTAAGGAATTTAAAATTTTAACCAGAAGATGATGTGACAGTATGAAAAAAAAAAGGTAAAAAAAAAAATCCTTCAGGATTCTACAGAATGATAATATTTTGCTTTGTGTATTTCTCTTCATTTGGTAATCACATGCAAGCGTGAATTTATATTATTCACGTTGGTTTGTGTCATTCTGTGGCCTTTCCTTGTTTTTGCCCAGTGTTACATCATAAATGGTTCCCATTCTTCCACACGGGCTTCTAATTACTGTTTTCAGATTATCGCCAGTCACAAAACCATTACCACGGTGATTATTAAAGTGGTCTCTGATTTGGTGCTTTAATAAACATCAATGTTAATATGCTTTTTGCTGTTAAGCAGCATTCTTAGGATAAAATCCTACTAGTGGACTCTCAGAAGACTTGGAAAGGAGCCATATTGCCTCCTTTTGCATGGGACATACATCAGCAATGGGTGTGGGTGTCTCTGTTAAATGTAGGTCTGCTCCTGGCCTTGCGTCGGGCTTAGCGCAGATGGCACCAGGGAGATGGGGGTGCGCTGGGCCTTCGGGGCAGGGAGAACCATTCAGGACCAAGGCTTCCCAGGAGGGAGAGTTGGGCAGCTGAAGAGAGACAGCCATTGAACGGTGTTTGGCTGCTTTGAAAGCAGTGTGGTGTCAGCCTAGGTGCGCCTTGCAGGGGGCACGGGGGAGGAAGCGTTGAGAATGCACGGTGCGGCCCCAGTGCGCAGGCGCTCCCCCAGTGGGCGTGGGCATTCTTCCTTCGGCCGCGCCTGCCTGCCTTTGCAGCAGACTTTTCAGGATTGGACTTAAGTGCACTGGTTCGGAAGTTCTGCTCTGAAGACAGCTGTTCTGGGCAGAAAGCCGTCCCTCTGAGGGGCCAGCCCCTGGGCCCTGGCAGCGAAGTGTGCCCTTGGAACAGCAGCCGGGTGGGAAGGGGCGTCCTAAGGCCGGGACACCAGGCACAGTCTCACTGTGCCGCCCACACGCTGGGTAGCGCTGGCCGGTTCACCTGCTGTCCCTGCCCCTTGGTCATGTCCTCCTCCACGAGGTCTGAGTGATGCTGCCGCCCTGCCCGTGGAGCCACTGAGGGATCAGGTGCACAGCGCTCTCTAGATGTCACAGAGTGACAGGCCACCGCGCGTGGCGGCTCACTGGCTCTGCCTCCTGTTGTGTCCAGCGCGTCACTTCCCGATCTCTGCTCTGGGTCCTCTGCTCTCTTGCTTGGGTGGCTCCCGCAACCTCCAGACTCACTGCTTCAGTGCAGAACATGGCCCTCAGCTTGACCTTGCCCCACCTGACACCCTCGAGGGGGCCCCAGCGTCCTCCCTGTCTGACCTTGCTGCCACCAGGGCCCTCCCTTGTGCCCTGGGCTCTGCCTACCGCCTGCTCCAGGCGTCCTGTGCCTTTGCGTCCGCTCGTCCCTCCTCTGGGCTAGCGCCCCTCCCCCGGCTCGCAGCCCCTGTGGTTCCCTCCCTCAGTCCTGACCACCTGGAAGGGAACCTGCGTGTTCACTTGTTGGGCAGGAGCGTCCCTGCAGCGAGGAGACTGGGTGTGCTCACTGTGTCCCCGTGTCCCGCAGAGGGGATGCCCCGGAAGGTTTGAGTGAATGCTCGTGTGTGGCTCGTGCTTTACTGTGTTCCCATTCAGTTCTTTCTCAAACGCCAATGACGGTTTATTTTCCTTCTCTTCTTTTGCATTTTGTAGATGGTGACAAGTGCCCCGTGCCGGTAGATAATTCCTGCGACCTGTTTGACTCCCCGCCGGCGGTGCCACCACAGTCAGGTGCAGAGCTGAAGGCTGGGTAACCGGCGTGACTGGGTTTGGCAGGAGGAAGTGTTAAGTAGAATGAAAGGGGGTCCCTGGTCACATCATGAGGGTGTTTGGCAGGATTTGGGGCTTCACGTTCTCAGCACATCTAGCTAATGATGTCCTCCCCCGAGCCAGGTTATGTGTTCCTAGGTGTCACCAACCTTAGCAACGTCCCTGGGTCCTTGTTGCTGAGATGGAAGTGTGACCACCTTAGTGGCTGTAAGGCCCTCCAGCCTCAGGGGGCCCATCTAGCCTGTCCTTGTGCTGCCAGAAGGGCGGCCACCCTCCCGCAGACGGGCCTGCGCCGTCCTTGCCCTGGGACGGTGCAGGGTGGCTCCCTCCTGCTCCAGACCACTCTTGTCCCATTCTCTGCCAGTGCAAATCCTGCTGCTTCCCTGAGACTCCTCCCGAATGCAGACTGGTTTGTGAGATGCCTTTCTGGAGGCCCCCAGTCGGAGCTATTCATTTATACCTTTGTTGATCCAAAGGTAAAAAGCAACAGGCTTCACCTCTGCTGAGTGTAATTCTTGCTGCTTGTTCAGCCCAGCTCAATTGTTGCTTCTCCGGGGAAGCCTTTCCTGATCTCCCTTACTGCACAGACAGTTGATTATTTTTCTCTCTGAGCTCCAGCTCTCCATCAGCATGCTGTCGCACCTCCCGCACGGTGTCTGATTAGACCGCGGGCTCCCAGGGTGCAGACGCCGGCCTGACTCGTCTGTGCAGATCAGGGCTCATTGCAGACCAAGCGTCTGTGAAGTGTTGGTTGACCTGAATCGAGCTTGTCCCATAAGATGGATAAGCCCAGTGTGGGGTGACCCGCAGGCTGATGATCCAGGCCTCGCCCCTGCGTGGGGCCGAGTGGCCCCGGGGCCTGAGGGCCTCCCTTGGTCCTGCGGCCGGACTGCAGCGTGGTTGAACATGGGAAACTGCCCCAAACGGGTCTGACCTCTTCCCTCTGCTGCTGCAGCGTCAGAGACCCCGCCACTCTCTGGAACCGACACGGACTCCCTCTCCTGCAACAGCGGCAGCTCGGTCAGCAGCACCCCGTGCGCGTCCCACCTGGTCCCCGGCTACCACCTGTGGGCCGACAGTAGTGGCTGCCATGTCCTGGGCCTGACCGCGGACTACGAGGCCCTGTGCCAGCAGATTGGCCAGGGCCAGAGGCTCCTTGCCGAGATGGCCCTGCAGATCCAAGAGGCTCCCCACCCCACAAGTCTGGAACTGGGAACGAAGGTGAGCTGACCGACAGCGGGAGGCCGCCGGGTGCTCCCTGAGAGCAGCAAGTGCAGGGGGGCCGCCTGAGGGCCCGGAGAGGGCGGGGCGCACGGGCTCTCAGTAAGGCCCTGAGAAGAGGGTCCGGGGACTGTAGCCCGTGAAAGCTCAGCGGTCCGGCCCAGCCCGGGCGGCTGTCCTGTGGGGGGCGCTGGTTGTGGCTTGCCCCCTGTGTTGGTAGAGTCTCTTCGCTGGGGTCACTCCTCCCTGCAGCGTTACCTTTGGTTGAGGACCCGCGTGCCAGGTGCCTGCCATCAAGTGACTCATTCACTTCCACCAAGGCTCGGGGTCAGATGCTCTTTTCCTCCCGGGCTGGACCCCGAACGCCAGGCTCCCACGGGTCACAGTTTCCAGTCCCTGTTCTCAGGTCCTTACTGAGGGCCCCCTGCTTCCTAGTACCTGATTTGCCTTTCTGTTTTATTTTGTTTTATTATATTGTGAGAGTCAATTTTGTATTTTATTTTTCACTAGGTAATAAGCTTCAGGAGAGCAGGGCCAGTATGGCTTCTGCTCATTGTTGTGTATTTACCAACCTCACACAGGCCCTGGCGTACAGTGGGCACGTGGTAAATGGGTGTTGAATGTAGTGAATATTAATAAGATTATTGTTCTTTTCTGAATGTAATGTTTACTGCACAGAAGGTTAGAAACTGTAGAAAAGTGTAAAAACATCACATGACACTGCTTAAAATTTTGGTATATACATACACGCACAAACACACGCTTGGAGCTCACTCATAAGGTTTAACAAAACTGACTCATAACTTCATGGATTTCATAGTTTGACTTTCAGTTTACGTCTTAACAATTTTCCCATCCCAGTTACTGTTTTTCTAGAACTTGGCTTTTACTGGCTGACAAATAAGCCAGCACATGGATGTACCACCATTTATTTACTCTTTGACCTGTTTTTTTTTTTTTTTTACTCTTTGACCTGTGGGTTTTTTTTTTTGTTTGTTTGTTTGTTTTGACATTCAAAGTATGGTGCCCATCCTTTTCAACAGCTCTCTGGTCATTGGGGATGACGTCCTGGAAGGGGACTCACGCTCGCAGGCGGTGAGCCCTTGAGAGTGCTTGCAGGTCACAGTTGTTGGTACATTACTTTCCGTAATTGTCACTTGTATCCCCATTTACAAGTGAGAGTTTCCTACTCACTACCCTTGTGTGCTCACCGAGTGATTTGATTTATAAGTGGTTTTACGCCAATTCAGTCGCTATAAAGAATGTCATTTTATTTTGTGTTGATTTTATTACTTGTGAAGACAGTGCCCTTTTAATTTCTTCTCTTCTTCAGATTTACTGTCTCTTCCCTTCTCTGACTCCTGTTGTTTGCTTTCTCATGCCCTTGCCACCCCCCAGGTAGGGGTGCCTCTGCCCGCAGAGGGTGAGGGAGACATTACGGGGCCCCAACTTTGGTCTTGGCAGCGCACACAGCCATTTAGCAAGGGCTGCTGGACACGGGGCGTTCCCATTCGTCACTCACCCTAGGCACCCTTTGCCTTCTAGAGAGGCTCCATGGTGCGGGGCGGCGCGAACGGCCCCCCACGGACCTTCTTCGTGGCCAAAATACAGTTAACACAGGTGGTTATTTATTAATTGTGGTTAATGACTGGGCTGGAATCACCACCGAAACTCTCACCGTCTGTAATTCACCGATCTCTAAGAACGGGGTGTTGGTGTTGCTGGGCAACAGGCTCTTGTTCGGCATCTGGATGCAAGCCCCGCAGCCCGGAGATTTGCACTGCCCATTAGAGCTGGCTTGTCCGTAATCCTTCTCAAGGCTGCCTGTGACAACCTCCTCATGCCCCGCCTCTCCCCCTTGCGCAGGGTCCACACTCAGCACACCCGGGCAGATTCGTCACTGGCGTGGGCACAGCCAAGCTGATCCTCAAGGAGGCTGCGAGGCTGCTCATGCTCTTCTGGAGGGCCTCGCTCCCCACCAAGGACCAGTGCTCGCTTCCGGGTGAACAGGTAGGCGGGGACACAGGGACTCAAGGCTTAGAGGGTGCCGCTGGGCCTTGCCCGTGGCAGATGTGCCCTCAGTTTGGGGAACGGTCGGGGGGGACTGGGAGGTGCCGTGTTTTTCAAGAGTGACATGCCAGGCGCATGCTGGCTGTTTCAGGCGTGTTCTTACCTGCGCTCCCAGCGCCCTGCTGGCCCGGCCTGTGCCTCTGATCCGACCGCGTGCCCACTGTTGGTGCATTTCTGTCGAGGGAAGTCCCGTTGGCATTTTGTTCATATGGAGGAAGCTGAGGCTGAGGGAGAGAGGCCTGGCCAGGGTGCACAGCTGGTTTTGAGGGCACCAGGATCGGAGGCTAAAAGATTTGCTTTTATTGTATAGGCTCTAAGTCCGAGTTTGTCCTCAGAGACTAGCTGGTTCCCTTCCACTCTAAATCTCTTTCATTTTAGGTGCCTTTCTCCGGACCATCTGATTCTTTTGGTTGCTTCCAGCATCATATTTTAGTGGGTCTTGTTCCAGTCTGTTCTAACTACGTACAAAGGTTTTTTCCTTAACCAATGAAAATCATTTATCATGAAACCGCTGAAACTTCCCTTAAAAGCTTGACTTTGCAGTAACTGGATCGTGACTCAGTTAAGAACAGTTGATCCCACAACCGCCCTCACCCCCATCTTTCACGGCACAGACCAGGCGTCCAGCGGCGCAGACGCTGCCTGGGGTTTTGTCCGTGGGAAGCGGTTTGAGCAGCCACTCTGGTCACGAGAGTAGCGTCCCTGGAAGCTAGGGCACACGGATTAAGGAGGAATTAGAACTTTGCTTGGTGGTCTGATAGACATGCACCCCCTGCATGTATCTAACCTGTGAGTTTTTGCCGGAGGCCAGCAGGCGGGCAGGGGAAGTGTGCGTTTCGTGCCCTCACTCATCTCCTAGTCACACCCACTCTGACGGCTCGCATGTCTGTCCGCCATGGTTACATGTGTCCGCTGTGAGGCAGTCCCCTACTCCACAGGGTCTTGTGAGCCTGTCCTGAGGCTTCTGTCTCAGGATCCTGGGGGACGAAGTTTGGGTGCACTGAGCTTGTGGAAGTAAGTAACCAGTCATTTTGCAATTTGCCCACATTTAGCCGGCGGGGGCGGGGGGGAACCCAAGAGGGAGAGGGCCCATTGGGCTCCAGACCCATGTTGGCCTTTGTTTTCTGCTAACCCACCAAGCTCTTCCCATCTTAGGCCTGATGACACAGACGCGCTGACTGCCTGACACCCCCACCACCACCCCCAGCTCCCGCTCGGCCAGCTGGCTTCTTCTTACCTCTCAGGTCACAGCTTCAATGTTACCTCAAGGTCAGAGAGGACTCCCTGATCACTCAGTTATCGTATCCTCTTCTCTTTCATCATAGCCCTGATTACGGACTATATAATTGTTGGCTTAATGTCTGTTTCCCTGTTTTCCAGGAGGGCCCATGGCTATTTTCACGTTTGAATGAATAATTTGTTCTCGTATTACCAAACTAGCACTTGCCCATATGATTTCTAAAGCACAGTGTGTCTGAGTGTAGCTCGATGCGGTGTTTTGTCCTCGGTACACAGTAATGTCTGTTAAATAGACAGAACACAGTTCTTATTTCGTGTGTGTGTGTATAAATATAAATTATAGACACTGATCTCTCCCACCGGCCAGCTAGCCCGGGGACTGGCCAGTGCTTGTGATGACTCACCCTTGTTTCCAGGCACTTCTCATGTCATTGATTATGCTCACGTTAGCATCGCAGAACTGGAGAGCCAGAAGGGCCTTAGAGACACTCCAGTGTGGTGGCTGGTGTACACAGACCCCCTGCGTGGTGTTAAATTGCCTCGAGCCGCTTTTCTGCCCCTGCCTGTGTTTCATACAGTGCCTTTTGCTTAGTGTGAACTGTGTGCAAGGCAGATTTCCAAGTTTTTGCCAGCAATCCCAATTTTGTTTTTTTATGACCTAAGGTTTTCTCAGCAATTAATTTGCCTTTCGCATTTAATATACCACCCCCTGCTGTCCCTAGGACTAGTCTGGAAAGCGTGTATCATGCACATCTGTTTATCTAAGAAAGTTGTGAGGAGAGATGCGAATATATACGCGTACTTGCTTAGAAAATTTTTGATTAACCTGAAGGATAAACGGTAACAAGAAAACAGGCCACTTGGGAGGTGTGAGAAGGAAGAGGTTGGACGGGCAGGTGTAGAACGGAGATTTCTCTCCTGAGTAGCCCTTGTTTGGCAAGCTTGACACTCACTGAAACTGTGTAAATGCTTTAATGAAAACTAAATCAAAATGAGAATAAAAGCAATTTCTTAACATTCATAGCAAGATGAAGCAAATCTTTCTGTAGACGGCGCTGTGGGCATTGCCCACACAAAGAGGAAACATTTCAGGCCTAAAACATGGTAATTTGACCACATCCCTAATGGAACTACTCTGAGGTCTAAAAGGACCTGCAGAAAACATTTTTAATTATTTCCAGTGATATTGTTAATAATGATATTGATACTGTTAGTTTAAAATTGTTACATTTCTACCATAGGACAAAACAAACAGCTAATTTAGTTAAGAATTTTACTGTCAGGGAAGAGATATAAATTTAAGAAATTAAAGAGGTAAGAATCCTGCCATCCCTGATTTGCAAATATCAGTGTGAGCTCACGGATTTCCTATTAAAAACATTTACTCTTAGGCTTTAAAAACATCCTATCCCTTACTAGCGAGTCCCTCTAGCGCCAAATTGTGGTTTCCAAGTACGTTTCCCCGCTCCACTCATAGGAACTAGGAATCCTTGATTCTAGGTCTGGGGCAGGATGTATACATTATGAGCTTAGGACATCTGCTCATCCGCAGGAAAAAGAGGGGAAAGAGGGAGTAAAACAGATTTACAGTGGTTCTCAAAATACAGCCCCAGGACCAGCCGCATCGGTGTCGTCTGAAAACTCAGTGGAAAGGCAAAAGCCCCAGCCCTACTGACCAAATCAGAAAGTCTGCTCTTAGGAGCCTTCTCGATAGCCCTGAGAACCACTGTACCAAAAGCAACTTAAGAGACATATCAGTCAAATGCAAAACACGGAGTTTATTTGGACGCTGGTGAAATCAGACCAGTTGTTCAAAGAAATGAAATTATGATGCACTCAGGGGAATGGGTCTCCTGACCTACCTAGACGGTGATATTAAACAACTTCTGTCATTATTTTCGATGTAGTGATGGCGTTGTGTTTTTCTTTTTATAGAATTTTTTCCTTCTAGACCTATATACCAAACTACTGTATGGCTGTGAAATATAATTAGCTCCTGGGATTGAGTGTAAAAATAGTTTTAGGATGCAGATGGGCAGGGACGTAGGAGAATCAGGTTTGGCCGTGAGTTGATAATCGTTGAAGCAGTTCATTATCCCATTCTAGGACTTTTGTGAATGTTTCAGAATTTTCATTATAAAAAGAGAAAAAACAACTAAAAAAACACCAGCTCCAAGAGTTGGGCCGAAGACCACCGAGTAAGTGGGTGGCCTGCCGGGAGGGGCGTGGGTCCCAGCCCTGAGCTGGGCTCGGCGGCCCTCAGAGGGAATTGCGGGCCCTCTGCTCTACACTCAGCACCTCCTTTCATCCCTTCCAGGAGCCTCCAGAGGGAGGTGTTATTATTGCCATTTTCCAGAAGGAGGAACTGAAACTTCTCGCTTTGTCATCATCACAGCTGGCAGTGACCTGGCCGGGTCTTCAAACCCTGTTGTGTTTATTACCGCGGTGCCTTCATCCTGTAAAAATGAGGATTTTAGTTCAGAGGAGCAGCAGACAGACACAATTAGACTTCCTTGTTTTGAGGGCTGGGTAGAATATGTACAAGGTGTGGGGGCCTGGGTGGCTCAGTCAGTTGAGCATCTGACCCTTGGTTTCAGCTCAGGTCATGACCCCAGGGTTGTGGGATTGAGCCCCGTGTCGGCTGCGCACTGAGTGCAGTGGAGCCTGCTTAGGATTCTCTCTCTCCCCCTCTGCTCTTCTCCTCTGCTTACTCTCTGTATAAAATAAATAAGGTGTTTTGGGAGGGCAGGTGAAAACTAACCCACCAGTTGGCAAAGGGTCTCGCAGCACCTGCTGTGTGCCAGGCGCCAGTGGTCCAAGGGCAAAATTGAGTCTTGGGAGAGGCAGCCAACCAGTAGATGACCAGTTACAGTTCAACATGCAACGGGCAGTAATGCGGGAAGCCCTAGGCATAGTGGGTGCCCACAGGAGCAGTAACCAACCTAGACTCCTGGTGGGGAGGAGTCTCAAGGAGAGCTTCCTGGAGGAGGTGTTGCCCAAGCTGACTTTCGAAAGAGGACTAGATGTTAGCCAGGCAGGGGCAAGGAAGTAAATCGTCTGTCTTCAGGTACATCTCCTCTGTGTCTCACTCTAGATGGATAGGTCAGGGGTTGCCCGGGTTGTGTGGTCTAGGAAGCCATGACTTGAACACACATCTCTGTGGGCTGTTATCATGAGGAAGAGAATCAGAGAAAAGCGAAGGTTTAAGTGAGGATCTGTTGTGGAAGAAATCAACATCCTTGTAGCCGACACAATTGGTTAATTTGAAAGCAGGTTAAAGCAGGGAAATCAAGAGATATATACCTTAAATACCGTAGTTTAACAGAAGACAGTTCAGCGTACATTCATTTGGCGTCCTTTGATGTAGGGCCAGGGCCTTTTCTTTGAATATGGGTCTCGTGATTAGGGTTTTACATCTTCCTTCTTTCATAAACTACATCCATAATGTATGTCTGTCACTTTCAGTTTCTGTTTCTTTAAGATGAAGAAGAAAATGTAGACACTTGTAAGGCAACTCGAATATAGAATTCTGCTAGACTCCGATCCTCTCGCGTCTTCCAGGGTTGATCCCCCCACACCGAATTTGCCAGAAACGTCGTTTTTAGTGACTTGCCTTTATCACGTCTTTCCTGAGGCATTTGTTTTCATAGTTCTCTGTTTTTGTGCTTGTGTTTCATGGGTTTACTAATACTTCATTAAATCCTATAACTGATTGCAAGCGCCACTGCCTTAGACAAGCTAGGGAACCAAGTAAAGTGGTTCCTTGTAAGCTGACCGCCCACCATCCACCCTGTTGGGAGCAGACATGTCTCACGGTCCCAGCCGGTAGCCTGTGCAGGGGCGCCTGGGGGCGGGGCTTACGAGCAGAGGGTGTCTTCACCTCTGTGAGCCGCCTCCCCCGAGAGGGGCGGGGAGAGCCCATGGGGTGTGCATGCTTTGCGGGAGAGCTGGGGACTCCGGCTTTGCCCCCCATCCGCTCTCCCCACTCCCCTCTGAAGAGCAAAAGCTGTCCCGAGGATTAAACTCTCCTAATGATACTTTTACGTTCTCTTGTGTATCATCAAACAACGTGTTTTATAGTTTTTGTAAAAAACAACAGAACCTCACGCAATTCCGATAACATTTTGAAAAAGGAAAAGGAAAACTTCTAAATCACACCTGTCAGAGATACATCACCGTTAATCATTTTGGCATTGTCTCTTGGTCGTCAGTTTTACGGACATCCTCATGTATGCACCTGTGGATGTAGATGCGTGTGCATTTTTATGAAATGGGTGCCTGATACAGCATAGCTGTTCTAGGCTTTTTTTGGTCACTGATTGTGATCATCTTTCAACATCGATAGAACATCATTCTTAGTAGCCGTGCAGTTGTGCCGTTGTCTGTGAGACCCGTGGTTACTTACCCAGACCCCGGATGGGACGAAGCAGGCGGCCCGCAGGCTCCTGCTGTGAGCGGCGCGGAGATGAACATTCTGGAACAAAGGCTTCTTGCGCACGTGTGGCTGTGTTGGGGCAAACGCCGGGTCACCGGGCCGAGTGCATTTTACAGTTTGGTAAATCTTGCTGGGGCGTCGCCCCCAGGGCGCGGCGGAGCCTGCCCGACACCGTGGCTGTCCCTGGAATTGGCCAACCTGACCAGCAGAAAGTGGCTTCTGCTTTTCGTTAAAATACCATCGTTAGGAAGGCCGAACGTCTTTCTGTATATATTTTAATTCTTCCCTGTGTGATATAATGTTTTGTACTTGTTGTTCATTTCTCTAACTCCTTTTCTCTGGAGACCCGAGAAATGAAGGCAGAGATCACCAGACTGCACAGAAGGCTGTCTGAACAAGAGAAGAAGCTGCAGAAGTCCTTGGAGCTTTTGCAGCGGAGCCAGCGCCAGGAAAAAGTCATCTTTGATCAGTGTGAGTGAGCACGGGGCGGGGCGCGGCGTTGGCCGCTTCGTGCCTCTGAGGACTGGAGGCCCGGTCCCGGACCCGCTTCGGAGCCCGGATCATTTGTCCTCACGCCTCCTGTTTATGGTTTTCCTTTCATACCTGCATCCTTGCCGACCCACACAGACAAGTCGGTTCACTTAACAGGCCGCGGTGGCGAGGCCGCGTGGTGCCAGGGACGGTCGTCTCGTTGGGGACACGGGTGTGGGGGGTAGGGTGTTGGGGAGCCCTGAGAGGGGCATGGGGGAGGCTGTCTTTCTGTCCTGGGAGCTGAGCCTCTTGGACGGAGGGACGCCCGTGCTGAGTCTGCCAGAAGGAGCCGGTGCTGGTCAGATGGAGGGGGCAGAGGGGCAAGAAAGAAGGGTTCGCACGAGAGGAGCCTGCCGCGGTCCCGTGGCTGGAGCAGGGCTGTGAGGGGCAGGCCAAGGCTGGGGGCGCCGGGCCAGGACGATCGGACGATCGTGAGGCCTTGGGGGGCGGGCCCGGGGCAGCTGGCGCGCAGGGCGGGGCAGGGACTGTGTGTGCGAGCAGGGGAGGCTCCGCCATCCCGATGGTGAGGAGGAGGGCCCAGCCGCACCGCACGGACCCAGAGGAGGGCAGGGGTTGGGAAATGCTTCTCAGGGCGGATCCAGGAACTCCGGCCCGGAGAGGCTCACTGGCATTTGTAAGGTCCGTCCCCGTCCTGATCCAGGAGCCCGAGAGACGGTGGGAGGAAGCGCCCTGTGCCCGGTAGGAGCCCGCAGCCCCGGCGCCCCGCGTGTTTGCAGGCGCGGCCGTGTCCTGGCCTGCCTTGCCGTCTGCTCGTCACTCTCGCTGCTCTGGGAGGGCCGCGGACGTGGCTGGGGAGCCAGCCTGGCCCGTGCTACCTGCTCGTCAGGACCGGCATTTCTGCGGCATCTCTGGCAAGCATGGGACGTAGACTGCCGTTGGGTGGGGGCTCTCCAGAGCCACCCGCGAGGGCCTTCTGGACACAGACCCCCTGAGGCTGGCAGAGTTGCAGCCGCAGAAGAAAGGAGCGCGCGCCGACGCGCTGCCCGTGCCGCCGTGCCAGGCTCTGGGGACAGAGGCGAGCCACGCCGTTCGGGCCAGCACAGAGCTCCGGCCTGGCGGGGGGGACACGAAGGTTAGCTGCCGGGCAGGGCGCTGAGCGCATCCCCAGCGGCCTCAGCGGCCCAGGCTCTGCACTGCCTGGGTCTTGCGTGGGAGGTAGAGAAGGGAGAAGGACGGGAGGGTGGCACACGGCCTCGGGGGTGAGAGCAGAGTGTTCAGGAACGCGGGACGCACTAGGGGATTTGCTCTGAGAGACCATGTGAAAGAGACAGAGAGGGACCAGGTCCCGGGGGCCCGTGGATGGGCTCGAGAATGAGCAGCAGGGGCTGCTGGGGTCCGTCGTGTCTTAGAAGGTCCTTGTGGCTGAGCACGGAGGGGCCAGGAGGCCAGGACCTCTGTGGGGGCTGTGGCAGCCATGACAGCAGGGCTGGGGCGGGCCGCGGAGGGGAATGGTATCCCGATCTCGGTGTCTCCGGGGCCTGGCCCAGAGCGGGGCTTGGCTCCGAGCTGGGTGGGGGGTTGCCCAAGGCTGCGCAGCTGGTGACTGGCCCTGGCCGGGCTCTGCACCTCACCCCGGTGGGCCAGGCCCTCGAACGTTTCCCAAACCCTGCCAGCCTCACGGGTCTGCAGGCCGTAAGGGGCTGAGCGACAGTGATGTGGTGTCCCCTCCCCCGGCATGGTGACCGGGAGAGCAAGGGCCGAGGGCTGGTCTCTGCCGGGGCCAAGCTGAACACCTCTCCCAGAGCGTGCAGAGGAAGGAAGGAGAAGTGTCACTTTGAGCCCCAAGGACCCTGCCGTCCCCTCGTGTGGCCCGGAGCCCCCACGTCACTAATAGCCTCTGACGCAGGAGGGCCTCCCACGCAGGGTCGGGGGATGCCGAGGTTACAGTTCACGAGCGCGACAGGGAGGTTGGTGTCATCCCTGCCAGCACCCCGCTGACGTGGGGAGTCAGACGGTCCCGGGTTCGAGTCCCAGCTCGGCCCCGGGCAGGCCTGGATCTGGACAAGCTCGTCACCGCTCTGTCTCTCGGGCTTCTCGGTGCAGCAGGGATTTCTGGGCCCTGGAAGGTGAGCAGTACCGTTCGGATGTGAGGCCCCTTCCAACTGGGGGCAGGTGAGCCTCAGCTCGTCACTGGGAGTGTGGCACTTTGGTGTTCTGGTACCTTCCATGTGCTGTGGGACCTGCACACCTGGTATGCCTTGTCTTCTCTGGGTCACAGGCCCCTTGGCCTCCCTCAGGAGAGGGTGACTTCTCTCTCCAGAAGAATGCAGATATGCAGGAATACACGCATTTCCGCATACTTCCAGGGGCCTGGGACCCCACCTAAAGCAGAACCCTGGACCCGGGTTAAGGGGTGTGCAGCCTGGGGGTGGGGCAGGGCACAGAGACACAGTGGGCACCTCTGAAACGGATGCTGGCTAAATGAAGTTAAAAACGAAGCCCACACCGGCTGTCCCCTCCACCCCCGGTGTCACAGATCACAAACAGCCTGTTATCCCACATGGAAATTCTGCTGCGAGGCAAGAGATAAATGTTTGCCCAAGGCCACCATGTGGCTCCTGTTCTGAAGAGACGCTGGGGAGTCAGGCCGCCGTCTGTGTTGATGGGAGTCTGTTTCATCCCTGGGCACCTTTGGCCAAAGCCCCCATTCTAGAGGCCTCGATTCTGTCTTCTCCGGGGAGTAAACAGATTCCGTGACCTTCACCAAGGCCCCGAACCCAGCCAGAGATCTCTTTGGTGGTGGCATTCCACTGCTGCCGCTGTTTGTGCCAGACAGGAAGCGGATCGCGGGAGGACACGGCCTTGCTCTGCGACACATGATCAGCTGGGAGTGTCGTCCCGCCCGGGGACCGTGTCCAGTTCCTCGGCCCGCTAGCAGGAGTGTAAGGGGAGAAGCGCCTGAGCTCCTGCTTCCCCGCGGCTGACTGGAAGTCCGCCCCAGGGTGCAGCTGACTTTGCAGACCTGCCTGTGACCCTTGCTTTGGGCCTTGGCACACAGGCTTGCTTGGAGTCGGGCACACCCCCTGCCCAGAGAGACCACGGTGTGTGGGAGCTCGTCAGGCACAGGCCTCTCCCCTGCCCTGCACCAGTGACCCCCAGACTCACAGAGGGGAGGCCCTGGGGTGCCTGGGTGTCCCCCAGCCTTACAGAGCCTGGATTTTGTCACCTGAAGCATGGGCCGTCTGGCCGTGAGGTTCTGGTCTGGCGTGAACATGAGGAGCGTCTCCCGTCCTCCATGGAGTCTGTGGTCTTGGGTGTGTGAAGGGGCACGGGGAGCTTCCACTCCTCTCCCTGCTCGGGATCTTTGGGCTCGTGCACAGGACTCTCTGGCCCGTTTGGGGTCAGGGCCTCCTCCCTGCATCCGGCTCTTACAGTCTCTCCCTGGGCGTCTGCGTCTAACAATCCCACTCTCTCTCTCTCCCCAGTGGTCGTGACCCACAAAGTCCTCCGGAAGGCCAGAGGAAACCTGGAGGTAATGCCCCTGGGAGTTCCGTTACCCAAAGCCCATTTGGGGTGTGGGGCATGGGTGCAGGGCAGGAAAGGACTTTGGAAAAACGAGGTTGAGGGTGACCCCAGGACACCCATCCATTTTCCTGCCAGCAGCACAGAAAACTGTCACCTTACTGTGGCACGGCTTCAGTGGTGGCTCCAACTAGTAAGCGTGTGTGCTGCTTTCACGAGGGAGAAATCTGCAAACAGTGTCTGGCACATAGTAGGCGTTTGATAAACGCTTCCTGAATGAGTGACTGCAGTATGATGTCATTGCCATTTGGTTCTCTAAATACTGACTGATCAAACAGCCTGTCTTTGAAAGCAGTTTCAGAATAACAATTTCGCCTTTAACTCTGTCAGGGATCTTAACTTCAGACACCCTCCCCTGGACCTAAAATTCTCCTCTTCTCCCTCCCCGTTCCCAGCTCAGGCCCGGAAGTGCCCACCACCCAGGAGCGTCCAGTGCCAGCCGCCCAGGCTCCTGAGGAGAAGGCGCAGCCAATAAAGCCTGTGGACCCCACGAGCTCGCTCACGCTGTGTCTTCATTGCACGTGTGGTTTCTGCTTATCCCGGGGGAAAAGGACTATCTGGCTGAAGGAAATCTATATTTTCTGTCCGAACGGCAGTCGCAGGGCTGTTGTCGGCAGTGCTGGGAGGCCAGGGAACGAGGCTTCCCATAGGCCTCAAGCTGTCGGGCACCGGGTGTCGCACCCAGGGCTGCGGCCGTCGCTGCGCACGGTGCGGGCTCCGTGCCCACCCCCATCCTCCAAGCGCTTGGCCAGCCCCACGGTCTAAAGGTGCTCAGTGAAGGATTCGGTTCAGCTGCTTCGTGTAGGCCCCAGGCCCTCGCCCCCACGTGCACATGGCACAGGCCAGGGTCTCTGCAGCGGCGCGGCTCTCCATACCTCGCGGGCTCTCTGCCCAGGTCACTGGGTGTCCGGAGGGGAACGACCCTGGGGCACGGCCAGGGCACTGGGGCCTGCGTCTGGCCTACCTCGGGCAGTGCTTGTCACGTCCCAGAGCTGTCCCCTGAGGCGGTGCCACTCCCTAGGTAGGGGAGATCCCCAAGTGACGCCTTGTCATCACAGCGTCCCTAAGCTTTCCAGCCTACCGTCCACAGCACTGCCTGGGGCTTTGCCACAGCCTTGTCTTTGACCTTCACATGGAGCTTTGCCTTTGCCCTGAGTTTCGTGGTGTCCCTGAGAAATAAACAAGGTAGGGCTGAGTCCCTTTGCAGAAGAAGTCCCCGGGACCCCCCAGCCCTGCTCTGCAGTGACGCTCGCTGCTCAGCTGCGCCCTGCCTGCCTCATGGCCCCGCCCCAACCTCTGTGCCACCAGACAGGCATCCGCTGGTCACGAGGGGCGGCATTCTGAGTCCTGCCCCCTCTTCCTTTGTGCCCATTCTGGCCATCATCCTGGGGACTTCAGCATCTGTTTTGGTGACATTTCAGTTTGCTTTTCCTCTGCAGTTACTTGTTCTGACACTTTGCCCTTGACCCATGGCCTCCCGTCCTTTCACGTGCTCGCTGCCACATCCCCTCCTCTCCTCTGACCTCTTGGAGGTCCTCATCTCCGGTCCCTCTGCCTCCTTCCCTCTCCATGGGCTCCGCGTCTTTAGTTCCTTTTCCCGTCAGCTGTCTTGAGTCTTGCCACCGGCATCCGAATCCCCTTTCTGCCCTGAGGTGTTGGGAGACAGCTCCCTCTGACCCCAGATGCTGCTCCCCTTGAAACAGTTTGACCCTCAGCTCCAAGCCCCAGGCCCCAGTGAGGGTCACCAGGACCGGCTCAGGCCCTGTGTGACTTGTCCGAGGCCCTTAGCTTGTGAGTGGGAGAGCTGGGCCCTGATCAGCTCCCCTGCTCACACCGTGTCCTCACTGCTGTTTCCGCAGCGCCTGGGACACGGTAGTGATCTGGGGTGACTGACGGTGTAAGCTATAGGCAGACGGAGTGGAGGTGCAGGGGCTGGGGATCGGGGCACGGGCCTCTCCTCCCGGGCTCCCCACCTGCTCCCATGAAGTGGGGGGGCAGGTAAGGGGTCAATGCGGGTAGGGGGGCAGGGACCCACTCGTGCTTTCTTCACAAGGAATACTTGCACAGATGTACCTGATTTTAATGCGTGCTGGTGTGTGAAAACTCAGGTTCCAGCAGAAAATAATGGAGCGGCTCCTTTTTCCAAAAGCTGCGTGAACAGCTTTGCCAGTGGAAGTCCCCGTGTGCACACGGCCCCTCAGCGTGCTTGAGTGGAGGCCGCAGGAGACTTGGCTTCCCCTGCCCGTCTCTGTGCCTGTGACACAGAGGTCCCCTCCCACCAGGCCTGGTTACAGCGGCGAGCCTCCACATCTGGAACATGCCCGACAATTAGACCTTTGCCAAAAATCAGCGACTCAGCCTTTCTCAGTGGCTGATCTCAAACAGATTTGCGAGGCACTAAAGTTCACATGGCGGATGTGCCCAGACATGCACGTGCGCATTTGTGTGTGTGTGTGTGTGTGAGAGAGACACGTGGGGAGTAAGCTGTGAGTGTGTGTGTGTGTGAGAGAGAGAGAGAGAGAGACAGAGAAAGAAACATGGGGAGTAAGCCGTCAGTGAGTGGTTAGAGCCCAGGCTAAACTTGGAGGTCAGAGCCGGGTTCGGCCACACCTGCAGGGGAAGTTGTAAGTATATTGCCCGGCACACAGTTACTGCACAGCCCTTGGGCGCGGAGCTTGGTGGTCGGCATGGGTTGGGAAGCGGGAAGAGTTGAGAGTGTGCCGGAGAGCACCGCCTATGGACGAGGGCCCCGGGGATCCAGCTGGCATCGGCCTGGTCACCCCCAACTTTCCAGGAACACAGTAGCCCAGAGCAGAGCGTAGTTTTGCGTCTCCCCCTCCCACCCCACCCTGCCTCCCTTCCCCCACCGCCGGTTTAGAATCCCTCAAAATATTCCCAACCAGGGGCTAGTGATGGCCCATACTCCTCCGGGGGCCGCAGAGGCAGCCTGGTTGGTTCGGGCTGGATTCGGGCCAAGAACAAACCTCAACGAGGACGATTTGGACCTTGGAGAAAGCTCCCGTGTGCCTGGAGAGTTCATGTTACCAGCCGCTGAATCCGGGAGGATGTGTCTGTGTCCCGGAGCTGCACCCCAGAGAGGCAGCTGCCGGGGCTAAATATGCAGAGGGGGAAGGAGGGAAGGGGCACGGCTTCCAGCTCCCCCGGGAGTCTCCTGCTCGCCCCACCTTGGCCCACCTGTCCGCCTCCCTGTCGTGAGCCAGAAGGGTGATCCCTGCCCTTCCAGGCCAGTGCCCCCCTGCATAGCGGAAGCTGTGCTGTGCATGGTCTCATTAACCCGCACTGCCCTGTGCACGTCACGACTGAGACGACGGGTAGGTGGCCCCCTCAGTAGGTGTTGAGCCAGGATTTTGAACCCGAGCCTGTTACAGCCTGTTCTCGATCCTGTCCTCTGGACTATCCTGTCTTCCCAGAACACGATCTATTCCACAACCTGCAGCCTTTCCCTACCTTACAAACCCAAGTATTCCCACTTTTTCCCAGCAGCACGTCTCCGGGTGAGAGGAGCAGAGCTCGGAGGCCCACAAGTGAATTCTTCGACACAAGACTGTGGGTGGAAGGGCTGTGGGTGGAAAGAAGAGTGATCTTGTTAATAAGCTCTCAGCACTGTGGAGGCAGGGACACCTGCCCGGGGGCTGCCCACCCTGCCAAATTGCCTCTTCAATCGTGGCCGTATTTTAAGTCTAACTCAAAAATTCAATTAGCATTACCCTGTCTTCGGCGACGCCCAGGACTGCGCCTTAGGGGCCAGGTGTGTTTGGCCTCCCCAATTCTGTTGGCGAGAGGTGGGCTGGGTGTGGGCGGGGTCAGAGACTCTGGGTCTTGCCCTGGCCTCAGTTTCCTCACCCACAAGATCATGACATGGGCAGATAAGGATATATAACGGCCAGTTGCAAGGCCCAGACATGGGTTCCATCACGGGGTTGCGGGTTCATTAATCTTAGGAGAGGTTCTGCCTCGGGGCAGCGGTGCAGGCTGGAGTCACCCGTGACATCTTCGCCTTCCGCATTCCGTCCACGATCATGGCTGCTCAAGCCACTACCTCTCCAGAGGCCATTGCTTTGATTATCTCTGTCACCATCTTGGCCTGGATGACCATTGTCCCTCACCTGCCCCACTTGCTGGCTTTCTAGCTGGACTTCTGGCATCCAGCCTTACCCTGAAGTGTCCCCATATCACAGCTATAGAGAGTCTTTAAAATGCAAAGCTGATCATATTCTCTCTGTTTAAAATGTTGAATGCTTCCCATTGTGCATGACCTGCTGGCCCTGGTTATACTGAGTCCTGCCTGTTCCTCATTCCCCTCCAGCTGCCCACCCTCTCAGCCCCCCAGGCTGCAGCCTCATAGGGGCTTTCCTCTCTCCAGCCACAGGGCCTTTGCACACATTGCCATGTTGCCTAGCATACTTCCATCCCCTGCCCCAGCCTCTCTTGTTTCTCTGGCTAGTTGGGTCCTCCTCATGCCTCAGATCCTAGTCAGGGAATTCTTTCTATTAAGGAACTTGTGTTGTGCACGGTCACAGCACGATTCCCCGTCACAGGCACGTGGCGACTGTTGTGACCATGACGGGGTTCTTGAGCAAACGGCTAAGAAAGAATTCTTGAGACGCCTTTGGTGCAAAAGGTTGATTCTATTAAAGCATGGGGACAGGGCCATGGGCTGGAAGAGCCGCCCTGGGGTTGTAAGGACTGATTACATACTTTTAAGTTAGTGGGGGTGAGGGATAGCCTGAGTCTCTAAGGAATTTGAAAGCAAGGCTTTCAGGACCTTGGGGGGCTAGTTACTGTTAGGATAAGGTTAGTTTTGGTCTCTAATAAAGACATTAAGGAAGCAAGGCAGCCGTAGTTGCCCGAGGAAGGTCACGCAAGCTGTAAGGTTTCATTCATGTTACATTTCTCTCGCCTTTATTCCCCTCATCACCTCGATCGTGGGAGTGCCGTTTTGGGGGTTGTGCCTTGCCCCGTCGGTAGCTAGAAGGTCTGTGAGGGCGCAGACCGGTGTGAGTTGCTCCCCACTCCGACCCCCGTGCCAGCCACAGGCCAGCAGGTATATTCACTCACCAAACATGCCCAGGGCGTCTCCAGGGCGCTTTGGAAGCAGTGAGACTGATGGGGAAGACCAGTTCCTGGTCATTCCTGGGATCCCGCGGACCCGGCGGACTTCCAACCTTGCCACGTGCAGTCATGTGACAGCCCTGCAGGGGGAGACGCTGCTGCTTCCAGACTAAAGACTGCGTCCCAGAGTGGCCTGCCCAGCATCACACGGCCAGTAGTTGGTGGAGCAGGATTCAGATGCAGGCCGGCCGGCCCACCGCTGGGTGGGGTGTGAGCACACTCAGCATCGTAAGGGGGTTGGCTCAGGGTGGCCCGGGGTGATCCACACGGTCAGCGCCCTGGAGGTCCCTGCCACCAGATGCCAAGTCCAGCCCTGTCCCTGGCATGGCCTTCGGCTCTCCATCCTCAACAGGAGACGGA